AAGTTGAGAGCGCGGCGTTGCGAGCTTTCACCGTCAGTCGCCCAGGGGGTGGAGGCCCTAGGAAATGCACACCCGAGCAAGCAAGCGATGGTACACCCCCCCGGCCCTTCCCCCCTCCCCCCCGCCTTCCGAGCTTTTCTACTCACGTATTTCTTCAGATCCACCTCTCTTGCACCACGTTCGCCATCCTTCAACCTGACCGTATTCCTAAGCATCCTGCTCATCAAATCGTCCCTACAAACCACAATCTCCTGTCCAAAGTATTGCAACCTGGCCGGATTGCTGACGAAGCGGAACCTGTTCGCGCTGCTAGCCACCGCGCCCGAGTTGGAGCTGGCAATCTTGGAGAGGAGTTTGGAGGTGATGATTTGAGGTAGAGCTGGACGTGGAAGGAGAGGCGTGGTAAAGGGATCGGATGGACCTGGTACGAAGATGAAGCGGGATCGTGTTAGGATGGAAGGATAGGATAGCAGGAGATCTCCCAGCTGTGCGAAAGCATCTGTAGAGTGGAGAAACGCGCGCCCAGAATAGCAGTCAGCATCAGTGTGGTGATCTTTTCCCCCAGCTGTGCGCAGACGCGAGGGAGGGAGGGCGCACCTTGATACAGCCGCACAGTGTCGCCTCCTTGATGCGGTGCGCTCAAAAAGTTGCCGCACAGCACAAAGGCAAAGGGGATGAATTGAGCATCCACAAAGCCTTGCAGCATGGCCCTAAAGCTAGCCATCGTTTTTTGGTGATCCAAGTGGAATTCGGAGATGAAGATCATGCACACATCGTCGTTGCGCTCTTCGTGCACTTTGAGCAGCGACTGCTTCGAGGAGAGGCAAGCAAGTAAGCATCGAATCGACCAACGAGTCAACAAGCGTTTCGAGCCTCAAGAAAGGAAGCAAATGTACTTCCTCCTCGCGCGCGCGGGCGCGCGCTGCAACGCACGCACCTCTTCGTTCAGACTGATCGCACCCGTCCCGTTGAAATCAGTGTCTGACCATAGTTTCCTAGCAGCTTTGCGCGATTCTCCAGGTGGATGACCGATAGCTGCTGCTCTGATCCTCTCCTCTTGCGTGTATTCGCCCTCTACCAGGATGAAGCTACCTTCCGTAAAGATACCTTCGCCAGGCACCTGAGAAGCGCGGCGCGGGGTACGTCAGCAAGCAGGCGATGGAAGGAATGAGAGGGGGGAGGATCAGAGAAGAGCATTTGCGCTCACAGCATCTTGCAAGTCCAAGCCTACGACACCATCCGCATCTTCCAAAGCGTATCTGCCATCCTCGGTGGTGGAGAGCATGCCAAACAAAAGGAAGCGCTGACCTGGACGTCCCAGCAGATTCTTGGTGCTTGTGAGCTGTGCCGGTTGATGCATCTTGTCAGTGAGCTGCATGTAACGCTGCACCTTGGAGAGATGAGGACGACGACGACGACGACGCACCTTCATGAAGCGCTGCCTCTCCACTGCACCACCGATGGCCAGCGGAGGCATAAAGTTGCTATTCCGCTCCACCGCCGAACGAATGATGGCCAGTCTTTGAGCCAAGTGCATCGGTTTGGCCGTAGCTGGCGGCAAGAGCGTCCCCTTGGCTTGTCTGAGTTTGCGAGGATTGCGGCAGGGACAAGTTGCCGAGGGGAAAAGAAGGAGAGAAAAGGGGGGAAAGAGAAGCCACTCGAATCAATGACGCGCAAGCAAGCCAAAAAGCAACACCATCGACCAGGCTGCAAGCTGCAAGCTGCAAGCTGCAAGCGCCCACCCCCCCCGCGATCATGACTCACTTTTCCCAACGAGAATGAGACCAACTCCATCGCGGCATTTGAAAAGCATCGATGATGTGGAAATGCCTTTGAGGATCTGCGACCTCACCAGCTACGAGATCGTGTGCGCCATTTCCATTCATCGTGGTGTGCGCGTGATGAGCGGCATTGCTAGCATCCGTCACCGAGTCTGCCAGCACCAATCTCTCATACACCGCTTCCAATATCTCGGGCGTGACGACCGAAGAGGAGAAGGAGGCGGAGGAGGAGGAGGAGGAAGGTTGGGCAGCAGTAGCGGTAGCAGCCATGTGAAGGTGCATATCCGACACTTCGTCCACACCTTTCGCAAGAGCTTCAAGAGCCTCCGTCCACTCTTCGGGCTTGTCCAACAGATCGTGCGCCGCTAGACTGGATTGGATAAAGGGCAAAGAGGAGGCGTGCAGGTGTAGACCGTGTTTGCGCGTAAATATTCGGAGAATGGCTTTTCGAAGAGCTGCTGACACGGATGCGGCCACGGCTGCATTGTCGCTCGACAGCTGACTTGGGCCTGCTCGAGCCTGCGAGTGCGAATGCGAGTGCGAATGCGAATGACCCCTTCCCCGCATGGAAGCGCCGGCCGATGCTGCGCTCGACATGATTGGCTGCAGTCCAGGGCGCGAGGGTGCGCCGGAGCGGATGTGTGGATGGGGAAATGCGCAAAAGGTCGTCGTGGCAGGTCGTCGTGGCGAAGCATAGATTTGAAGGGTTGTGGTGGTTGTGGTGGTGGTAATGCACTGTCAGATCGCTCGCTGCTGCACCGGCCGCCGCGGTGCTGGGCTATGTATAGACATCCAAGAAGGCCTAGCTGTTCGTGGCTCTCCACGCACAGCGACGCGCGCGTGATCACCACCATCACGCACCGCGCGACGCGTAAATTCATAACGAATACAGTACTCACTCACTCGCGCGCGACTCGACTCGAGATTGACCGCGTCTCGTGCCAGTCACGTGAGCGACGCGATCAAGCGTGCATGCAGTCAGACTTGACTCTACAGTGTGAGTCCAGAGTCTTGAGTCACTCGTGACTGTGAGTGCGAGTTCATGATGCTCAATTCAAGATTAAGACTCTCGTCACTCAGCTCCACCCCTCACGGCGGGGCTGTACGACGACGCAGCACCCTCGACTTCTCGAGACAAGCCATCAGGCACGCACATCCTTCCACCCCAACTCTACCGCGAACGACTTTTGACTCCTGCTAATCGCTGCAGCGATCACCATGTCGTACGCAGCGTATCAGAATGCGCAAGCTGCACGCGCATCCTCCTCCTCCTCTGCCGCCGGTCCAAGCAACTACTCGGGAGGCGGCGGTGGCGGTGTGGGAGCAAGAGCGGGAATGGGAATGGGAATGGGAATGGGAATGGGAGCGGGAATGGCATTGGAGCCTGCTGCCACGACCACCGTACCGGATGTGCCCGGTCAGATCGTGCTTGAAGATCGAGCAGAGATGTTGAGGAGGCATGTAGCCAAGCTGTGCAATCTTTCCCACAATAGGCGAGTCTGAATCCGAGCAGTGGTGTGGTGTGGTGTCGTGCCGTCGTCGGTGGTGTTGTCTTGGACTGCGGTTAGAGCAGAGCAGAGCATTGCTGATGCATGCGGCCCATTTTGACTGGACGCCCTACAGATTTCCTGGCGCTCAACCTGTATCCTTCACAAAAGCCTCTCTGGAATCGCTCAAGTCTCAAGAGTGAGTCAGGAGCGTCGCAGCACGTGGCAGATGCTTTGCATCGAAGGCCCTTCTTTTTGGATTGGGATGTGTGGAATTGACATTGACGCCCCCCCATCCTGGGCCTCCCCCTTGCAGCTTTTGGGTCTGCGAAAAGTCGGATGGACAAAGAGTGCTGGTGCTGATCGCATGGAACAAGGCGCAAGGTTGTCAAGAAGTCTTTCTGGTGAGATGAGCCGAGGCAAGCGGCACTCTCTCCCCTCTCTCTCCCTCCCCTCTCCTTCTCTGCTCGTCACGTGCACGCATCGCTCATCATTCTCCCGCCCATCACCGTGTGCGGGCCCCCTTCCCTTGCAGATCAATCGAAAGAATGTGTATCGCGAGCAAACACGAAGTCTCTTCTTCCCTTCGCATGAGCGCACAACACCAAACGACGAAAAAGCAGTCGATGGCGGTAGGTGGAAAGCTCGATCAGAGACGCTCTTGGACGGAGAATTGGTCTGGGACACTTTACCCGATGGACGCGTGAGTCAGGCCCGTCCTGGATCGAGCTCGAGCTCGAGCTCGTGCTCGTGCTCGTGCTTGAGCTGATGCGTTGCGTTGCGTTGCGTTGCGTTGCTCACCTCTTAGCGCAAAATGAGATTGTTGCTGTTCGATTGTCTGGTCATCGATGGTACAAATATGGCCAGCAGGATGCTGCTCAAGCGATACGGCGTGAGTGGGCAAGAACAGGCTGCTCGAATCTTCAACGCCTTGCCCTGCTCAGCTTCTTCCTGCTGCTTACCCTGCCGACGCCCACCCATAGCGACTCAAAGAGCTGCTGTACAAGCCCTATGCGGATTACATGATGCGTCATCAGACCCAGGCAAGGGAAATAGGCTACGAGTGCGCATCTTGAGCTGTTCGCGACGCCCCACACCCTTTGGGGCTCCTTGCCACCCCCACTGACAGACAATCTTGCGCAATGCTCCCCCCTTTTCAGAGTGCTTGTCAAACCTATGGAGTTGAGCTATGGGATACAAAAAGTCATCAAGGAGGTCATACCTAGATTGATGCACGGCAACGACGGTCTGATATTTACCTGCATCAATTCGGGCTACGTGAACGGTACGGATAGCAACATGTGAGGGCTACAGATCGCAGGTGGGAAAGGGGTGGAGGCGACAAGCTTTTCAAAAGGCCTCATCAGTGGAAAGCTTGATTTGCGATTGCCGCTCGTTGGCCGTTCTATCCACTTGGCTGATCTCTCCAAACCACCTGCATCGCCCCCGCCCGGCCTAACGGGAAAAAAATGGCCCCCACTTTCCTTGTGCCTCTCTCTCTCTCTAACCGCTTGCTCCGCACCCAGCATCAAGTGGAAACCGCCGTACGAGAATACGATCGATTTCAAGCTTCGCCTGCGCTTCCCACCGGACCTGGCCAAGGATCCTCGCGGCAACCTGGTAGATTTTACGGCCAAACCTTTTTTTCAGCTGGATCAGCATGTTGGCAGGGAGAGCAGATCGCAGGATGGCTACGAGTACTTTGATTGGATGCATGTGGATGATGAGGAGTGGGAGCAGTGAGTTTTTTTTTTTTTTTTTTTTTCCTCTTGTGTCAAGAAAAAGGAATTCGTTCGTTGCAAACCCCCGTCGCAAGCGCATGCCCCTTTTTTGTCCGTTGTGCTGGCCTTGTTGGACGAGTCTTGGCCTCATGTGGAAGCCGCTCATCCCTTTTTGGTTTTTTTTTTTTTTTTGTTTTTTTGGTATTTTTTATTCTTGCCCTTGGGCCTCTGTTCTTCTCCTTCTTCTTCTTCATCGCTTTCGAACAGGATGAAGTCTAGCGCAGTGCAATTCGACGATGTGATCGTGGAAGCTAGATGGGATCCGCACGGTGGTCCTCTGCCGCCCGAGGCGGAATCGACGTGGCGGGCCGAGAAAGCCAGGCGGCGGTCCGGTGGAGGAAATAGAAATGTTGAAGCCAAAGAAGAGGAGGAGCAAGAGGAGGAGGAGGAAGAACCGGATGATGTTAGGAATCAAAGACCTCCGGCTTGGCGTTTGCATCGCGTAAGGGACGATAAGAGGGATGGAAATCATCATAGCGTGGTGCAGAAGATCTTGAGAAGCATAGAGGATGGTGTGGAAGAGGAAGAGGTGAGGGCCATCACGCTCCCTAGCCCCTCGTTTGGGGGCTATAAGCCCACTTCTTCTCTGAGCTTCGTTCTGACCTTTCTTTTTTTCTTTTCTTTTCTCTTTTTTTTTTTTTTTTTTTTTTTTTTCCCGACATCTGCACTTCTTGCCTGCTCCCTCGCTCTCTCTCTATCCATCACAAAGCTGCTGGGCGCGAGCATGGACATCCGAACAGCGTGGAAATCAGAGCAAAGGGAAGCTATGCGAAGTGAGTCCCAGTTTTGCAGATAAAAGCGCTCCGCTCGCCTGGGGGGGGGGGGGGGGGGGGGGGGGGGGGGGGGGAAGGGGGGGCATTTGGGTCCAAGCCGTTCTTGTGCTTTTCCCCGTCTCTAATCGACCACCACCACCCCTTTTTGTTTGCTCGTGTGCGCGCACGCGCCCCCCTCCCTCCTGCAGAGGCTCTGGAGAGCGGAAATGCACCTCCTGCTCCCGCAGGCAGCTCCAAGTATTCCACCGACGAGTTGGGAAGAAGAAGAGGTCCTGGACCTCCGATGCGCGGAGCACCACCCATGGGCTTGAAGAGGAGGTGAACAGCCGCTCTCCTCTTTTCGTCTGTGCGCGTGTGTTGGGTTGCATGTGCATGTCAAAATTCGCAAGCGCTGCTCTGCTCAGTCGCTTGTCAACCTGTTGATCGCGAAAGCTCAGCGCCTCTTCTTAGAATGCGATCGTCGACGCCTCGCAAAATTTTGCGCGCGCACTCGTGCTCGCTGTACAAGATTTCATTGCGCCGCGCCGTTGAGCACATCGGATCAGAGCGAAGACGTACGACATGGCTCTGCTCTGGTAGAAAAGTTTGGGATTTCCGCTTCGCCATAGCGGCCATTGTTTATTGTTTGCAAGACGGGCGAGTGAGTCTGGTTCACCTCTATCACGGCCAAGTGCTGTTTCTGATGACTGATTGTGGAAATGAAATGGGGGGGGGGGGGGGGGGGGCTAACTGAACGAGAAGTGATCAGCGGCGAGAGCTGAGGGTAACTACGGAATGATGACGAGAACAGTGCAAGAGGTGAAAAGTGACGCGAAGGTGGGTGAATGGTACAAACGAGGTGACGCTGAAGAGGAATTGTTCGGCTTGATTGGAAGGCGGAATGGGTTGCAACAACGAGGCGAGGGACAAGGAAGAGCATTGCGCGAAGCAAGAGGGACGATGTTTCCTGATCTGCCTCTTGCGATGAGCACTTGGAAGGCGGCAAAATCAGCGCATGCCGAACCAGTTGGTCATGGCGGAGCCTAGAGATTGTCGGCCAAAGACGTCGTCCAGATCAACGTCCTCTTCCAAATCTTCCTCCGCGTTATCGTCCTCGTCATAAGCTACAAAGCTCGATGCGAAAGAAGCGCCCTTGGTAGCGAGCGGTATTTGATCCTCGCCAGCACCTTCTGCCCATGATTCGTCATCGACAATGCGTCCATACTGACCGCCTTTTCCTTTGCCGTTGCCCTTCTTGGCATGCCAATGCAGCCAACGCTTGTCCAGCCCTTCGCACTCTTCCGAATCGATACGATGCACCTTGCCCTTCTTGATATGAATGATCATGTCGTAGCGCTTCTTGTCCCACACCAAGCCTTTAACGCCAAGCCCGCGTACTAGGGAAGAGATGGCAGTGTGCTGCCATGCTACCACCACATTGTTCCCCTTTGAAGTCTCGCGCTCCAGCACTTTGTGAACGCACGAAGAATCGTCACGCTGACAAGACGTGTCGAGCGGCATGCCAGTGTACCTTGACAAGGGCTTGAGCTGCGTCGCGTCACACCATGCGAATGAGAATGCCGAGCGATCAGGTCACGTTATGCCAGAATGGATAGGCTAGGACAACTCACGGTATCATAAGCACGACGACGAGCTCCCGAACGCTTGTATGCCGGAGCCATAGCGTATTGCGCCTTTAGGTCTCCCGATCCAAACACTCGCTTGAGGCATTGCGCGCGACGTTTGCCTGCTGGTGAGAGACCATGATGTTTCTTTCCCCCGGGCTTCTCGCCATGACGAATCACCTGCGTAGTGCAAAAGGCAAGGTGGTACTTGAGGGGGGGACGCTTGCTCGTGTGGGCTGTCCCCATGCACCACTTACATACACCCAGCCTGTCTTGGAGCTGGAATCAGCATCACGCCCGTCACCCTCCCTTGCACCATCCGACATGGACGCAGCTCGAACCTTGTCGGCTCGGTCCAGCTCCGATTTCGTCGGTCTAGACCAGCCAGGGTATGCGAGCGCATCTGGGGCCAAGGCTTTGCCTTTACCGTTGTTCGAAGAGACTGTATCAGTGTTCGCCGAGTAGTCGCTCGGAGGAGCCAGAGCTTCGGAAGCTGAAGAGCGCCAAAAGTCGGATCTGAAGAATGCTTGATTACGACGGGGCGCCGCAAATGGTAAAGCGGGCAGAGCGCTTTTGCTGTCCTTCTCACGAGATGCTAGGTGGAGCGCACTGATGCCTGCAGCCAGACACAAGAGCGTCAAGTATGCGAGAGCATAGCGCGCTGTGAACGTTGTCATTGTGGGCCAGCTTGCGATGCGCAGTTCTGGCGAGGAGGCCGTCCTGCCTGTATGCACCGCTTGAAGCGACTCGAGGGTGTTGGCTGGACGGGGACAGGGTATTGCGAGAGTGATTTGGATCGTCAGCAGGTTGCTGTTGCTGTCGCTTGTGAATCTGACGCGGACGCCTACAGCTTTGTGAGATGGCGAGCATAAGAGTCGTGAGTCGTGAGGATGACGACGTCACTCGAATCGAGATGCCATTTGATTCACGATTCACATTCAAATTTTGATTATGATTCTGATTAAACCTTGATATGTTTCCAATTGCAGACATGACACCGCGAACGCCAAGCAAGGCCTACGCACGCGTATACGCCCTTATACCACAACCGGCACAGCTCCTATATATATGGGCCCAACGGCGAGCACCGACCGCGCGCGCGGGGGACGCGCGCACGTTGCCTGCTGCTGCGTTCCCTGCGCGATCGATCGAGCCCCGCCTCCAAATGTCAAAAATTCATCACGCGATTCACAATTCAATCAAGAATCAAGAATCAAGAATCAAGAATCACAACAACACAATTTTGAATTCAAATGACAGGGCCATGCATGTTGGTCAGATGATCACGTGAATGTTGAACAAGCTACCATGACGTCGAGTTGAGTCGAAAGTCACGAGTCGTGAGTCGTGATCGAGTGGCGGTGCACGCAATCGTGAATCAAGAATCACGAATCAAATGCACGCACGCGAACCAGCATCTCTGAGGTCGCGAATCGCGTACTCATCGATCTGAGCGTGGACGGCTCTCACCAACCCTTGATCTTGAATCACTTTCACTTGAATCACGAATCGCTTTCACTCGACCCCAGCACAAACACTCGCGACTGCAGGGCTCGCGTTGCATTCGTGATTGTATCTGCACCGGATGTATGCTGCCTTCGTTTGATCCGAAAGCATCCTCCAAACTATTCTCTAGCTCAACTCGTCACCCTTGTCACTCAGACGCCATCTGTTCGCTCCTCTGCACACAGTTCATCCATCGCCTCGAGTCATTAAGGCAACCAGTGCCAAGCCAACTTCACCGCTCAACTCAGCACCTCATCTCGAGCAACATGAGCGGGCGCGGAGGGCCTCATCATCCTAGCGATGGTGTTGTCAACGCACCCTACCTCGAACAATTGCTGTTCCAACCAGGGCTCGAAGTGAGGCAAAGGCGGTGAGTCGCTCGACTCAAAGAATGCCCTTATTTGGCCACGCTGATGTGTCTCGCTTCCCCACTTTCTACCTGAAGAGGATCTGCATCATCAAGTGGCAGCAATCAACGTGTTCGTGTGGACGATCTTGCTCACTGTCAGCGTGTGCACGAAGCCAATGGGCGCACCGGCTCCTTTGACGCATACAAACTTGACTTTGTCGAGGGGCAGAGCCAACCCGTGCGCTGTCATCTTGTTGCGCATGCCGAGGAGACAGCTCAGCGACTGTCACTCTTCCTCCGAGCTGTAGGTGAGCTGCCAATGAGTGGAAACGAGTGCACGGCACTCAAATGTACTCTGGACAACTGCATCGTGAGTGAGTGATGCCAGGCAGCATAGCAAAAGACCCTTCTGCTCACGCCGCGCCGCAGTGCGAGACCATTTCCATAAGCGCATGGATCAGCGACCAACTGGCTTTCTGCTTCTTCCGAGCGAAGCAACAATGCTCTACTGCATCAGCAGCTTATTGCAGTGTCTTGCAGAGAAAGAGCGGATGCAAGAGCCAGGAGAGCAGTGGCAGCTGGACTTGAATGGAGCGCTGCAGCTCTATGACCTTCGTATGGACGCTCAGGATCTACGCCTGGTAAGTTTGGACTGCCTTTTGAGTCTTGTTCATAAAACAGCTGACCGACGCTCCTTGATTTGACTATGGTATCAAGTTCGACTACGTTCCGCTTCAGCTGGCTCCCTTCGATAGCACCTCCATCAAGGTCTATGCAGGAGAGCTGCTGCCAAATGGGTACGACTTTGAAAGCCACTTTGACCACGAATGGGCTGGTCCTGATCCGGATGATGAGGGCAGACTCTTGCGCGAACCCCTCACCATTCGTCTTGCCCTCTCACCCATCAAGGCCAGTGCATATGCGGTGATGCACGTCCGACATCGTCAAAGCAGGTGCCCAGCCTCTGTCCAGAGATCTCTTCAGCTTGCTGAGTATCTACTTCGCTTGGTCTGCATTGGTGAGTGGGTCGGTAGGCACGGTATCGAAGGTCGCAGTCAACGGACGGGGAGGAGATGATGGTATTCGTAGTCAGAGGGGTACGGTACAGGTGCCGCGGGTGTAGGGCGCGCGCACAACGGCTGGATAGCCGTGGTATGGCAGGGTACAGAACGCGCTGGAATCACGAATACAGTTTGCTAATGCCTCGATACCTGTCATCTCATTGCTGCCAGATCGCCTGTCCGCATGGCGTGATCTTCCCATGCCAGCCGGAGTTTCATGCCCAGACAATCTGGCTCCGCGCTCTGAAGCCGCGCGTCGTTTTGCACCCTTGCTGAGGCCCAGTTCTGCGCGAGTCAAGAGCACTGCTTCCCGTAGGCGCGATGATGAACAACGGACCTCTTCCCCGGATCCTACCGGACCAAGCAAGCGTCGACCGGACTCGCAGCAAGGGCAGATGCACTCTGGCAGCAAACGACGGCGCTCCACCTCGATGTTTAGCCAGAAAGACGAGTCGGCAGATGCATATCGAGAAGTCTGCATTCTACCGGCCAGTCAAGAACTGCCGTCCGGACTGGCCGCGCTTATTCGTCCCGCAGACTTTGCCCCTACCGAGCTTGTGCGATACGAGGAGCTGCTGCAAGACTTAGCGACCGAAGTCAGACTTGGCCAGGATGATCGGACCTCCGTCATCCTTGCAAGGCTGCTAGGTCTCGATGACGAACACGAAGCGGAAGCGAGCGCGTTCGACAAGCAGGTCGAAATTTTGCTGCAAGAGAGGCAAGACAGGAAAGATCGCGAGGCTTGGGAACGCGAAGAGCTTGAGGAGGCAGCCTTGGAGCGGGAAGCTGATGGCGAAGAGTATTGGGAGCGCGCTTCTGACGCGTTCGGGCATCGTGAAGGAAGCGCGGCGGAGGAAGAGGTGGGTGGATCGTCGGCCGAGGAGGATGTGGAAACCGATTCTAGCGGTCAGTCACGTCAAGAGGACGAGCATGTGGCACAGCAAGAAGGAGGAGCTACTTCAGACTCTCGAAAGCCCTCATCGCCCCTCAAGTGGCACATGTCAGATACCACGCCCACGCTACAACGCTGACGGGCGTGATCGAGCAGCTACACTGGCCACAAAGACCAAGCACGCCGGCTTGACCTCCCATGATGTTCTCGCTTCTGCATTTCTTTGGCCAGCAAGAAAGCCTTGCCGGTGTGGTGAGCGACCTGCTCGGCGCCACACCTTTCAAGGCTTCGCCAGTAGCGATGTGCCTACGCCTCCGTCAGGAGCTACCTTCGTTCCGACGGGCAGCTTACTCGTTGGGACGAGAGTGGCGTGTACGGCTCTTTGCCTTCGCTGTTAAGCCGAGCGAATGCACAGATTCTGCTGCAGTTCATCGCCCAGCAAAGATCTTACAGCAGTGACACCTTACGACATTGGCTTGACGTATTGCCTATTCCAGTCTGGGTGGAGAGCCACATGTCCCAAACCTGGTGAATGCATCTTTCCTGGATGGAGTCAGAGCACCATCAGCGGGCACAAACTTTGTCGCTATCACCAACTCCGACTCTTTCTACACACAGTGCAATGCATCTGTTCATCTACGAAAGGCGAGCAAGCTTGTGTGAAATGAGTTGGACTCGAGATTGGGGGGATTGGATTTAGGGCGTTGTGAGAGCGAATGCAAATGAAGGTGAGTGCGAGCGGAGAGAGTCTCTGGGTGGCAATGGAGCGAGCGAGTGCGCGGACCCCAAGGTCGACCACTGCCGAAGACGCGAAGGGGCGTGCCAAGACACCTGCCTACTTGAAGAGCGTGCTTGCCTTGGAAGGGTCGGGACGGAGCAGCCGGTCAGCTAGGACCGGTCGAAACTCGCTGCAGCCGAAGCCTCCGCGCCATTCTCACCTTGGATTGCGCAGCTTGAAGTCCAGCAGCGACTATAGCACCAAAGTAGTTGCTGGTCGTTTTGAGATCAAAGGGGAGCACATTCTTGTTGAACTGGCACTCGGCGGGCGCTTTGCCGTCGAAAAAGTCTTGAAGGGCCACGACTGCGTTTGGAATGGTGGCCAGTCCGGTCTGCACGTGCCCATCAATGGCAAATCCGTCGTACTTGATCAACGCTCCGTTCTTGCATTGATCCTGCGCGTAGGCCAACGCATCGTTTGGAGGAACGACGTCGTCGATTTGACTGTGCCAAATGTACTGGGGTACGCCGACAATGTAAGGGTTTGGCAAGCCAGATCCAGCACCGAGCAGGTTGCTGATGAGCAAAGACTTGAAGGGTTCCACGCTAGGAGTCGAGCCCTTTGTCTTGGCGAGACTGAAAATGTCGAGGAAGGGGAAGCGAATGACGGAGTTGATCAGACAGCCATCGGAAGCTTTGAACTGCTCCAAGTAGTGCGTGACGTTTGGCAATCCTTGCTCCTTGGCGAATTGGCGGACTTGAGGGTAGGCATTGTAGAATCCCACCACTCCTGCTCCAGCCACACCCGCAAAGAAGCTCTTGTTGACCAGGCTGAGCGTGTTGTTGGGGCTCACGGGAATGCCGCCGCTGACCACACCTGCAAGCTGAGACTTGAGCTCCGGAGCATACGCTGGCAATTCTTGCGCGGCCCAAGATGCTGCGTGACCCCCGCCCGAATAGCCGGTGAATTGAAACGTGTAACCGTCCGACTTTGGCAAGGCCTGCTTGAAGTCGAGCAAGGCCCTGACGCCATCGATCATTCCATGCGCCTCGGTCTGACCGATGATGAAGCTGCTGTTGCTCAGTTGAAAGTCCGGAATGGTCAGATACCAACCGCGAGAGAGAATGGCGTCGATCTCGGGAGCAAAGAGCTGAGAAGTAAGAGCTGCATTGGAAATGGATCCCACACGGATGGCATAAGAGTTGGCGCAGTCGAAAGCACCCGAATCTTGTGGAATACCGAGGGCTACAATTTTTGGAGGGCTGGAGGGCTTGCGAGGAGCAAGGATGGACGTAACCGTGACGTCCGGCTCATCGAGGACGGTGTTGGTGCGGTAAAGCACTTGCCAGCTGTCCGCCAAAAATGCGCCATTGCCGATGATGGTGGCCTGTAGCAAAAGATAGACTTGGCTCGGTCAGCATGCGACCAAAGTGTACCCCTCGCTTTCGTGTTTGCCAAACGGGAGTCTTTTTCGTGACTGACCTTGCGGGACTTGAGCACCTCGCCAGGCCGTTTGCTCTCGAAGCCGGCAGGCGGCTTGTAAAAGTCGTCCTTGCTAGGCAGTGGCTGGGTGAACCCAAGTTGACGCGCATGCAATTGGCCCTCCAACGCAGAGACTTGTATAGTCACGGCCAGGAGACCAAGCCACACGAAAAGTGGTTGAAGCATGATGGCGCGCAGAGATTATAGAGACGTAAGGTGAGGGAGACGATTGCAGGCAGGAGAGTAGAATCGGGAGGCTGATGTCGTGAGCTTACGGAGCAGTTCAAGACCGCATCTTTTCTTCAAAGGAGTCGAACACGAGTCGGTCGTCACTCGAAACGACGTCATGATGGAGCCGCAAGCTCGGCTAAGAAAAGCCAAGAATGTCTTGCTCGCCTTCTACCTCGCAGAAGTTCGGGGGCGAATATGAGTGGTCGTCGCGGCGGGAATATGCGACAGAAAGTCTATCATCCCTCGAACTCGCATACGAACCCTGCCAAATCTCACTACTCCACCAACTTTCCTGTGGCCCCAAGTCAGCGCTCGTGCTCCTTTCACATCGCCGAAGCTGTGAGTATGCACGCGCGCAAACGCAAATGCTCCGCAGTGCGCAGATTTTTGCTGCACGAATGAGATCGCATGTCGGGATCTCCGAAGGCTGCATGCATCGTGCAGCACTCATCCAATGGCCGATACCCGCGGCCGTTTGACTGCGTATTCCATGATGGCCGATGCACGACTGTTTGTTCTGTGTGTTTGTTGCCTCGCTTGCGTGCATCTTGCCGCACTACTCTCTTTGCGTCATGAGTTGCATTTGCTGTGGAGCAGAGTGGCAGGCATGATGGTCCGAGATGCGCAAGTGCCGAGGAACGTCGACCGCACAGCGCTCCGCAACGAGGCGCCAGTTCGTGCCTCAAACGGAGCTCACTCATTGCATCCATCACCTCTCTTTCAACCCTATAGCTCGACGTCACCTGCAAATGATCACCTTATTTTCGAGTGCGTACGGTAATAAAGATGGACGATACAAAGCGTATCTTTGGGGCTGAAGAGACATGCGACAGTAGTTCCCGGGCTTGGCCACTTGGGGATGGATAAGTAGTCGGCCAATGGCGCTAAGATATTCCAGGCACCGAGCGTCTGAGCTCTTTGGTCGCGACGAGGCTCAGCATGCTGTATGAAGAGCGACGGGACGACATAGGAGGAACGTCAGAATTGGACGATCGGCTAGGGGGCCATACTCTCCGGGTCGTTGCCGCACTCACCAATCCACTCTTGTGGCTCCATCTCGCAGGCATGGCCTTCCGTCGCGTCATAAAAGGACGCCAGGCCGAATGGGCTCTTCGTGCCGACGCTCGAACAGGACGATGATACGGCGCAAGAAGCAGCCGCGACGGTAGCGCGATGCACTTGCACAGGCAGAGACTGTATGCTGCTGCTAGACATGCCTCTCGGTCTTCGTGCGCCCTGTCTGCAGATCGAATCGCTAGGCTGCTCATGACGGTCCATTCGCATCGACGCGAGACTTTGCTGGCTTTCTCGCCGCCCGCAGCGCGTGCTTTGATGATCGGTAGGGAGCGATGCAGCTTCGGAAAGTTGCCGAGGGAATAGAGCGCTGTAGCTGCCCAAGTTCGTGCCCAGTGCGCTGCCGGTTGCAGCCTGATGAAGACTAGCGTAAGAATGTTGCAATTCCCACTCGAGCGTCCCGATCCATTTGTCAAAAGACGCCGGCATCCTCTGCTTACCGCGTCGCAAAGTCGGCATGCTTGGACAGCTCCTCATTGCCTTCATCCTTGCTTGAGCAGCATCGTCACTTTTCTGGAATGTTTTCGCCTTGCTACTGCCTGTCGGAGGAGGCAAGGGAGCTAATCTAGGCGCGGCAAAGAGCTGCTCAAAGGTTCGTGATGCCTCTTGAGCGGTGTTTGTATCCTCCTCCAAGTGATGAAGAAAGAGCGAGTTGCAGGAATGGTTGAATGGGACGCTAATATTTCTTGTCAAGTCCGGATTCGTGCACGCGTTGCTGAGATTGCTGACTGCTGACAATCTATGCCAGGACTCTCGAATACTGCCGCTGCGTGCTGAGCGAAGTCTTCGTTGTCCTGCACAGCTCTTCAGCGTCGAGTCGGTCTGGCACTTTTCGTCATCCAGTTGTTCCAAAGTCGCACAACCACTGTCGCCTCTCAATGTCTGCTTGCGCGCTGGTGAGCTCTCATTGGATTGCACAAAGCTTTGCGTCGTCGAGGCGGCACAACTAGGCGCGTCGCTTGGCGTCCCGGTGCTGCTGAGACTCGGGGTGCTGCAAAAAGACTCGCTCGTTGTCCTTCTGGCAGACTTTTTGCTTCGCCACTGCAGGCCTTGCAGAAAGCAATACAGCTGTGACATTGACAGACGGATGCTCATCAGCATCAGCGACGCGCGTCGCATGACCAAGAGATTATGCTCGTAATACGTACCATAGTCCCATCTTGAGGCATCTTTGTTGAAAGTATGACAGGGCAATCCGTCCGATAGCGCCGCCCGTGGTCTTGATGCACTGTAGCGCCCTTATATAGTATATGACTGCATGTGGGAAGAAGCATCTCGCGAAAGCCAAACAGCTCGGCGCAGACAAGAAGTCTCGGGTCTGGCGCCGCTTGGTGCTGAGGCACCTCGGGTAAGCTGTCTCTTCCCTACATTCGAGACTGCACGTGTTCCTGGCTACTTTGGTCATTGCCTGATTGTTGTCGCGCCAAAGAGCCTAGGTCGAGGCGCATCACGGCGATCCTCGAGGTAGGCCTCGATCTAAATAGGCTACAAGGCGAGAGATTCGGTTAGAGGACAACTTCGTATCGACATCCTGCGGCTGCTGGATGTTGACTGACCGCACGTCAGCACGAGAAGCTAGCCAAGGAGGACGAGTGATTTCACTCTCCACGTGGTACGAAAAGGTGCCAGACGGCAAAGTCGAGGCGTGCACAATATGTGCGCCGCCCAATGAAGTACCGGGGAGCAGAGGGCGTGGACTTGGCGCTAGGGAAGAGGCAAGGCGCAGACTCACCGCTTTCGAAACACAATGGCAGGATTTCTTTCGGTTAGCCGCCGTGGGCATCGAGGAGCAAGGCAACCGGAAAGTCTCCTTCTCACGTGTTGACGAAATCCGATCTCGCTCATCATCATCGCGGAACTTGAGCGGCAACTTCGAGAGTTCCGTTGGGATCTCGTCACCGCAATGAATCGGAGCCGTCTCTTGCGTGATCGGCTCTCTGATAGGGTTTCGAGGACCAGTCTGATCCGACACGATTGGACTCGATCTAGAGGCTGGTCGTTAGGACCGCTTCATGGCGTCGATCGAAGAGATAGGCGTCGTGGCACGCATTGTAGATCTCGATGGTGAAGGCATTTCCGACATCTTGGATCTCGGAGCGCTGCTCCCGCGTCTCGAGGGGGGAGGATGCAAGGATGGCATCGAGATTGGCTTTCGATTGCTCTATCCGCAGCTGGCTAAAGGAAGTCCCGCTTCATAGCAACAGCATCTGTCCAGATATGAAAAGAGGAGCGTTTGGACATTGTGATCGAAACTTTCCCACCCACGCCACTGTCTCATATTTCACTCTGCACTCGAATGAGCAAGTCTGAATTATGGCTCCACCAACTTACTGCATGAGGTTGCCGGAGCCTGGATACGTCCACGAGGTGTTCGAAACGTTCGATAGCTGTGAATCCACCTGCGCTTCGTCTCTACGCGCAAGCGTGTTCTTCAACATGCGCACGCTGGGTCGCTTCAGTCTAGTCACGGTCGAGAATCACCGCTCGAGCTTCCGAGGTCCCGCACGAGGAGCAGTATCTCCGCAAGCTATCCTAAAGACGATGCAAAGGCCTGGACTGATCACTGCAGCCGGCAACTACAACCTATTCAAGCATGCTTGGTTTCGATGGGATGTTGGACAGCCTCGCATGAACGGCTGGCTGTACGGCTGTCCTGTTGGAGAAACGAGCCTGACGCGTCGGCATGTGCCCGTGCCAGAAGTGCAACGTCCGCACTGGAAGGTGCGCACTGCTACGGACGGCTCTTTCATCACTATGGGACCGTCCCTCTTGCGTCGTATCCAGATGCCAAAGACGATCAATCCGGCCAAAGACTCGCTATGGAATCGTAGCTTTGCGTATGCGAATGAGCTGCCCTTGCGAGAAGGAGACCGGAGGGGCAACGACTTGTTCGCAAGTCTACAAGCTGGAGACGATGCCTTGTCTTTTGTCCTCACCTCGCTCAAAAGAGGCGTGCCGACAACTTTGTCCATGACGGCAGAGATAGAGGCGGCCTTTGATATGGCCAAAACTTGCGTGGTGCGGTACGAAGGCGAAGAGTACAGATGGAAAGATGCCAAACAGAGGAGTTTGTGCGCATTTGTCCAAAGTCTTCCGCCTCTCGCTGACGTGCGAGACACGTACAACGTCGAACTCTTCCAGAGCGACCCGCACGATAGCAAGTCGCGGACTCAACAATCCATGCTGCCAGGTAATTGGGCGCACGGTCGAGAGAAGAACGAAAGGTCTGGCAAGATCGAATTGAAGGATGGAAGACTGATCGACTACGCCTACACCTGTCCTTCGCGCGGTCATGGTCTAGATTTCAACGAGATGCGAGACTTGCTCTTCGCTTATTTGAAATTCAAAGACATTGACGTTGCGCTCGTCAAGGATATCTGGAACAGCGATGGTTCGGCGAGCATTGTGCAGTACTTGCGTCGATCGGATGGCACGGTCTTGGCACTATCCAAAGGAGGGCTCAAAGGCGCACCTTTACCCTCGTACGCGGATGACATCCCAGCTCATCTCGTGCGTGATTGTCCCAACTACTTCATCCTCCGACGTGCAGTGGACGATATCGACGATGCGGTGTCCTTGCGCGATTCGGAAATAGGAGATGAAGATGTGCCCGATGCAGTCGAACAGAGCGATAAAGATGATGCTCCCATCTGGTTCGAAAACGACATGTGGCGTATCAAGAATGTCGCGCACCAAAGATTGGCTGCTGAGTCACTCATCGAGCACAGAGTCACTCAGCTCGAGGCAGCAGCAAGCATATTACCAACAACCTGCAAGGTCGCTCTTGATCGGACTCACCCGCTCCTTCGCCACTTTGCCGACAGATTGAAGGCGCAAAGCGCTATGAGGACGATATTCGAAATGGCGCAAGGCGCACCTGATGTTGCGAATCGTCTTGTGTGATTGAACCGTAATCCTCATGTCGATCGAGTGTGCGTGCTATCTCGAGCAGACCTTGCGGTGCGACTTGGCCGTCCGACTGCCTGTGAGATGAAGACAGAGACTTGCGCAGAGGATTCAAAAGGCCTTTGCTGTGAGCCGTTTCTGGACCAATCGCAATTCGTCCATGCCCATCAGGTCGAGCCTATCGCGAACGCCACAATGTGCTTTGAGAACGCTACTACAGAGCGATTTTGTAGCATGTCATCACGCGCTGCCAAGCTTCGCGCTGGATTCGCGCGCTTCCTCGGCTGGACGACGCTCCATCAGCGGCTAGCTCGAGCAGACAGCGAAGCTTTTTTCTGCAGCATTGGTGCTCAGAGTATTGTTGGGGAGCAAGAGGAGGCAGTCGATCTGCTACTAGAGCTGCGCAAGCTCAATGAGCAGCTAGCGAGAGGGTGGAACGAGCTGCGTTTGAGTGCGAAAGTGTGTCGTTGGAGTAGCATCAAGCTAGATCTTGCTCTCTCGGTGCACAACCTCTCGGCATACCACGAACGTCCATCCACCTACTGGCCCGTCGTGTTCCTCTCGTTGGCTTTGCTGGACATCTCCATTGATCTCTATGCTCCGGTACAAGCTGGTCACTTAGAAGTTCTGCCAGGTCAAATATCGCCCGACATCTACCTGCTCGTCCTCTGCTACGGTTTGATACGAGGAAAGGGCAGCAGTCACTTTCGTTGGTCTGGTATCCTGTACGATTTCATCGTCAAACGTCTAGCCAGCAAGTTCACGCTCTTGGCGCTACACTTTGGTTCGCTAAGAGCTTCTAGCCCGACCTACTATGCAGCCGTCATCGTCCCGGGGTTGTTGACGGGTGGCGCCAGAGTGTTTTCGGAACCGCTGCTTCGCTGGACTCAACGCAGAGAGATCAAAAAGATGGTCCAAGCTGTTCGAACCTCGTCTGACGCGCGCCTCAAATTCTTCGTGGAAGTGTTGCAGGAGCTCAACAAGAAGCAGCTGAGATTTGTGGTGCAGATCAACGAGCGCAGACGAGAAGGGCAGCTCGCCATGACGGACGAAACGGCCATTGGCAACGATGTCGATCGCATAGCCAATCTTGCCGACTTGTTCTCAATGCTATCGACCAAGGAAATCCCGTCGAGGATGCCGCATGACAATAAGACCGAAAAGGCCATCCCTATGGGCGGTGGGATCCTAGTCGGATTGATCTGGATGTCGCTCTCCTATCGCAGTCCGGTGCTCTTGGCGGGCTCGTCGATGCACACTGGTGTGCAGCTGGGACAGCTGATTTGGATGTTCAAGAATCCCGGCTACTCGCCCGCAGAGATGCGCCGATTGGTGCAGGAGAAGTTGTCGGCTATCTTGGTGACCACTTCGACTGTTGGGGCTATCCTCTATGCGCGCGGAACGGGCGCTTTTGAGCAGGTATGGATACTCGCAACGGTCTGTGTGCTTACCAACGGCTTCGAACTTGTCGCGGGCAATATCCTATCCACTGCGGTGGACTACATGGTCGAGAGGGTACTTGGGCTGTGGCGTACCCTATCAAGGCGCGTCAAGCAGGTGGAAGCGGAGAAGAACAGTCACGCCTGACCCCAAAGACAGGGAGCAGGAAATTGGGCGGGAGCGGAGCAACAGATCGTCTCTTTGCGCAAAAGTCTTGAGCGTGTTCACGAGCAGTATTCAGACACTTGGAGCTCCGGTGCCGATCCCGGCGAAGCTCCCTCAAGCATGCCAAGTGAACGAGTCTTGCTCTTGCCGTGCAAGCTTGACTGTCACTTTGCGCAGGTGCATGGTCACTTGACGTCACCCACCCATCTTGGCCCGAAATTGACGTGCAGAGCATTTCATCCATGTCGTTGACCATCTTGATGACATGGCGGCTTCTCATCGCGCCCAACACATGGCGGAGCGAGAAGAGCGTTCCTGAATGAATGGCCACCGTGTTGCAGCGTCTGGCTAATTTCATGCTTCACCCTGCTGTCGAAATCTTGCCTATCACGATATGATAGCGCGCGCCGCGCGGGGCGGTAGATCACGTGCTAGCAACACCCTCCGTAATCGCCATCCAACCACGTGGAGTCTTGCGTTGCGTTGCGTTGCGTTGCGTTGCGTTGCGTTGCGTTGCGTTGCGTTCCCCTCGGACTTTGGAGTCTGAGTCAATGCAACGCGGCTTATCGCCGCGGGTCTAGCCTGTGTCCATACTCACCGCGACTCACACTGTAGATACTTCGCTTGCGCGACTGCATATGGCGTGTACCGTGAGCGCGGCGCGTCCAATCAGACGCGCATGGCATGCATGCGCGCTCCTGCGAAATTTTGGTGAGTCAGACTGCTTTGGACTTTTTGACGGGTGCAGCGTATGCGACTGCCTGACTCGCTGCATGCAGCCAGCCAGCCAGCCAGCCATGCGCGTGCAAGCAAACGGTACGGCCATAGTCGCGAGTCGCGAGTTGCGAGTCAGTGTGAGTGTGAGTGTGGCGAATCGTGAGTCGACGCGGGCTCCACACAGCATGGAAGGTGGCTATGCGGGCCGGCCACTTTGGCTCTTCATCCTTCGTCTTTACCTCGGCTCCTCGTCCAGCCTCTCATCCTCATTCACCCATCGTACTCGCATCGTCGCTCCATTAGGTGCTCATCATCCTCTCGCTCCTACCTCCTCGCTGTTTCACAGCTCGCATCTTCACCACAGCACACCATACGTCTCCGTTGCGCACCTCGTTCAACGTCAGACCTCGCATGCAAGATGGCTGTGCCAGCCACTTTGCCAGCATTGGTGGTGGGAAGCATGGAAGCGGCTGCGTCTGGTGCTTATCAAGCAGCCGTTCAGAGTGCTAGTCAAGCGTCTGATGGCTCGCCCAGCAGACAAGTGGAGATGCACATGCTCGATCGCATCACCGATGGTCGTGAGTCTCACAGCTTCCCCCCTCACTGCTTTACATTTCCCCTTCTCGCCACGTCTTTTACACGCCAAGCTGACAACTTTCAAATGACTCTCAACCTTTGAACCCCAAATCAGAGCAAGCCTTCTCGCCCTCTTCGTACTCCTTGGTGCACATTATCGTTCCCGGTGTTCAGCTCACCCAGGCCCTCTATGCCATCTTGGCTCCAACACTAGCACCAAAAGGTCAGCTCATACTCAACCGGACAGATTCGGATGGCAGCGTAGACATTAGCATCGGCAGGCAGTTGAGCGCTTTGGGACTGCAAGATGTGACCATCAAAGGTGCTGATCACATCACCGCCATCAAGCAAAGCGCTGCTGATACCTCTGCAGCTGGCACGCCTACCACTTCGTCTTCGCTCTCGAATGCAGACGTCGCAGCTAGCGCTAGCACGAGCAACGGCACCGCGAGTGGAGTTAGCGCATCGCTCCCACTTCGTTCGCGTCTCAACAAGCCCAAAGTGAATGGCAGTGCCGAGTCGCGAGCCAAGAAAGCAGCGTTGTGGGCCACGCAACCTTTCGACGATAGCATAGATCCGAGCACATTGCTTTCGGAAGCGGATAGGATACCCGCCAAAGCTGTGCGGCGCGAAGATTGCGATCTGGAATCTGCATTGGCGGGAGGGAAGAGGCGCAAAGCTTGCAAAGGGTGCACTTGCGGATTGAGAGAAATGGAAGAACAAGAAGCGTTGGATGCTGCTCGAAATCGAAACGATGCGGTGATCAAGCTACAGGAAAACAATGATTTGCCCATTCCCGTAGCGGGAGATGCAGCAGGAGCAGCAGACGTGCAGAATGGAAAAGGTCAGAGGATGGAGACGACGGAGACTGTGACGGATGAGAATGGTGTGACTAGAGTGGTCAAGAGGGTCAATGTGGATACGCGAGGCGCTACGAGCAGCTGCGGAAGCTGCTTTTTGGGAGACGCGTTCAGGTGCAGCTCTTGTCCCTATCTTGGTGAGTGGAAGGACCTCTCTTTTCGTACTCAGGAGCAACGCCAGCTTTAAACAGTAGGGAATGGCCTCGATGACAAGTGTTAGACTGATAAAAGAACCCCACCCTTTGCGTTATATGCCGCGTCGTCGTGCACGTCCAGGTCTGCCCGCTTTCAAACCTGGAGAGAAGGTGGAGATCCCGATTGGCATGGATGACGATCTCTAAGCGGTGCTGCTTTGCCAGATCACAGCAACACGTCACTCGTTCGAATCACATCATCACGTTCGGTCCTTGATCAGTAATAGACCTGCTTATAGAAGAGGCCCTACAAGTCATGATGCGTCATCGATCGCTGCAGGTGCGGCGCAAACACTCGTGCTGGCGCAGCATACGCGCGTGCCCATATCGAGCTGGTCAATTCACGGTGTACTGAGCGAAAATGATTCCGGCCTGCACGAGGCGTGGTTCATGCTGTTGGAGAGGTGTTCGTACGGCGACAATCACGGGGTAGTGGTCGCATTGATTTGGAGATATGTCGTGTATCGGTCACACGGGGTACAAGCGGGGATAAGAGTTGTTTGAGTAATACATGATGATCGGTCTCTTATTTTGTTACATTTCAAACAAAGACGAAATGCCTGGGGTCGGGAAACCTGATGGGATTCTTGCATGGCTCATTCTTCAATCTTCCTCCTGCTCATCCTCCTGCTCATCCTCATCTTCATCCTCATCCTCTTCATCTTCATCTTCATCTTCATCTGCGCCTTCGCCTTCGCCTTCGCCGTCCGAAGCGCTCCCCTCCAAGCTCTCCTTGTCCCTCTCCTCAATAGCAGCCGCCACTCGCTTGGCACCTTTGAAAGCAGCAGTGGCGAATCTGGAGATGAAAGGTTTCAGAGCATCCGTCCTGCTCGACGACGCCCAGCTGGTCCAATCTTTGCTCGTAGGTAATAGAGCCACTTGATCCGGATCCGGATCTGGAGAGCCACTGACAGAAGTTGGCGTTCGCTTGCTGATGGCTTGCGTAGCGCATGCCCCTTCAATGAGTTCCACCGCTTCCAGTCGGTCGTACGTGGGGCTGAGCAACTTGATCAGGTGCACCTGTAGAGCGAGCATAGGTAAGATGGGCGCGAGCTATCCAGTGCAAGCGAGGGGACTCACCTGAGTGACTCCAGGCTGCTCAAAGACCCATCCGAGCACAACCCCAAGGCCTCGTTCCCACTCTTTTTCAACGATATTCCCGTACAAGTCGTACCATATTCTTGGAAAGATGCGACCTCGCATCTTGACAGCACTCGCGCGACGCGCTCCAGCATCGTAGCGACGTGGAGCATCCACATCTTGTTCCCGACCCAACAGCAACCTCGGCAGATCTGGCGATCCACCTTCTCGAGGTTGACGGCGCCTCCTCTTGTTCGGAGCGTCGACGAGCTCGACGGAGGGTGAGCGAGATGGCTCGCGTTCCTCGACGGGCTCGGCAGCGATTGGAATGGTCCATTGCACAAGGTAGGAAGCGTCCACCAGGCGTGTTACATCGTATCCTGCCCAAAAGAGCAGAGGCGGTGAAGCGTGCAGCGCTAGGTCGATGGCTTTTTCGATTGTATCCGAGCTCGACTCTGCAAGCTGCGCCTGGAGATGAGCCGCAGTGCGTGAGGATCATGCAGGCGAAGGCGCGAGCAACCACATTCACAATCTCACCTGCAATTGGCTCCATACTGCGCCTTCCTGACCGGCTGCCAGCACAACTTCGTACAGCTGCGCAAGGCAACGCTTCAGCGCTCCCTTGGCCTTCTTGACCTGCGCCTCCCACGCCTGCTCGCAATGTGCTCGCAATTGGAGCTGCTTGTCTGTCAATGTGAGCCATCGTAACACCTCTTGTGCTGGGATGGCAGGTATTGCGAGCGAGGGATCATGGGAACCCGAGTCGATCTTGAGGTTGAACAGCATTTCCATCAACTCGTCATCTATCGTCGGCATGCGATGCAGGTCAGCAGGAACGTCTCGCCACACATCAGTCGGTAAACGAAGACTCACCAATGCGCCTAGTGTTGATCTTGTACTGTTGCGCCACCGTCTCCAAAGACTTCATGTTGAAGTCAGGAGAAGCGACGTGATCGGAAGAAAGCGTCAAGAGCGCCGCTATCTCCGTGTCGCCGAGATTCGGCAGGACTTGGACTTGTCCTGCATCGACGTGCTTCTTGACCGCATCGGCAATTTGGCGAACATCGATGGAGGAGTAGGGATGCACAAAGGCATTGTCCACCCAAACGAAATTGTTTCCAGGTTGTCTCTTTTCCCTTTCCCATCGTATAGCTTTGACATCGAGCAGGTGTTTGATGGCCAGACCCAAGTTGTCTTCGCCCACGTGAGAAGCAACGGCAGTGGTGACGTCGATCTGCTCAGCTCCTGCGCCACCAGCCACGCGCATGCGCGCAAACGCGCTGGCGAGCGCAACTTCGAGACTGCTGGTGGAGCCGGCTATTGCCTGCGCATCCTCGTCGCGCAGAGCTCTATCTGTCGAGACATCCAAGCCGAAGGCCATATTGTGCAGAGCCGATTGTCGGACCGTAAGGCTCAATGAAAAGTCCCAGCCCACACCTGCAGTTTGCCAGGCTGTATGAGCCGGTTCCCGATCAATCTTTAAACCTCGCAACAGCTCGCTCGGGTCCAAAGGCAATGGATCGGCCTCGGCTTGCTCGATGATGGTGTAACTGATGGACGATTAGAGGAAGATGGCAGATCAACAATCATGGGGTCCCAACCCAAGTCTGGTCTGCGATGCACTGGCGCACCAAACTCACATATTCTCCTTATCGATGTGACTACGCAAGAAGCGAATATGCTGAGGCAGATCGAACAGCGTAGGATGACCAGGATGAAGATCCTCCAAATACTGCGTGCCTCTATACTTTTTCCACAATCGCGTCCACTGCGCTTCCAATTCATCCAAGTACGCTGCTTCGCCGATGGTCGAGATGAGGTACCGATAGCGCTTGATGACCGTTCCCTGACGATACGCAAATGGAAAGATCTGTCGAAGGGCGATCCAATTTGTCTGTATCGCGTTTCGCTCCTTGTCCCTCGCTCTAAGAATGACCGCGGCATCACGTAAAAGCTCATCCGACGCCTTGGTCCACATGAGCGCACTGTGACGTTGTCTAAAGCTAGCTGCAGTACGCAGTTGAGAGGTGAAAAAGTTTGTGAGTCGCTCTGTACTCCGCGCGCGCCGTGCTTTTGCCACTCAGATCTCACTGTCAGGTCGAACCGGCCCCGACTCCTTGTCCGCTCGGTACTCTTTTGCGAACGCCCTGAGCTGCCTCTTCCTTTCCCGCTCCTTCTCTGCAGCCGTCATTGGTTTCTCGGCATGCTGCGCGGCGCTCTCCGGGTTGAGCTCGTCACGTAGAGCCTTGATGGCGCTCCTAGCGCTGTCGAGGCCTTCATCCAGGGTGAGTTCGTCTGGCGTCTTGGCATACGTATTCCTAAGCACTCTCATAGCTTCCCAAACCTTATCGTGCGCCAGTTCAAAGCCAGCCTCTCGAAGCAACTCGCGCAGGGCTTCGTCCCACTCCTCTCTTCTAGCCTCTCTCTCTTCTATCTTCTTCTCTCGCGCCTCTGCGCTCTCTCCGACGGCTGATTGTGCAGTCTCATTCAGGTCCAGAGCTGGCACCAAATCTGCACCTCGTGGGGCACCTTCTTGTCGCAACAACCTTCGACCTCGGAAGGCGCTCGGACTGCGTCCATCTTCTTCCGACGTGTGGCGCAAAGACTTGAGGGGATGTCCGTCTGGAAGAGTAGTCTTGCTCATGGTGAGCAGGTACTGCACCAAGGCCCACACGGGCATTACCACCGCCTTGGCAATACGTCGTATACGATCCACATTATCAAAAAAGACGTTTCCCTCATCTTGCGTTTGAGAAGAGGCGCTCCTTCTGGCGTCTTTGACGAACAGCTCCAAGAATTGCTTTTGAGCTGTGAGGAGGTAATATCTGGACGATCTGTGCCTGCTCCAGTGCAGATCTAGACCTAGCAACACAGAGACGGGCGCATCCTTGAGCTTGTCAGCTTGTATGGACGGATGCTTGAGGGCGTAATTGCGCGCAAACATGGTCGACCAATACGCATCGCAATCTTCGACCGAGAACAAGGGCAGGCTGCGCGCAACGAAGCTCGCGTTGCCTTGACGCGTCACGCCCAGCTGAGACATGTAGCCCAGCTTGACTTCGTAAAACTCAGACGTCTCTTGGTTCTCCGTCGAGATCCAACAATGATCCTTGTCGTCGTCCTCCTCATTCGGTTGCCACATGACCGGCTCGACGAGTCCTAGGATATGCAATCTTTGAAAGTACTGCAGAATTTGCAACTTGACAGTCTGCTGCATCGAACCTCTGATCCGTTCCGTCTGGCGTCCCAGTGCCATGACGCACTGTTGCGAGCTTTGTGCGAGCTGCACGACCTCCTCCTCCGGTTCGATCGCAAACATCTTGAAGATGTGTCGAAGCTGAATGGTATCGTTGACCAGTTTGTCGATGCTGATGATAGATTTGGGTCTGGAGACGATAGCTGGCACTTCTCCGCTTGGCGAGTCGGGCTGACCGATGGAGGAGCAAACGTAGGAGAAGACTTGAGCCGGTTTGCCCACGAGGATGGCGACGAGGGCGCGATGAAGGTGACGTAGTCTGGCAATGGAGCCGGGCAAGTAGCCCAGCAATTGATATCTGGCTAGACTGAGTTGCCAAAGCGTCTCGTGATGTTTAGGATTGTCGAGCAATTCTTGCGTGCTAAAGATGTGGCTGAATGGTCCCATATCGCGGGGTGCCTTGTTGGCCTGCAATGCTTCTGGTACGTCCACCTGGACGCCCGCAAGGGGTGCCGCTCTCCAGACCGCTCTCATCTGTGCCGATCTGGTAAGGACAGAATGTTCAGAGGTGGACAATGTCTGGGTATATTGTTGCACCTTTTCCCAAGGACAATCCTTGTGATGGATCACTTCGACCTGCCTTCCCGTCAAGTGAGATATGCACTTGAAAGTCTTTACCGCCCCAACCTCTACCAGCGCGTCGACCATCTGTCTCCTCGTCCTCACATCTTGACAATTGCCCACTTCCATCTGGGCAGCGTCTGCGCTTAGCACTCCTTGCACGTACTTTTGATACTCGACGGGCAGCATGATGAAATCCACCACTCCAATCTTTTCCATCAAATCTCGACCGTACTTGGCTCGTTGCGTCTTGAGCCAGCTGTCCCGTGCCTGCGAGTGGTTCAACGAGCGAGCTTTGGTTCTGCCCATCGCTCGCAACCTGCCCCTGTTCGAAGTGTTGGCAGGAGTGGCGGATCGGGCTGCAGCTGAAGCACTAGGTGCCGGCGATGCCGAGGTGGCTGCTGCCGGCGACGCATTCGCGGATACTTCTGGTACGTTCCGACTGGCCTCTCTAATCGAAGCACTACGCTCGAGGCTCTCCTCGGGATCGTGTGCGTCCGCATCAACTTGCTCTTGAGGCGTCAGAAGAGGCTCGTCGTCAATTCCAGCCGTCGCATCTTGCGCCTCATGTTCCCCCTGAACTTCAAGCATGTCGAGGGCGCGCTCAGCAGCTGCCGCGTCTGCCGCCGCCTCCGCTTCTTCCCTATTGCGCTTATCTATTTTGATTCTCGATCTCTGACCAGCAAGAGTGAGGCTCTCGAAAGGTTTCAAAGGATAAGGTCTCCTCTTCTTTACGACTGGCGTATTCGGATCCGGCTCGGTTTTTTCCTTGCGTGGTCGACCCCTCTTCTTGGGCGCAACGGGGCTATCAGCGTGATTGCCAGTGGCCTTGGACTTTTTCCTCGCTCTACCACTGGCATCGTTGTCCTCGTCCGCTTCCGGCGCTGCATCCGTGCCCTCCTTCAGCGCCGTTCTCCAAGCTTTCGCGACCTCTTCACGACTAATAGCCGGCGGCGCTTGTTCCGACAATGGCCACTGATGAATAGCTTGCGCTTCGTCCCACGTCACATCACCCTCCTGAGTAGCGTCCAACGACGAACCCTTGCGTAGGCAAGCGTGGGCCAATTGTGACCAATATCGAGCATACTTTAGCCTACCCGAATGGTCCGTGGCTGCGACGATGAGGGCATCGCACATGGTCCTGCTGATCCTATTGACCGGACCGTTGTACGACTCTTCCATCGAACGCATCAGATGGTCGATGGATCTGCGTCCTTGATACGTAGCTCCCAGAACAGCAGCCAGCTGCATCGTGCTGATACCGGTCAATCCAGTCGCGCAGACAATCTCGCTCAACTGTCTCTCCAAAGGGACGCCCCTAGCAATGCGGCCCTGCTGCAACCTGTTCAATTCGTATTTGAGGCTCGCCGTCACACGAGCCATCGCCTTGTCCTTTGCGGAAGACAGGAATTCCTCCGACCACTTGATTCCAGCCGGAAGCAGCCTGATGCAATTCTGCACGCCGCCCGAGCTGGTTTTTGCGCGTACGTTGTCGAGGTATCCGGCATTCAAGGCCGAGTAGATCCTAGCGCTGATGCGATTCTTGACGCCCGCAGCGCTCCCAAAGGCTCCCGCATGTCCATGCCAGCCGAGTCTTTGTCGGATGAATTTTCGAGGTAGAATGTGATTGGAGGAGAGGTAGGCGAGTCGTATGATGCGCACGAGGAGCACTTTGGACGTATCTCGAGCCAGTACTTGCCCTTCCATCTTTGTGAGTTGTGGGTAAGCCAAGAGCGTTTCGGCGTCTTCACCTTCCAGACCTTCCACAGCCTCAGCCGCCGCTTCCTTTACGTCTTTCTGCTGATTGACCGGCGGCACACTGCCTCGAGTAGCCGTGCTAGAGTCCAGCACGGCAAGGAAATCCTCCTCTGCATGAAGCGCGGCAGAGTCTTGGGTTGCGCCCAGCACCATTCTTGTCTCTAAGAGAGAAGGCTCGATGGAGAGCATCTTGGCTTCCTCGTTTTCTTCATCCTGCGCTTTGTCGTCTTCTTCTTCCTCCTGAGCGGCATCGGCATCGGCATCGGCATCAGCACCCTCATCAGCATGTTCTGCACGTTGCTGCTGCTGTTGCGACTTTGCATTCTTTCCAGCTTTAGAAGCCTTTTCGACGGCCATGACGCTATTCTGCTCCATCTTCCACACCGCATTGCCTTCCCTGAACCGATTCGCAACGACGGCGGCCACTCTGGCCTTGTTGCGCGTCTCGTTGTACTTGCTGACGAGGTTCTTTTGGGTCAAGACGCGCACGTGATGAAATATCGTTTTGCTGTCTATACCCAACACTGCGCCAATCTCGGGAAAAGAAACGCCGGCGCTCTTGGATCGTACGACGATCTGCAACGTGGCAAAGGTCAGGTCCGACATGGTGCTCTGTCGAGGCGGACCCGCGCAAAGGATCGGCGTCAGTGCCTCGCTGCCGTATGGGCAAGGCTTTGAAGGCATGCTCGACTCACCGAAGCATCGCCTTTTGTCAACTTGGCGAGCAAGAGTTCTCTTGTCAGACCAAAGCGTAGCCTGTCGGTATGGCGAGTCTCTAGCTGAGAAATGTCTGCGCTGCGAGTCTCGGCATCCACATTGATCGTGTCCAAGAAGGATTGTATCGCTTGCTTTTGTCGCCTTTTGCCCTTGGTAGCCGCATCTCCCGCTGATGGCGTAGCGTCATGATTGCTCGGCTCGTCATTGCTGCGCGGCGCCTGCTCTTGCCGAGCTTCTGCGACGGTCTTGAGGCCGCCTGCAACGACGCCAGGGATGCCGCGCATAGATCTCCACACGTAGTTGGTCCACGATTCATCCAACAATTGTTTGAGGCCGCCATTCTGTTTGATCCTCTCTTCTTCATACGCTTCGATGGCTTGTCGTAAGGCTGTCAAGGTGATGCCTAGACCCGTTGCGGGATGGGTGTTGCGCGCGCAAGTAAGAGTGTCAGTGAACGTGGGCGCGAGTGTGCCCCTGCTGACCCTCCTGGGTTTGCACCCCTTTGCATTTTTAGCTCGACTCACCAGCAGAACCCTCCACGGCCATCTCCTCCATCAAGAAGCCTCTCAGATCGTCCATCTCGTTGTCGTGCAGATGTGGCTAAGCTGGGCGCATGTACGCCGAACGACGCCTCTCCACCGCGTCCTGCACTCTTGACTGCGACGAGATGCGCCTGGTGAGCGCGTAATCGCAAACGAAGTGATCGAATGCGCCAGACTCACGACTGCCGTGCTGGATACAAGACACCCGCGCTGGACGAATGAGCTCAGTCAGACGCGCATGCACGTAGCAGGCGCGGGGATCTTGCTCGATCGTGGAATCGCGCTCAGAGGTTGCTTGCGGTCCACTTCACCATGCAATCCACGAAAGCTCCTTCGCTTTCGCAACTTCGCGCAACAATTAATCACCCTCCTGTCGATCGATGGACTGCGCGATTGCGCCTAGGGTTTCAACCGCCGCGGTGATCGTGGATCGTATACTGAGCCGAGGCGAGACCGTGCGATAAGGCCTTGACCCACGAGATCCTTGACATCTACATTCGCATTCGGATTGAATGCGAGAGCGTGATGCTTGCTGTCACTCCGCAAGTCTCGCTTCGGAGTGAGTAGGTTGAGCGCACTGGACTAGTTCGAAGCGTCCAAACACCTTGTGGTCCAATCACCCCAGAGTGCGCGAGGGAGTGGCTAACGTTATAGAGCGAAGGTGCCACTCAACCCCCTCCAGACTTGACCCTTTGACCTTCTCCAATCGTTCGATGCTCCGGCCACCGAAGGAGGAGAGCTGTGCTGGAAATCTGTCCGTCGTTCGGCAAGGCAGCGAGCGGGGGTTGAAAGAAGGCCGGTGTTGTGTATGTTTGCCAGCCTTTGAGTTTCTTTGGGATTGTGGAGGTGAAACGTGACTCGATTCTGGAATTGTGTGAGGCATGGAGGACCAGCGTTCGATTCCGCTGCTCGTCGTCGTCTTTGTGAGGTATGTGGATGCGATGGTTGCGCAACGCCCCCTCCGCCGCTACTCGACGCTTGCCATCGATCGTCATGCCAAAGCAGGCGCGCAATTCTGGCATGCAGGCCCAGGGCGAAGAAATTCTGCACGTGACTCATTCCGAATCAAGAATCTCGTTCTCGTGCGAATGACCGTGAATTTGAATCGTGAATTCGTGATTCACGTGATTGTTGTTCCAGGCTTGGAACTTTTTTGGGCTCCAAGTCAAGAGTCCATTCAAGATTCAAGATTCTGAATCAAGAGTCAAGAGTTCGAGTTGGGTCGCGCGTTGACCAAATGCTATGATGTGTGTATACAAACAGGCGAAACGTCATCACGACGTACCCTATCATAGGGCTCTGACTCTGGACATTCATCATCGAATCGACACACGCTCTGCCATTCAAGCGCTTCACAACGATCATCACGCCAGTGGTCGACCAACAGTATCAATCTAGCACGCTTGACTTGCTGACCAGGGGCTGGGCACACAACCTACCCCTTGGCACTCATTGACTTCAAGCCAACCTCGCGTTCACAGCTTGCCAGCTCAGGTCATATCTGAGCTCTTGTCAATTGCTCACCTCATCAAGTCGACGTTCCGTTGTGCGCTCTCTCCTCCCCTTCTTTGCCCTACGATGGGCAAGCGCCAACAACCTTCTCAATCTAAAGCCAAGTCTGCACGACGAGCTGCAGCTCTACAAGCAGGCGGTCGAGGAGGCGCAGGAGGAAAGACTGACGCGGGCTTGCCCGATTTCTTCAAGAGGCGAAAAGAGGCCGAATCAAGAGCGCGCAATGCAAATGTAGTCGGGGCAGGAGCAGGAGCGGGAGCGGGAGGCATGGATGTGGATGACGAAGAGGCAAATGCGCGCATACATCCCACCCACACCTACTCCTCCTCCTCGCGAGAAACTCAGATGGAGGACTCGTTGGCCGAATCCTTGCGCGCTCTCCAGTCCGTCAATCCCTCCTCCACTCATGCGCATTCTACGTCCGCCTCGTCACTCGCAGCGAGCGCCGACGGTGCTCGACATGCGTGGAAGGATGTCAAGGATGCGGCGCTTAGTGGCAGGAAGGACAACTCTTCCAAGGCTTACATGAAGGAGTTGAGGCGCGTCATCGAGTTGAGCGACGTGCTCATACAAGTCTTGGATGCGCGCGATCCTCTGGGCTGTCGGTGCGTGTCGCTTGAGCGCAGTGCGCGTAGCCATGCGTTCCCAATCACCTCCCTGACTGATCCTCACTTCTTCATCCCTCTACTTCCGCTCCCCAGCTCCCAGAGCACTGAAAGGCTAGCGCTTTCATTGGGCAAACGCATCATCTTGGTGCTCAACAAGATCGATCTCATTCCCTTGTCCCACGTACAAGGCTGGCTACGTTACTTGCGGCACGACTACCCTACACTAGCCTTCAAAGGCTCGACGCAGGTCCAACGAACCAAGCTTTCTCAAGGCATGGGCAAGAGAGGTTTGGTAGACTTGAAAGAGGGAGAGTTCAGATCTCGGTCTGGTAGAAATGGGCAAGGAGCAGCAGCTGGTATGGGGGAGAGCATCCAAAGCGGAGCAGAAGCTGTGGGCTGCAAACCTTTGATCGATCTCCTCAAAGCTATGAACCGCGAGCATTCTCTCCGCGGCAATTCGGCTCACAAAGGCAGCAAAGCTCAGGGCTCGAGCGCAAAGACGTCACTCACCGTCGGTCTGTTTGGCGTTCCCAACGTGGGCAAATCAACGCTTATTAATTCTCTGGTGAGAAGCAAGAGCTGTTCCGTTGCTTCCACACCTGGCCATACCAAGGTTTCGCAAGTAGTGGCGCTGGACAAGAGCCTCAAGTTGGTCGATTGTCCCGGCATCGTCCTTTTCGACAAGGAGGAGAAAGCGCGAATGCAGAGCGTGGGCAATCTGATGGCTTTGGGGCTGGGAAACACCATCAAGGTCGAATTGATCGAGGATCCCGTCACGCCCGGTGAGTGTGCGAGCGAGCGAGCGAGTGTGCTGCTTGTCAGAGTGTCCAAAAGAGGACGATGGTGAAGCGGCACGAGAAAAGATGTTGACCCGCATCTACGTCCACGCGTTCTATTGTGATCCACTTGCAGTCGCGACCATTCTGTCCCGCGTGCCCGCTCAGCAATTGATCGATCTCTACGGCATTCAAGGCGGCTTCGACTTTGTGCAACCATCGACATCGTCCAACGATGCGCAGGGAGATCCTACGGATTTTTTGATGCGCGTTGCGCTGCTGAGGGGCAAGGTGGGCAAGGGAGGTGTGCCGGATATCGAAGGTGCTGCGCGGATCGTGCTTCAGGATTGGAACGTGGGACGAATCAAGTGGAGCATCGCGCCGCCTGTTCGTGGACTCGAGCAGCAATCGCACGCGTCTAGCTCTAGTCTGGACACAAGGAGCAGGGAAGGAGAATCTGCTGCTACGGAGGCGCAACGCGTTGATGGGCAAGAGGTGAAAGGTGCTAGCGTTGTGGAAAATTTTGCCCCCGCTTTCGACCTGAAAGCTTTGTTGGGAGAAGCGGATGAGGAAGCGTTGGGATACTTGCAGGGAACGGGCATCGGTTCTACTGTGCCCGCCCCGCCCGAACGTACATACGCGCCCGAGAAAGACGAGATAGAAGTTGAAGAAGATGAGGTCCGTGATCGCTTGCCACATGACTCGGCCTTGAAAGACAAATCTGCGCCGGCGCGAGCTGCATCTTCGATTTTGGGCAAGAGGAGTAGGACATGGAAGAACGATGCAATGTCATCGGACGAAGAAGGGAATGCACCGGCTTTTGGAAGAGCGTTGTCAGCTGATGATTCGGAATGGGAAAGCGACGAGGGAGCGGCGGATCCCCATGCGCCTACGCATGCCCAGCTCGAAAAGAAGACGATGCGATCCCTCTCAACCTCGAGAGCAGCTTCGAACAAAGCTGCGACGGGAGCTGGCGTGGGAGCGGAAAGCAATGTTGCTGCTAAACGAGGAAGCGTGAGGCGAGCGCTCAAGAAGCAGAGGAAAAGGGAAATGTTGGGAGGCGATGGGATCGTCTTGGGCTTGATGAGGGGAGCCAAGATTGATCAGGAGGAGGAGGGGAGGGTGCAGGGAGGGGAGCAGGTTGGAGGGATGGATGATCGTGCTGAGACTGCCTTGCATGGACGAAATTGGGCAGGGAAAGAAGGGAGGGGCATATTCGATGTGCCCCTCCTTCCGACCACAGCACCTCCGCCTGCACCAGCACCAGCATGCATGCCTACGCAGCAATCTGCTTCTTCGAGCGCTGCTGGACCCCCAGCAGAGGAAGAGGAAGAGGAATTGTGATGAGAGGGTCGGTCGTCCAATCGCTGCTCTCCCTGCCATCGTCCTCTGCACGGCGCTACAATGCACAGCCATATCCCAGTCTAGATGTATTTCGTACTCCACCAGTCGCAACGCGGCGAGAAGCAGCAAGGGCTTCGCAAAGCCCCCTTTTTCAAAGCCTCTCCGCTAGTCGCTAGCTCTTGGTGCTCCCAGAGATGATTGACGCACGACTGCGTCTTACATTGTCGTTCTGAAAGAATATGAATAGGTGACAAGAGCACGACGACAAGAAATGGAGTTTGTGCATGTTCGAGCGGGATCAGATGGGGGGGGGGGGGGGCTTGGAACGAGCGCAAAGCGCACAGCTATCTCTTTCCACCTCTGCTCTTCTTCCCACTCACATTCCTGCCCGTACTCCTCTCTCCCAAATCCTTGGCAAATCCAGCTCCTTTACCCGTAACTTTTCTACTGCTAGAGCTCTTGCTCTTCCTCCTCTTCTTTCCAGCCGCCGCAGCAGCGGCAGCATCTTTCTTTTGCGCCTTTTTTGAGAAGCTCGTGTCGGGCATGCCCAAGGATGCGGGTCTAGAAGATTTCTTGGCAGCTCGTATGGACGCATCCACGCTCGATTGACTCTTTTCCTTTGCTATCTCTTCTTTCATCTGCTTGGAACGTTTTTGCTTGCGAGATAAACCGTCGTATTTGCCTCGCTGAGGAATAGATGAAAGGCGGGGGGTGGGGGCGGGGAAGTGGGGGTGGCCAAGAGCCGAGATGGCAGATATTAAGTGAGCAGGTGGATGGAGGGGGCGACGAGATCCAAAAAGAGGCAAATGGCACAGGATAGTCCACACGTCACTACGGCTGCTCACCTTTGTGCCGTCCGCCTTGCGCTTCTCGCCCTTGCTGAGATAATCAGCAACCGAAGCGTCTGCGGTGCGAACGAAAAGAGCATGTGCAACAAGAGCGAGATTCGCAGTATGAGCAAACAAAGCAAGGAGCCCGTCGTCGCCCCCCCAACAATCGAGCTGACCACCATCATATCCACTCCCAACCCGTCCTTCATTTCAATCTCCCCCCCCCCCCCTCCCCCCCCGCCGCGCCTCAAAGTCCTCCTCCCACCCACGCACCTTTCGAAGCATTCTTTTCCTTTTCGCTTTGAAACCAAGTCCTCTTTGGTCTGCTCATAATCTCCTCTCTATGCTTTTCCACGTTTTCTCCCTTTCTTAGTTCCCTCTCTGCAATGTCCAGTTCCCTCATTTCCTTTTCCTCGCTCATCACTTCGCGCACCGTCTCCTTGAGCTGGTCCAACTTCTCCAGCATAATGTTGACGTGGTCAGCAGGTACGAGTCTGTGCTTGATATTCTCCTCTTTGGAACCCTTGATGGCCAATTTGAGCAATTTGCGGTCTTGTTCGCCAACCAGCGTGACCGATCGGCCTTCTTTGCCCGCTCGAGCTGTTCGACCTACGCGGTGCAGGTAGACGTCAAAGGAATTCGGCATGTCGTAATTGATGACCGTTTGAACATTTTTGATGTCCAGACCGCGCGAAGCTAGATCCGTAGCGATCATATAGTCTACTCTACCATTCCTGAAGCTATCCAGCGATTGTAAACGTAGCTCTTGCGACAAGTCTCCATGAAGCTCGCAAGCCGTGAGGCCTACCAATCCAAAGATGATTTTGAGCTGATGAGCCAGCTTCTTGGATCGCACAAAGATGATGACTTGGTGCGTGAATGTTCTCAAGCACAAAGAAAGCAACAACGCAGGTCTCATAGTCTCCTCTGTCCTCCTATTGCCCTGTCCCAGTGTGGCAAGCTGGGCCTGCTCCGCATCCTCACCATTCGAAGCAGCAGCAGCAGCTCCTCTGACCCTCACAAACTCTTGCACCAAGTTCTTTGCAGTGCTCCTCTTGGGATCCACAAAGATCCTGACGGGTCTCCTCAAGCCCAAATTAATGAGCTCATCCACGCTATCCGTCATGGTAGCGCTGAAGAGCATGCTCTGCCTCTTGGTCGGACAACTGCTGATGATCTCTTTCAATTCTTCCCTGAATCCTTCTTCCAACATTCGGTCGGCTTCGTCCATGATCAGAATTTCGATAGAGTCCAGATTGAAAGAGGGAGAGTTTTGCAAGTGGTCGATCAGACGTCCTGGCGTGGCGATGATGACTTCTGGTCTACTTCGTAGTTCCTTTTCTTGCGCTTTGAGGGACAATCCACCTGATGGCGGAGGATCGAGAAGACGAGCATACGCATGAGCAGACGGCAACGGGAATCTTCGCACTTGAAAGCTTCTATTGCATTGGTAAGCAGCGAACGCTACTCACCAACAGCCAAGCAAAAGTTGACATTTGCAAATTTGCCAATAGCGTTCCCCACTGCAGCGCACTGCACTGCCAACTCTCTGGTGGGGAGGAGCACGAGGACTCTGCTTCTGCTTTCCGTCATGGGTCTATGAAGCAACCTCTCCAACACGGGGATGATGAATGCAGCAGTCTTTCCGCTTCCCGTCACTGCGCCAGCCACGATATCCTTGCCTGCCAAAGCTACAGGGATCGCGCGAGCTTGAATGGGCGTAGGTTGATGGTAGGATAGCGTGGAGAGGGCTCGAAGCAGTGCGCGAGAGAGGTTGAGGGAGCTGAAAGATGATGCGCCCGCGGGATCGCCGCTGCTTTTGCCACCTGCATCGGGGCCCTCTTCATGAGCAAAGAATGCCGCCTTCTTTGCTCGATCGATCTCCGTTTCGTTGGTCTGCTCGTCTTCGTCCACTGACGAGTCGGACTCTGCTGCATCGTCATCACCTTCCCCCTCATCTCCATCCTCCTCTTCCTCATCCTCCTCGTCCTCGCTCTCGTCACCCTCTTCTCCCGCTTGCTGGGCCTGCCTCTGAGCTCGACGCGCCCCCGCACCGAATGCTTCTGAGTGGAAGATCGAGGGAGACGTGGGTGAGCCGGTACCGCTTGAGCCTGAGCCTGCACGCAACTTGCCCGCTGACTCACCTTCATCGCTGCTTTCGTGCTCCTCCTCCTCCTCCTGCTCTAGCTGCCCCTCTTCCTGCTCCTTCTCCTTCTCCTCATCATCATCAGGCAAGACAACCTTTACTCTTCTCTTTTCGATGATATCATCCACCGTCAAACCTCTTCCTGCTTGACCCTTATCCCTAACATCCGCACCGCTGCTCTTGCCCTCGTATCCCAGTCCAAGCCCATACCCATCCCCCTGCAAATCAAACACAAAGTCCTTGTCCATCTTCCAAGCTTGTCCATCGTTCCCCTCTCGCAATCCTTGCGCATTACCGCTCACTTTGGATTTCATGGACAAGGTCGATTTGCTCTTCGAAGTGCCAAGGCTAGGCTGAGAGCTGGAATGAAGGCGGGTGGAAGTGGAAGTGGAGCTGGAGGGATGGACGTTGTCATCTCCTTCTTGTTGCCACTCCATCTCTCCCTCCGACTCTCCTGCAGCGCCGACTTCATCGTCCGAATCGATGGTCAAGATCAGATCATCCCCTGACTTCTTCTTGGCCGAAGCGGGGGCTGATCTGGATTTGGACGAGCTTTGAGCTGCTCTTGAACCGCCCGCTGCGGCACCAGCACCAGCACCGGCACCAGCAGCGTTGCCTATCCGACCGCGCCCTGTTGAAGCTGCCATTGTTGGACTGCGGCCCGCCCAACTCGCGTCTTTTCGTACAGCCAGTCTGTCTGCCTTCTGGCCCTTGGTGACGACGAAGAGCGCTTCTGCGTAGTTTGCGCCAGAGGGAGCGTGCACGAGAGATGCTGTGTGAGGCTGCCTGCTACGTCGAGTTACAACGCTCGATAGCGTCAGTCTGCGTGCAGGTCGTAAGTCGTGAGTATTCGCGAGATGTGCTCCAACAACGGTGAATCTGAATGTGTATCAGCAGCATTCAGAGTTGCAGTCTTGAGTGTGAGTCTTGGTCGAGTCGAGTCCAAGATGCACCATCTCTGCTGTCCCCCCGTAAAGTTCCAAATCCAAACATCAATCGCCATCCCCCGCTGCATCTTTTCTCCAAAAATTCCACGAAATTATCAGGGACACGTGATGATGTTCTATTTGGTCACGTGTCATGATCTCTTCGGATGCGCACGTGGGCGCTCAAAACCGGGTGCATGGCGATGCATGCATGCATATGCGCGTCGAGCATGCAAGCATGGCCGCGGTGCGGGCGGTGGAGCAGAGTAAACAAGTGTCGTCGAGCAAAAAGGGTCAATCGAATCGAACATGCCCCCCGTCCGCCCGTCGCGCAGCTCATGTCTGCTGCATGCTGATGCTGATGCTGTGGGGCCGGCCGGGTCTGAAGCGGCTGAGGTGATGAGAGACGCGATCGCTGAGGTTGCATGTATACAAACGATGCGCCCGCCAGGTGCATGACTTGACAATGATCGAGTGAATTCAAATGGCCACGCGCTGAGCTCATATTGTAGTGGTCAATTCAAACTCGGAGGCGAAAGAGAGAAGTTGTATTTGCTGAGAAAAGCGCGCAATCGTGAATGGTGAGTGCGCTCGCGCGGTGTGTTGAGTGGGCGTGGCGGCGAGCAGGCGGTTGGGGCAGGCAGGCGTGTAGCACGCACGTAACCTCATCTCATCCCTCGCGAGTCAAGAGCACGTCACGATCATCATCATCCTCACCTCCAACATCGTGTTCACACAGCATCATCCGAATCCACGCTACCCGTGACATCGCTCCTTGCTCATCGATCGGGCGAGCGTATCAGGCACGGGTTGTCGAAGCAATCGCACCGCGATCGCAGGATTGCAGCGTGGCGGTAACAAGCAAACATAGCTGAGCTACGCGTAGCCACGCGCTTGCTTCATTCCAGAATGTCGCAAAAGTATGCCAACATTGTGCCCTCTGCAGATCCCACATCTGCAGAGCAGACGGGCATTCAACCTGCAAGCCCCAAGAACGTAATCAAGAAGCTGCCGGGAGAGCAGAGCAGCGGGGATGCGGAACAGGAGAGGATGGGAAAGGAACAAGCTGTGCTGCTTCACCAGAGAATGTTTGCTGACAACAGGGACACGTGAGCGCATGTATGCGGCGGCCATTAGAGGCACAGGAAACACGAACTGACCCACACGCCACCCTGTTTGCTCGCAGCCTGATCGAGTCGATTGACAGCACCAACAAGGTTGTGGGCCAGCTGCGAGAGTGGGCAGCCGACCATTGGATCATTCACTACCCCGAGACGGATCGCGTTGAAGGCACCGCTTCATCATCGTCTCCCAACGTCCGTCGATCTCATTCCACTGCACCTGGAGAATCGCTGGAAGCAGGTGCACCGCAGACAGCCGCAGAACACCCCACTCTGCACCGTTCCTACACGGCCGCAGTACCTCACACTGCATCTGCACCCACCACACCCACGCGCAAGCCTCTCAACAGGTCCAACACACTCTCGCCCAGCTCCGTCGATGAGCCCAAGGAGGGCGAGATGTCCGTCTTGCGATTGGACCTCAAGCTGGGAGCAACGACGCGCAACCCATCCGCACTGGTAAAGACCTTGGAGAAGTCCTCCATCGCTCAACTCTTGGACGGCAGAATGTCGCAATCGCAGCGTCACCTCAACAATCTCAAAGCTCGCATCAGCGACAAGCAGTCCAAAGTGCTCGTCACTGGCGATCTCAACGCCGGCAAATCCACCTTTGTCAATGCTCTGTTGAGGAGAAGAGTGATGCCGACCGATCAACAACCTTGCACCACCGTCTTTTGCGAGACGCTAGACGCCAACGAATCCAACGAAGGTGTGGAAGAGGTGCACATGCTCAAGAACGACACGCCATACGATCGAACCAATGAAAGCACCTACACCAAGCATTCTCTCGCTGAGATCGAAAAGATTGTGGCAGATGCTGAAGAGTTGTCATCGGAGGATGCACCCTTGCTCAAGTGCTACTGCGCCGACACCAGGTCCGCCAAGGCCTCGCTGCTGCACAACGGTGTCGTCGACATCTCGCTCATCGACGCTCCAGGCTTGAACAGAGACAGCCTCAAAACAACGGCGCTGTTTGCTCGTCAGGAAGAGATCGACGTCGTCGTCTTTGTCGTCTCTGCCGAGAACCACTTTACGCTATCGGCCAAAGAGTTTCTATGGAACGCATCCAACGACAAGGCTTACGTCTTCATCGTCGTCAACAAGTTTGACCAGATCAGGAACAAGGACAAGTGCAAGAGATTGGTCTTGGATCAGATCAGACAGCTCTCCCCCCGAACGTACGAGGATGCGGAAGAGCTGGTTCACTTCGTCGACTCGAGCTCCGTCTTTGGGGCTACGCCACCCGTTACTCCAGGCGAGGAAGTCAAGGTTGGCAACATGGACGAGGTGCAAGGCAACACGGAAGCTAGCACGTCGTTCGCAGCTCTCGAAGCTTCCCTGCGCGACTTTGTGCTGCAAAAGAGGAGCAAATCCAAATTGATGCCTGCGCAGACGTACGTGCTGAGGCTGCTACTCGACCTGGCCTACGTGGCCAGGACCAATTTGGACATTGCGCACGTCGAAAAGACGGAAGCGCAAGAGAACCTCAACGTGGACCGACCTGCGCTCAAGGAGGGAGAAAAGAGGCACGCCAAGCTGGAGTCGGAGCTGGAGATGCAAGAGGAAGGCATCGTCAGTGGGGTTGTTCAAGGATCTAGGTTCAAGCTCGACAAAGCGCTGCAGCTCATCTCCAACGGTCAAAGTTCCGAGCCGTCTCTCGTCAGCTTGCCAGAATGGAAAGGACTGTTGAACGTGCTCGAGTACGCTCAGCAGGTGCGCACGGCCCTACTTGAGTCGATGGAGGCTAGTGTCAAGACCATTGAAGATTCCGCCAGGGGTGTGACGATCGAAGCTGTAGAGAAGATTAGAAAGATGGGCAAAGATCAATTGCCTGCTGAGGCCGCGTCCAAGGAGAACCAAAGGGTGTTCCTGCCCGAAGCCATGTTTGCCAAGAGACGCAACAACAGCAGAGGAACAGCATTCGCGGGATTGGGTCTCTCGGAAGATCTGGTCGAGGTGAAGTTGACGGATCTTTTCGACTTGCCCCACTACATTCTCATCGTTTCGAGAAAAGCCGGTTTGGACCATCTGCTAGAGTCGGCGAGCGATGGCAAGGAGCGATCCTTGACGAAGCAGGAGAAGGAGAATGCAGCCGCTGCGGGAGGTCTGACGTTGTCGTTGGGCGCGGTGACGCTGTTGGGAGGCAAGACGCTGGGAGCAAAGACGTTGATCGATAGCGTGCTCAAGTTTACCAGCCTGGCGAGCAACGGTACGGTGAGGAAATGGACCGCACCCGTCTTTGCCGTCGTGGGCAGCGTGCTGGTGGTGTGGTACATTCGAGACTTGCCAAATTCTATTCCTCGCAATGCGGGCAGGAGCATCGCACACGAGCTGCAACATGCGCCCATTGCGAGCACACGACCCTCCACATCCGGCCTCTCCACCACCGTCTCCTCCCATGCGAGCGCCAACGCCAACGCAGCCGCGACGACCAAAGAAGGTCCGACGTTTGTGGAGTTCCAGACGAACAGAACGGCAAGAGAGACGCGCCGAGTGCTCAGATTGGTATCGTGGGAAGTGCACGAGATGTTCAGGGTGCACTTGTCCGAAGTGCGCGCTAGGGTGGAAAAGGAGGAAAATAGGCTCAAGAGCGCAAAGGGTGCGCAGAACGAGTTTGAAAGCATGCTGCAGAAGGTGGCGGGTATCGAACAGCGCACTCGAGAGGTGGACTTTTAGCTTCCGTTGGGCCGTTTCGCAATCACACCGTTTCTCGTACGGCGCCACTTTTGACGTTTCGCATTGGCCCACTCGACCGCTCGATTCGATTTTGCTTCTCCTTCTAATGTACACATGCTCTTGCTAGCAGCCAACACCTTCTACACGCGGTACGCGTCTTGCGTCCACGCACGCAACCCTTTTCATGTGGATATGTCTCTTTCTCGCACTGACGAACACGCACACACCACACGTTTTTCCCTCTTTCGAGTGCCGAACTATACACCGCTTTTACTGTTCCGAGTGCACATTCACGAACATGGCCATTTTTTGCGTTTCAGCGTCCCCAGCCTCGAGTGGGGTTTGATACTGCCGGGCGCGCATGATGCTACGACGGTGGTGGACGTGGTAACGCATGCTCTTGAGAGCTACACGGTACGACGTTGACGGGCGTGAAGCGCATAAAGATTAATCGAGTGCTGAGAGGTGTGTGCAGAGATACAATGGAGGAAAAGGGGTCGGCGAGGGATGCTTGATTCTTTACGGTATGGAGGACATGTGGGATATGATGACACGTCTGACTTGGATGCATCGGCGTGGCGTATTTTGAGATTACGTGGGATACAAAACTCAGGTATTTAGGTAGGCTTCTCGGGGCCCTGTGCCCCTGTGCCCAAGGAAGTCGGTACTCGATGGCTCTGGACAGGGCCTTCAGAGCATCTCGCCTTCGTTCCTTGGCACTTGCAAGTGTGGCTCGAATTTTGGACAAGCACTTTGGTTGAGCGGCAGTGGCAGAGAGCACGCATCGGCGATGTTCATGCCGCAAAGCAGCCGTTTGAGCGCCGGATCGCTAAAAGTGTCAGCTGATGACGGCGCGCAAGGAGGGGCGGTCATTGCAGCCACTGATGTGCTCCAAGTCGCGCTGGGCTGCTGGTACGCGAGCGTCGCTGCTGAAGAGCCACGCTGCAGGTCGGCCAGCAACGGCGATGTTTCGAAATCGACCCCTGCTGGCTTTGCGACATTCTCGGATGCTGCTGCTGCTGGCGCTTCGACCGTGCTCATGTTCCAAATGTCCGTCGACAAAGCTTCGCGTCCGAAATCGTGGCCCGTCGTGGAGTGACGACGATTGTCATTGTTGAGCTTGCTGCTCGACGCCGAACTGCAGAGCCAAGCTTGCAACATGTCGGGAAGATTGACAGCGTTCGCAGAATTCGGGGCGCTCTGTTGTTGTTGAGGCTGAAGGATGGAGTTTTGCCACGGTGCATCGCATTGATGGTGAGATCCAGCCGTGCTTGTCCTGGGTAGGGTTTCACATGGCAGACTAAGGCCGAGGCCCAGCAGTTGACCGCTACACTCAGCCATTGACGTAGCTTGCGTGGGGGTATAGTCGTTCGAATGGCACGGTGCTGCTTGCTGGCCCAAGCCATCCAATCCAAAGACTTGTTGAGCATCCTGCATAGAGTCGACGGCGGCGTCTCGATTGACTCCGTCGGAGCGTGCAAAACCATCCAGCAGCTCTTGCTGCAGCTGAGCTAGCTGGCTCATGTCAGATCCATGATGCGTCGCCGTCTCTGGGAAAGAAGCCTCTGTCCATAAGGATGAGCCTGTCCCGAGCGACGGTGTGGGTGCAAGACTTTCGCATGGTGTGGGCGCTACAAAACCTCGGCGTATCGTGAGGGCCGCGCTGGGCCCAATGTGTGCTTCGTTGATGGTTCTGCGGCGAGCCAAAAGCGTGGAGGCGGTGCTCCGACTCGTTGAGCCGCCCCATGTGCCGCTTCGTTGCAAGCTAGCTTGTAATTGGCACTGTGCGTTGGCATCGGAGATCGAATTTGAAGCCGGTGACGCTGAGCTGTCGGTGTAGACAGCAGGTTGACCGCCGGGCATTACAGCACAAGAGGCAGACGGTCGCTTCATTGCGGCCACGGGCAAGTGAGGATCTTTGCGTTGTCGCGGTGGCGGTTTGCCCGCCGCGGCGCGCGTGGCGCTATGCTTGAGCTTTTGGCGGCGATTTTGAAACCACACCTGCGAGGGGCGAAGGCACGCGCGCGCGCGGATGAGCACGATGCTCGATTCGTGGGTGCTCGCTCGCACACCTGTGTACCGGTATACGTACATTGACCTGTTTGGCATTCATACCCGCGTGAGCAGCAAGCAATTCACGATGTGCAAGATCAGGATGTGAGTTCACTGCGACCGTACAAAGCAATGCGTTGAGTACGACTTGCGCTTTGGGGGGTGACATGGCTGCGGTGGCAAGACCTACTTTTGAAGGTGTATTCCAGCAAGTTGGTCTGCTGAGACGTGAGTCTGGCTCTGGGTGGAGCTGCTTGGGTAAGAGCGGTAGACGTCGACGGTCGGAGGCTAGCAGATGAGCTTTGCCATGCATGATGATCAGGGTGACCTTGTCGCCGCTCGCACTCGAGGGGACCTTCGATGGAATAAGTGCTGCTTGGCGTTGCTGCTATCTCGGCGTGGTCGCTGGAATCGACGTGATAAGACATGTTGCCGTTGGGACTTTTCGGGCTACGAAAACAAAGTCGAGCTCGTCACCGGTGCCAATGACGACGTTGTCGAGATGCGGGTGTACAGAGCGCCCCGAGCGTGCTTCAGAGGGCGACGTGGATTGTAAAAAAGATGAGAGCGGTCTGCTGAGGGCTTAGAGGGATTGCGAGGAGCAGCAGAGGACAGCAGAGGTTGCGTCGAATGCTGGACGCTTGTTCAGGCTGGGCGACGCGTTGTTGCAAAGGAAGGCTCAGATGTGTTGGAGGATGCTTAGACAGGTTGCGAAACGGATGTCGAGGAGGGGACATGGAAGTCAACGGTGCCTAAAAGGGGCTGAGCACTTGCAGATCAGGGTATCATAAGTGTGTGCGTGAGCGGGTCCCCTCAGTGCCTGCACTCGCAACGCGGCAGATTCCATGCATTCGGGGAAGCACAGCCCGGAAGCGGGATAAAGCGAGCTGTGTCACGCACAGAATCCTAGTCACAAGTTTAACCGTTGATGCGCAAATGGGATCAGCTGCTCAAGCATTCAGGTACACAGAGAGATAGAGAGAGGCACCACGAGGAGGCAAGAGTACAGTAGAGCGTCAAGCGAGTGGTGCAGGCGCTCAGAAGGTCAAGGCGCAAAGTCGTGCAAGGGCCAAGTTGTTGTCTCCGGCAGCTTCACTGCATGCAGAGTACAGAGTACAGAGCCACAGGTAGCCAGCCACTCGGACTTGTGGTGCGGTTTGCGAGAAGAGCATGCAGCATGCATCCATCGATGACTGCATCGATCAAGAAGCATCTGCGCTGCGCTGCTTAGATTTGCTGTTGACCTTTCATGGAGCTCGGCTGATTGCATTCACGATTGGGGCACCATGATAGTCGAGTACGTGGCGCCAAGCGCGTCTGTTCGGTCACCACTGACCCTGCGTCGTGTCCTGTGGTACACAGCAGTCCCCTATTTGCGCCATCGTAGGTAGTGTGCGAGTCTATCATTGTCCCTACAGATAAGGGACGCTATACAACGTGCGAAGACTTGCGGCTGTGGAAAGGCAGCGCCTTTGAGTGTGCGCAGCTCGTGCAGGCGTGAGTCTTGCAGACAGACATAATGCCGCCGGCCTTTGCGACTAAGCTGGATGGTCGGACTCGGAAGGAGTTGCCGTGGGCGCAGGCAACCTAAAGCGGGGTTGCAGCAGGGCAGAACAAGGTGCATCTAGGATTAGCATATAGCGAGCACGTCGAAGTGGGTGAGGTCGTGCACAAGCCTCCTCTTGACAAGCATACAGAATATATGACGGTCGCTGAAGACGATGTCTCAGGAACAGGATACGAGACGCTGAAATGGTGAGAGTCGCGGACAAATGCTGCGCTTCATCTTTCAGCTAGGCCGATGAGGTGTTGATTCATGTATGCCAATCTTGAATGCACCAGCAGCACCACTCCACCTGAGCTTCTTCGCTTATTCTGACCGTGGAGCTCCGAGGCGGTGAGGCTGCACAAGGGCGTGCATAGAATGGCGCTTTCGAGGCAGGAACTCGAAGCTAGCGCGGTCCAAAATGCCGTCGGGTACTGCTGCAAAGCAAGCAAGCTGGCGCGCGGGTTTTTTGATCTGCCAGTCGCACATTTAGCCGATCAGGTGCGCCGCGACCATATGCTCCCGTCGGCACGAGGACGGAGGACCTCGTGTTTGTCTGTTAAGGTTCAAGTAGGCGGGCGGGTCGAGCGGACATCAGCCGCGGACGAGCTCAGCCGATGCCGTTTACGGGCCCGCCCGGCTTGCCGTGATAATTTGTCACATCTCGCAGCCAGCGGCGCGCGGGGAAACAAGTCGCTGCATGTGCGGGCACTTATGCAGACCCTCGAACAGAACATCAAACTTCGCGATCGAGAACAGTACACAGGCGTACAAAGAAACCTTGGCGACGAATGATTCGAGGGCGTCGGTCACTGAAACACTGTTCAAGAATTGAGCTCGCGATGTGCTCAATAATATTCGATAATATGAGCAATAACAAAGTAGTCGCTGTACCACGTCAACTCTGAACAAAAGCCCGTCGGACATCGGTACTTTCGCCGTCTCACCTATTCGGCTCTCGCCGCAGTACTTAGCTCGATCCACACCAACGCCCTCGCTCAAGCGGAGCCGAGAGGGTCAAGGACTGGCCGCCAGGTTCATAGCAACGAGCAGAGTTGTGCATTCGCCTGACTCACAACTGACCTGCTGCGTTCGTGCAGTAATTTGTATTTTGGTACGCACCCTTGCTCCTGAAGCTGTCTTCGATACATGCGCAAGCTGAATGATGAAAGGTTGCATATCTGCATGAAGAGTCGCGTCGAGCGTCGCAGGTAGCAGCACCCTCCCCTCTAAATTGCCACTCGACTCACGACTCTGTGACTTGCGCACGCATGTCTGTTCATGCCGCTCATAAAAGTGCGCCGATGCGGGCCCCTGCAGCTTGCGCCCCAGGATCTCGTTCGCCTGCATGCCGAACGATGCGACGTAGAGAGTAGGTTGTTCCGCGCTTACTGCATGGCCGCTCGCGGTCGCAACGCAACGCAACCAGCGGCGGCGGCCGTGCGGCAAATCATCTGCGGGGACTAATGTTCTTGTTTGCCGTGCAGAGATTGACTGCCGGCTTGGCTTCTTGGCCTTGCAAGAGGACGAATGAAGGAGGACATGCGGAATCAGCGCGCCCTCGTCGAGTTGCATGCCTTCCAATCTGAATGCAAGAGCGGCGCACTGGCCGCACATGCTGGCGCGTCCCACGTTGTTCGTGCGCGCATCTGACACGGAACCGTCGAGAGCACAAGCGTATATAGCAAGGCGAATCATATGCCACTCGCATTCATTCTGATCGCGAGAATTCGCTTGGGACCGCTCCCAGACCTTGCCGAAGCCTGTTTGCAACCACGTGCAGGTGCAGGCAGCTTCATCTCGCAGCTGCGATGTGCTCGTGCATGCCCCCAAAGACTGTAGAAGCATGCTCATCATGACACTTGGGACGGCAGGCCCCTGACTTGAGAATCTGATCGTGCACGTTTCTGACTGTCTGTCGAGGGCCTCGACAGCAGCGTCGGCCTGGTGCTCAAGTCTCGGCTCAATGGTGCATGGAGTGTCTACACTTGTGACTCGCAACTCTTGCTCGCGACTGTCACTTTTGACCGGTACCCCAGAAATGAATCGGCGACTCAAAATGCACGCATCGCGTCGAGCGTATTCACCATCTGCGCATGAAGGGTACCCGCCCGCCGCCACCAAATGATCGTGCAGTTCAGCTCGGCTCTGTGCAATCTAATTCGTGATTGAATATGCCGCAAGAGCCGCTTGGCCGGACGACGCAACCAAAACACCCTATCGCCTCGCATTCCAGAGCGCGGGGCAAAAGTCGATTCTGATCTTTCTGAAATCGTGTCATGCAAACTCTATTCGCGTTGCGCGTGTGTTTCTCTCAAGTCTGGGTGCGAGCGGCAACTCCCCAGCTCTGCGTCATGCGCAAGAACACACGCGGCGATCGCGACGGTCGGGCCAGCGCCACACAGAGGGTCCTTGACACGCCACCATCTCCATGAAAGGTAATAAGACCTGTGCTGGACTTCAGACGACGTATCCTGCGACATCAAAAGAGAGCTTGTGCTCGAGCACAAGCTAGGCGCTTCGTCATTTCTTGTTCGCCGGCGCGTCAATTCCGCGCTCAAGCCACTCATGTGACTGCATGACGCCACCCTCTCGCTTAAACTTGTTGCATCGAGTGTTCATGGGCGAAGCTAGTCTGCTGCGCATTGTCCTAATCTAAGGCAAATTGAAAGCTCACGTCGAAGCACACCAAGCACACACGACACGCCTTTTGATCATCTTGTCCAACTCGAATGTCATTACGAGATGCGAAGCAAGCAACGCAACCCATCAACGTGCAGTTCCGTCACCAGGTTGATTAGCTCCAGGACCTCCACCGCCTGAGCCGTCGCCTCGTCTGCTGCTTTGCACCCCAGTTTGATCGTCCTCGTCCATCTCGTCCTCGCCGCTGAGCGCACGTGCAATGGCAGCCGCATCCTCCGGCGAGATCTCGCTTCCACCAGGCTGAGCTTGGTGCTGCTCCGACGCCTGTTGCGGGGCCTCAGAAGAGGACTCATCGAGCCGTAGCTGTTGGAACGCCTCCTGTGGGTTTCGGTCGACGAGCAGCAGAATACCGCCCCCACCTCCGCCGCTGGATGATGCGGCAATGCTTCGGGCTGCCTCAGCACTTGGCCCAGTGGCCAAGGTCGTCTTGGCTGGCGTCGCAGCTGCAGGCGCACCTTTGGCCTGGCTAGGGGTGACTGTTCCGCTGGCACCTGGCGCAGGGGTCAGATTGCCTAGCACTCCTAATTTGCCTTTTGGGGCAACACTGGCTGTGCTGTGGACGTCGACTCCGGTGCGTGCAGCGAGACCCGTCACTGGCCTGATCGGCTGCCATCTCAGATCGGCGGGAAAGGTCACGTACTTCAATTGGGTAGGCGTGACGCGAGAGTAGTTCTGCACCTGAAATTGAGCGGGCTCGGCCGGTTTGCGTTCCTTCTTGGTGGAGCCGGCTGCTTTGCCCTCAGCTTTGCTGGCACCGTCATCTCCAGCCGCCTTGGCGGGTGTCTTTGCATCGATATCCATGCTTTCACCTCTCTCCTCGCGCTGCTTCTCTCTCTCCTTGTTGCGCTGGCGAGCCTGAGCCTTGGCTGTTGTCGACAGAACAGCAGTCTCGACCTTCTCGACTTTCTTCTCGTTCTCTTTCTTGATGATTGCGGGGTAGGCGAACAGACTAGGCCTGGCTTGGCAGACAAAGCTAAAGTTTGGGGTTTTGAGGTCTCTATTCAAACCAATGACCGCGGTTGGCGTGAGCGCTAGACTGGCAAAGTGTGCCATTGGAAACCAGTACCAGAACTGAGTGAAGAGAGCCATGCCGACGATCGCGGGCATGTTGCTGCTGCCCGATCGACTCTGGAGACCAATAGTCACGTTGCGGCCACCTGCGTCGATGAGTCCCTGGGCCAATGCAGCACCAAACTTGGCCATAGCATCCTCATGCTTGTCCGTCAGAGTCTTTTCGAACGCCGAGCGCACACTTGCGACCCGAGGGTTGAGCGTGTCGTTCTGCTGGATGAGAACCATTGCCAGGCTTACGGCAGCGCCCTGTCGTACAAAATCGACCGGATCCTTGAGCATGGGCTGCAGCAAGTCCAGCGCTTCATCCAGACCGGTCCCCGCGCAGGCTATGCCCAGTGCGAGGGTGGATCCGTACCGAACGTGCGGGTTGTAGCTTTCGCTGAGCAATTGGACAATCCGTGGCACCTGGGTGGGGTTGCGGAACAACAGAAATCCTAAGCTAGTGACAGCAGCGCGGCGCACATCGTCTGCGACGTCAGAAACGGCGACGTGCAAAAGACGCCGAATGGCCTTGTTGTTGCCAGTACCAGCATAGGCAAGAGCGATGGCGTGGATGCCTCCATACCTCAGAATGGCGTCCTTGTCCGACATGAGCGTGTCGATGACGGTGTCCGCTTTGTCTTCGCGGCCGTAGCAGATGAGGGCAAGACCGATCGCAAGACCACGGATGATCTTCTCGTGCTGTGTTTCGTGGGCGTACTGCAGCATCTCGTCTACTGCGCGGTCTGATCCTGTCCCGAGCATCACGAGACCCATCGCGTACCCAGAAGCCTCGCCCGCAATGGCCGAGTCAGTGTACAGGACGTTCCTCAGCTCTTCATACACTTCTTCATTGCCGGTAGCCATGCCTGCAGCGCCCAGCCCAAGCGCAGCGCCATGCTGAACGACTTCAGCTGGGTTGTTCTTGAGCGTGTCTTTGAGCAGCTCCAAAACTTCGGCACCGTGATTTGCGTGAATCAACCCCAGAGCGAACAGAGATCCTCCTTCGCTGTAAACGCTGCCGGTAGAGCCGTCCTTTGGGAGATATGGGTTCAGGAGGTTGATGGACTCTTTGAGATGTCCTTTGTTGATTACGCCCAACGCAGCGGTAGCAGTGAACTTGGACCAGTTGCTGGCCTTGGCGAGCCAGTCCAAGTTCTCCCGCAGGAACTTGTCGCTCGTCGTGCCGGCGTGCATGAACGCATTTGCAAATGTCATTGCCGAGTGGTAGACGCTGTTGCGTGCATCGAGCGTGTCCTTGGTCGCCTTGAGAATAGTCAGGTCGGCATTGTTAGCGCGCTGCAAGAAATCCAAGTACAGCTGAATGGATTCTTCTCCCAGGAGTATGCTCCTAATCTGAGCGATGCAGCTAGCCAGCGTGCTCTCCTCGGCTGTGTGTGCGCTGGTGGCACCCGAAACTGTTCCTGCCGCTGCATCGCCCATCTCAACATCTTCGTCCGCCTGGGCTACGGCGGAGCTGCTCTCGATCTTCGGCTGCGCTCCCGCGACTCGGGTCTGAAGGTCGGATCTCACAGTCTCGAGAAATTCTTGCGTTGCGCTTTCCGCCAGGTCAAAAGATATCTGGTAAGCGACCAAAAGAGGGTCATTCTCGGTGTTGGCAGACGCGGATGCAGCAGCATCATTGTGAGCTTTGTGCACGAGATCGTGCAGAAGAGTGGAGGCGAGCTGAGGTGCGTTGAGGTAGACGTAGCACTGAGCGATGCTAAAGTGATCAGGTTGAGGCAGTGATTGAAAGAGCTTGACAAGCAGGTGCAACACTTGCGTCCTGACCTCCAAGCTTTGGACAAAGCCAATCGTAGCTCCGAGAGTGTATTGCATCAATGAAGACTCTCTGACTTGACTCAAGATCCTCTCGATCACGTCCAGGCGACGAGTCTCGAGAGCAATGCCCAGAGCTTGCTTGTACTCCTTCTCAGCTATGCAGCGAGAGAACATCTGCTCGACGATGGAAGTCAGCCTCTTGTCGCCGTCTTCCGCAGCATCGCCGGCAGCAGCAGCCCGCTGCTCGATGTATGCGTCGATGGCCTTGGCTGAGAGTTGGGGGCAGGCAATGAAGAGTGCAGAACAATGTCATCAGCCTGGGACGACATACCCGACTTGCGCCACGAGGAAAGCTAGCGGGCCTCACCTATGATGGTGTCGGTGTACTCGTCCTTGCTCTCTACATCGAACAGCTTATCGGCGCCTAATGCGAAGCTCAACGCTTCGTCAAACTCGCCCAAATTCCAGTAGACTTTGGAGGCGACGAGTGCTGCCAGTTGCCTGCTGGGGTGCGCTGCATCCTCATACAGGATTTCGATCTTGGACACTGAGTCTGCAATCTCTGCCCAGAACTGCGGAACTAGAGAGTTGAGCTTTTGCAGAGCGTACGTTTGCAGCTCCGCTTCCGGCTCGTTCAGAAGGGCCAAGACGCCGACTGCAGAGGTGACGGGCACCGGCATGACTGCAAGCTGCCCAAGGGGTGATGGCTAACTTGCGATGAGCACGTCACAGGCAGAGGGGCGGAATGAGGGAAACGGGATAGATGAAGTGCTCAATCTCGCGGACGATGGATGATGGCACAGGTGTGTTCGGTGTTGTGGGTGTGATGTGCCTGCTGGCCTTCCAAAGCGGCCATGCCATGATCATCAGCTGGAAGTCACAAACGCGTCTGTGCGCGCGTCGTAATCGGCGTCATGTGCAAGGCGCATGAGTGCGGGCGCAAGCCACGTGGGCGGGTGTGGGTGCGCTGTGTAGAAGAGTGCTCTGGTGTGAGTCTGAAGTTCTGTGCATCTGCACTCGTGACTGCATCTCCACATCGTCCACACGACGCGTTCGCGGCGTACCGGTACGCGTCCCACAACCACCAAATCAAGCGCGGTGACCTTCACCTTGAATTTTGAGTCAAGTTGCGTGGCTTCGTATTTTGCGTGCATCGGTGATTATCTTGTGTCCATCGTGAATCAAAATGACCTGTAGCCGCCATAAGGCAGCTAACTCCACACTCATGACTTTTGACCGAGTTGCCCTGACACTCACGGGCCCATCGCTGACTCCCGCTTCTAGCTGGCCTCGCTGACTCTCGATTGATGAGCTTTCGCGCAACTCATCCACACCGCAAGCCAACATCGGAGCGGGCTAGGCAGGACTGTCGCCCGAGAGATCCGTCACTAGCGCCGATATCGAGCAACTCTTCGATCGCTGCAGCCTAGCGCCGAGCACCAACGTGGAGCGGGCGTTGCAAAGGCTACACCGCCAAGACACGGGTAGCGCGTGAGCTACACAGGCTTGATTTTCGAGCAGTGTGTCATGTCGTCGGCATCGCTGAGTCGGTTATTGCGTCAAGACATCACCTCTGCTCCTGGCCTTGTCAGTCTGCTCCTCGCACTTGGTCTCGGCTACTATCTCGGCACCAAAGCATCCTCCGGAAGTAGCTTCAGGCAGCTAGGTCCCAGAATCATAAGAGGAAAAGGAGCGCAAGATCAAGACGACTCCGACGAGGACTCGGACGACGAGGACCTGGGCGAAGTGATCGACGAAAAGGATTGGGTCAACATGCAGAGCTTGAGAGCAAAGCTCATGGAGGAGTGCAAATTGGTAAGTCTTGAGAGGATGGACGGGTCACGTAGTGGACCTCTCCAGCTGCAAGCGTGGCCAGCACGCCCGCTGTTCATCCAAATAGCGCTGACATTTCTTCTGTGCTGCTGGCAGGTCCTGATAGTGAGGACAGATCTCAAAATGGACAAGGGAAAGATCGCAGCGCAATGCGGGTGAGGCACGAAGTTGACTTCTTAGCTCGACACTCTGCTGATTGCTGCTGCGTTGATTGCACCTCAAGCCACGCGACCCTTGCGTGCTACAAGACCATGATGGCTGCTAACCCAGATGTGAGCGAGTCTTTGCACACAGCATCGAAGCGCGACTATCTCATCACACTTTTTCCTGTTTTGCTTCGTCAGATTGTGAGGCAGTGGGAGCGTATAGGGTGAGAACGCTCGCTTTACGATTGAGCTCGTAGCTTCGCGCGTCTGACACTTGCACTGATTTGGAGCACGCCAGCCAAGCCAAAGTGGCACTCAAGTGCTCAAGCGAGGAAGAGATGAGAAGGCTGGAAGAGTCAGCAAAGGCCCTCAACTTGTGCGCAAGGAGTATACGGGACGCGTGAGTCTCGGAATGGATTTCTTCCTTTCCATCGCACACTTAGTTGCTCAAAAACGCGGATTCGCTTCTTGCACGTCCTGCAGCGGGCGTACACAGGTCGCAGCAGGCTCTCGAACAGTGCTGGGGATTGGCCCGGGTATGTAAGATTTTCAGCGTTGCCTTGGTACAAAGAGGAGCTGACGTGCACCATCTACGTCGATGACCCTTCCCCAACGTAGGTCCAGTAAAGCTGATAGATCAGGTCACCGGTCATTTGAAATTGCTATAATTATCACGAGTGTTTCTCCGCAGTGCTCAAGTCTTGAGCGTCGGAGTAATGGTGAATCTCTTATGACTGTGAACGCTTCTGATTCGATGCTTTTGAAATGGGCAGGCAAAGTTCGCCGAAGTTGTTCCCGCCCATGAGAAAAGACAAAGAAAAGCATTCCTGCCTAGCTCGTCCATGCTTCATTCGACCCGCAGTGCTTGAACAGGATCTTGCCCTTGAATGCAAGGCAAGAAGGGATTGATCATCTTCTCGTTGGGTTTTGGTGGCCAGAGTCGAGCTTTCTCTGTTGGTCGCGCGCGGACATGATGAGGAGAAATTCCTCACTTGTGCCAGCGACAGCTGGCAGACCCACTTGACCACATTGTTGAGCACTCGTTCGGCATGAATGAGCTGCTTGGCCAGCTTTACAAATAGTGTCTCTGATGCGTCTCATCGACGAGCAAGCTGACTGTCCCTTGATATGGCTCCTCATTTGCTGCTTAATGCTAGCCTTCACGTTCAAGAGCTACTGCTTGGTCGGCTCCTTTCCCGATGCGTTGCCTGCAATCGGCTTCCCCCAGCTACAACCAGAAGGCGCCCACGCTGGTGCCTGCACCGCTGCTCCATGCGTTGTGACTTCAGCAGAATGTAAGCAGTCCGGCGGTATGCAATGAGTGAATGTGAGCTGTGGACCGCCTGCAGTCACTCTCTGAGCCGTGTCGACGGACAGCTTCGATTGCAGGTCTTGACGACGCTTGATCATGACACCAGACGCAGCAGCGGCGTTTCGGTAAAGACTTTCAAAACGCGTTGATCTCGCGAAATCTGAGCCACGGGCTCCTGCAAATGTGTGATTCCTGATCATTCTCTCATCAAGTGCAGACTTGACACTTCAGACGCGTCATGCACCACTCTTAGCTGTTCCACGACGATCTATGAGCTGCGCAGGCTTGATTGAGAGCTTTCTCGGATAATGCAGCTGGCAGCGACGTAGCAGCAATCTGCAGTGACTTTGACAAACCATGTGGAATTTTTGCCCGTCAGCGCCCTGTTCAGTCGTACAGATACTCTCTCAGTGGAAGCTATGCTAACTGACAAGGCGCCCGGCAAGCTTTTTTGATCTACTCTTCACACCAGAGATTTTGAATTGCTCTTGCTGATTTTTGCGCTTTCGTACTGCAAATGCTGGGGACGTCGTATCGTCTGTAAAAATCTGCACACACTGTCATATTTATTCCGGATACTTATGATTCTGAGTCCTGCTTTTGCTGTCTTTTCACCTCTCATTGTGCAAACGAAACACTTCGAGCCCTGTAGACACAGTCGCCAACAGCATTTTTCAGCCTATGATAGCATTTTTGACGCGTGCGACGGCATTGAGCCTCGCTCGAATCCAAAGTTGATATATCGCGACTACTTACGTCGAAACCTTGTTCAAAAAGAGGGAATAGCGTTAGCTTGCAAAAATCACGTTTGTCTCAATCGATATTCTGATGAAGCACAATGTTTTCATGAGCTGTGCAACTCCTACTCTGACGAACAGTCGTTCGAGCTCTGACGATCAGACGAGCAACATCTTGTGAGTGCTCTAATTCACGCTCATCGATAACGAGAAAACCAAAAAAGGGTTTGCCGGCGCGCAACGTCTCTACTTGGCGTGAGTCTTTGGTCCCGGAAAAACTGCAAGCCGATGGAACAGCTCGATGGGACGTCGTGAGCATTTGGCAGGCCTATCTGCAACATCTTCGGCTCGATCGAAAAGGAAATGAGCTGCATTGACGCGTCACGAGAAATTGCGCCTCCTCTGAAGACGAGATCATGCGCTTGCTGCCTCTGCGCTTGGCAGAGTTGAGTCACTTCTCAGCAGGTACTTCATCCAATGGTACGCTGAGCGAGCTTGCATGGTGATGGGTGGGTCGTCTTTTTGCAGATGCTGCCGCCTCGCGTGGCGTCTTGCCTGGCTCCTCGTGTGGCGTCGTCTTTATAGCGTTGTGCTTGCCAGGGAGATCCTCGAGCCGCTGGATTGTCTGCTGCGTTTGCGAGTCTGCTGCGCGGAGCTGTGTGTGAGCTGATGAAGCAAGTCCAAAAGGCGCAAGAACTCTAGCCTTTCACGCAAGCAAGCAAAATGTTGCTGCAAGCCTCTTTGGGAGTGCGATGCAACGAGGGCGTTGTCCTTGCAAGCAGCATCTCATCCCACAAACTCGTAGACCTGGCCGTCCTCGCTGACAAAGCGATAGGCGTTGCTGCTCCCAACGCTGTCGACGTAACTGATAATTCGCTCATGGCCATTATGCGTGCGCGAGACCCCAATTTTAGCACTCGAGAACAACGATGATGGCAGGCGATATGGGCTCACACATTGACGAGCGGTCGACCAATTGTGTGGGCATTCTTTCGGAAAAACTCTACTCCGCGATGCTCAATTAGTCCAGAGCTTCACTGCGAGTTCGAGCTCATTCAAAGTGTAGCATGTAAACAGCGGCTAATAAGTGAACCGTCACTATACATCGCTCACTCGAAAGCTTGAGAAGCCCAGATGCTCTTTGAGACGCGCCCGGCCAACGGCGCTAGCACGCCTGTGTAAGCTCTGAATCGAACGATGTGAAGCGTATCATTGGTCTTTGTGCACAGGTGGGCTGTGTCAATTTTCAGTCTGTTGAACTCTTGGCTTTCCACACGAAGCGAAAATATGCAGCCGTGTCCGATGCAAAATCAGGTATGCAGAGCCGCAACTTGGCCTATGATAGCCAGATGCAATGGCATCGAATCCATCCCTCCTTCACAAATCATTGGAGGTTGAGGTGACGATCTTGATCTGGTCCATCAGATTCGAAGCGAGCCGAAGAAATGCTCTTGGGTAAAAGTATCCCCTCTTCCTAACGCGAATTTTGAACGTCTATGTGAATTCGTGTCAGAACCGTGCATTTAGGCCGAGTCTGCCCAGCACCAATAGCGAGCCAGGAGAACGTCGAAAGAGTTCGCGTCCTGAATTTCACCATGTAACGTCGATGGCACTGTTCGACGCTAGAGGTCACAGAATTCAAGTACATAGTTGGTGCGTCAGGCAAGTTCGCTCTCGTGTTGAGCCTTGCCTTCGCAATCTCAATGGGCTCGGTTTCAGTGGAAGACCAGCCTGGTCGTTGGCGCCTCAGGCCGACCTGTCGATTATGACTGTCGAGAACAACATATCTCACACGAAGCCTCAAGCCACTCGGCTACTCATGCGCGCTCTCATATCAAAGGCCAAGAATCGTCAACAAAATATTGCAGCCGCTGCCTGAACACAACATGAGTGACCAGCAGGCAATATGTGCCGAAAAATTTTGTCAGCTGCGGAAGAGATCTATGACTCTTTCCACTCACTGGCTACATCACGACTTTTGGTGTTTTTGGTTCCAAATTTTCATCACTTGTGAGGGAGACTCCACTTCAACGCGCCTCAAAGTAAAGTATCCAGAATGTGACCTTGGAAGCCTCAGTTCTCTGGCTTGACAGAGCATTACCTTGGTCGGAAAAGTCATGCCCCGCTCGGAGCAACCCGCGCTCAAATTTGACCGCTGCACTGATGATTCAAAAAGTCAAGTCAGACTACTAAGCACAGATTTTTGGGTTCTAGAAGTGATGGCAAAAATTTTCAACGACACGATGGGTTGGACTAGATCGATTTGCCAAATGTACGCAACACGCAGCTGATACCGAGGCTTGAAGGCGTTAATTCATATTCATGCTCGAATTCATCTCGCAATTGAAAAAAGGTGGAGACCACATTGTAGAAGGCAAATGAGACTCGAGTAGTCTGAAAGCAGTATGGAAGAGGAGATACGCGAACGTTGGGACAGATAGCCGACCCGAATGTCTCAGTACCTGCTCGTCGAAACAAAGCGTACAAGCCAGCGCTTGATAACTCTCTGTCCGGTACGAGGCGCTCGGCAGGAAGGCAGATAGCAGAATCTCAGCCCGGCGAGCGCTTGCAAATCAAAGGGCACAACTTGATGTGAAGACTCTACGTCAGAAGTTCGGTCACGATTGTCTTTAGCCAAACGAGTTGTATGACATCTTCCCCCAGGTGCTTCAAGGTCAAAAGTCAGACACCGGCACACAGCAGCACGCTGTGGCAGGGCAGATCAAGGCCCGTGAAGCGCAAGCCCTGGCAACGAAAGCCAACACAGGGTCTGGCATCGAGAGACACAGAGATAGGCGCTGCATTGCCTCTGAAGACGTGCGCGAATATAATGATGCTGCGGCTTGGAATGGCCATGAGCATGGGCATGCTCAGTAGTAGTACGCGGCTACAGGTGAAGCTTTGACTTGCAAATTGGAATGCTTGGTAGCGGAGTACACAAAATCTCCTGAGCACCACTACTTCACAACAGCAACGACGTCGCTTTACCGACAAGCACCACCTCTTTGCAAGCTTTTGCACAGCCCTACCTCAACATCCTCCACACCCACAACCTACCTCGACATCCCCTGCGCTACTTTACCATGCCACGCCAACGCTCTCCCTCCACCTCGGAGATCAAAGACCCCTCATATGTCCAGAGCGACTCTAAAGCCAGTACCAATAGTACGCTCTGGCATGGCCAACCTAGGCCAGCCAAAAAGGCTCCTCGCCAGCGCCAGCTCACAGAAAGCCTTGCATCAACCGGTATTGAGACCAACGTGCCGACGACCAAGGCGTGGACCGAGGAGAGCAACAAGGATGAGTTTGGGTATCTGGTAGAGTCAGAATACAGCCAGAGCACTGCTCTCGAGCCATCTGGGACCTCTGTTGGGCTCATGGAGGATTTTGAACACGACGACGGGTTAGCAGCTCTGGCACCTCCTGCCAACCTTGTCCCGTGGAGGAAGGACGCGCCTGTCCCCTTTGATGACGCCGTGGAGCATCAGGATGCCAGCGAGGAAGAAGTCGGAGAGGAACAAGTCTCCAACTTGGACCTCAACAACATCGTCAAAGAGTGTTTCAGCCTTGGCTACGATGTAGTCTTTGGTGTCCCGCGCTCACAAGGAGCACAGGTGAGCAAGCAACTCTCAAACGTCCCTCTACACTGTACTGATGATGCCCTGCTCCCTACCCATCAGAAACGCTTTGCAGCCTGTATGCGGGTCCTCGGCATCCAAGACCCCCTGCCTACCTTGACTGCGGTACGTGATGTGCTCACCGGCATCATTCCACCCAGCTCACCCAGCATCAAGGAGCGCCTGGCTTCTATCCTGGGTGACGTGGTGCATGCAAGTCCTGATACGGTCAAGCGCACCCTCTACTTGCGGAGCTTGCTTCAGAGTGTTTGTCTGAGCAGGCAGCTGCAGTGGGCCAAGGATCACAAGAGGGAGACGGGCTTCCACAGTGCCACAGCCAGGAAGCAAGAGTTGGAGCGTAGGATTGCAGTGCATGGAGAGAACGCCTGCACGCCTGTGGTCTACCTGGGCCAGACAATGGGCACTGCAATGGAGCGTGCCATTGCCGACTACGAGAGGGTGAGCGCGCATGTACAATGCAAGCCTGAGGGGACGTGAGCTGATGCGCCCGAGGGGACATGTGCTGATCCGTAACCATCTGATTTCTCAGGCTCAAGATCCTGTGCGGCCATTGCTTTCCTAGCCCACCTCTTTGCACAGGGCTACGCACGTCCAGCAGCGCTCGAGGTGGTCAACCTGTTCAAGCTGCCAGAGTGGTGCGGCTCAGCGGAGCTCCACATGGTGGAGCACATGTTCCTCTACATCTGCAACACCCTCCGACTGGCCAACACCTCTCCCGGCTCAGCAGCGCCTCGTTCTCTGCCAGGCCAACGCTTGGACTGGATGCACGTAGAGCCTAGGCACCTGCAGGAGCTTCGTTTTGCAAACTGGGAGATGCCCTCTCATCTCAGCGTCGAGCAGGACTGCTGCTCAGGGCGGGATGCCTTTATCCTTGTTCTGACTCGTGCTAGGCACAGCAAGGCGGATGGCAGAAGCATGCGGGCAGCGGTTCAAATGTGGCTATCCACACTGAACGTTGCAGGCAGCAACCTGAGGCTCGACTTCAAGTCACCTCGCATCGCCACCGTCCACAACTACCGGCAATGACTGCACCAGCAGCTCTCTGTGGGCGAGGACAACGAGGCTGCAGAGGAAGAAGACAGCCAAGGATCAGCACGACCCAGCAGGCCTCCTCCTCACCACCGGACTGCAATCTTTATCCCTGGCGGAGAAGATTACGACACTTTTTACCGCAAGTGCATCGCAGCCGGTTGCACCTTTTCCTCCAAGCCAGCATTTGCCCACCTCGGCCGCAAGATCGCCGCCGCCTCTCCAGTGGATGCCATGGTGCATCCGTACAACGCCATTCCCGACATTGTACACGTCTCTGGTTTGCTCGACTGGCCGGTACCGGTCATCACTTCTCTCTCCTTGGCCGTTCCCTTTGGTCACAAGGCTACGTGCCTGGAGCACGAGCACGTCATTGCTCGAATGTTTGCGGTCTCTGTGCACATGGTCCTCTCACCCTCGGTCCCTGTCACCACCCTCTCTCCTGCTCTGCAGGATGTCTTGGATGGCCCGGCACCTCAGACAACAGACAGCAGCTCCTATCTCTATTACATCGAGTCTGACCCCTTATACAACGCAAGCCAGGATCTCGAACACAGATACAAAGCTGATGCGCAGGTCGCAGAGAAGCCTAGACTGTGCATCCAGGGCAGTGGTGGCCAGCACTTCACTTTTCCTTTGAAGAATGCTTGGGCTGGTTGCCACATTGTTGGTCATGTGGGGGTCAGGGTGCAGCAAGGGGTCAAGTTGAACAGCAGCAAGGAGGGCTCTATGTACAGAGAGCCCACAACCAACAACCTTGCCAACACGTTCATTGTTGCAAGGCTGACTTGCAATCTCAGCAAGCAGGACACCAGACTCCAAAGCTTTGCAGAAGATTGATGGAAGTGTTGATGCCCTTCACCTCTTTTCTCAATGCTGACAAGGTCTTTTGTGTAGCTGGGCAAGCCACATTTCCTGAGCCCAAATTGGACAACAATCTCAGCGCAGCTTTCAAGCAGGCACTTGAGCAAGTGAGTGCTGCCTCCTGCAACGTTGTACTGCTTGGACTTGCGGACTTTGTCTCTGTTGCTCTCAATCAGCCTCCTGACTCCAACATCAAGTAATTTGTCATGCTTGTCCTTGTAAATCTTTGTGCAAGAATGCTCAGGTTGTGCAAGCAATCTTCCGCTTTTGAGAGTGCCTGCGTTCCTCATCTAGCTGGGCAGTGAGCTTTCTGATCTGCTCAATGAAATCCTTCTCACGCAATGCGCCGCTTCCAAGGCTAGAAAGGGTGCGCTTGTGTGGCTGGACTGGCCTGCTAGATCCCACTGCCTCATTCAGATGGCGTTGCAAGCTCTCCTGCTTGATGTTAGCATCCTGTGCCGTGCCTTCCTGTATAAGCAGCTTCTCCTCAGTAAGTTGGAGCTTGATGGACAAATCCTTGTTGCAAGAGGCCACATCCAGGCAAAGAGCTCTCTCTTTCATCAGCTCTTCCTGAGCAGTAGCCCAGCCTTCCTCTGCAACTAGATGCCTTTTGGAGTCCTTTGTCATTGTGACAGTGCTGAACTCAAAGATTGGGACGCAGCTCTTCCTGACACAGGCCATCACAACCCTGTTACTCTGGGAGGTCAGAAAAAATCACCAAAGGCCATGAAGGGACAAGAGTCAAATTGCCCAGCTTGGGTTTGCGCACAAACCATCTGACATGATACATGCGCGGCTCAATATTTGACCACTGCCTCGCTCCCAGGGCACAGGCTGGTCATTCTCAATGATGCCAAATCATCAGAGCAACTTGGCTCTCAAACTTCTATAACCGATGGGTTGGCACATGTTGAACATGCCTGCTGTGGTTTCAATCTCGATCCTGGATCCACTTGTTGGAGAGCAGGCTCGCTGCACACTGACTGCTCGTATGCACGCTCAAGGGCCACTCTGCAGCACTATTGTCACCTGCTTGTCAGGCTTGAGTACCTGCAATGGCCTTCAGACGAACCTGACCTTCATGGTGCCATTTGTCTGCCAGATCTTGGGTCGCTTGCTTGCATCTCTTCACCATCACTTCCTTCCACTTGCTCACCATCCCTCTTGCGGCTTAGAGACTCTCCTTTTCCTCTCCATCCTCTCATCAACCTTGCACGCATGCTTCTAGTTGCGCCCGCACCAAGCTAAGCATCAGCTCTCAAACAGCAACCTCAGAAGACTCCTGCTCGGGACAGTCAAAGCCCTCTCATTCCCAGTTCAAGTCCCCTTGGTTGTTGGCGGCGTCCTGGGGCAGCTTTTGCTTGGAAACTTTACCATCACCAGCACAACGAACCATCTTGGCTCATCGTGTTACCCTTTCTCATCGCACCATCTTGAACCGACTCGATAGACAGCACATCCCTGGGCAACAGCCTCTTCGATCAACAGCAGATCTTGGTGCGAGCAATTTTGTATTGGTTTTTGGCGCTCCTGACACCGCCGGCTACAAAGGAGGACAAGATGAATCACAAATTTGTGGTAAGTCCGCATACATGGAGACTTGATTGTTGTTTGGTGAAGCCCAATTGCTGAATATGCATGCCTTGTTTTGGGCTCAGGAGACCGTGCAGTGTGGCAACCTTGTAGTCATTCAGCAGCATGCCACAATCATCAGCAAAGAAGAGGAGATGGCAGAGCTGACACAAGAGCGCAACGACGCATACGATGCGTATGCACTAGCGGATGAGAAGCGCATCGAGCTGCAGACACAGGTCAAGGATGCTCAGAATCGCGCAGACTGGGCCATTCAACAATTTGAGGATGCGCATGAAGGCTACCAGCGCTCTGAAGCCAAAAAAAGCGCCTTGGAAACGGAAAACAGGATCTGCTTGGCCAAACTACCCAGCTTCAGTATCAAAGAGAAATGCTGGCTTGCGAGAACGATCAGCTCAAGCAGAAGACTGCCGATTTGAAAGAGAACAAGTAAACCTCGCAAAATGAAGTTGCAAAGCTGGAAGATGATGTTGCAAAGGAGGTCAGCAAGAAATTCTGGGTGCTGGACCAGAAGAAGCAGGCGGAGGAACAAGTGCAGAAAGAGGCAGAAGAGCACCAGGTTGTAAGAGGCAAGAGCCAAGCGGAACAGGATTGAATGGCTGAGGCAAGAGATTGTGCATTGACCAATGCAGGTCATGCAAGATGCGCTCTTGTTTCAGTGATCCTTGTGGAAGTACTGGTTGGCGTGGCCTGGGTCTGGCACATCAAGCTGCTTGCTTTCTTGATTCCCCTTCTCTGTAAAATCACCAAAGGTGACTACTAAGTGTGATACCAAAATGCTTTGGTAGCTTTTGGCGAGCAGCAACACCTTCTCTTCACCAGTCCAATCGATCGCGATGTTCGCTTCCCCCACCTTCCTCAATTTGTACTCTTTGCTCTCAGCATGTTAGCACTGAGCTTTTGAGTGGTCTGAAATCAATGATTGCAGCAGCACATCACTGTCTTGATGATTGGTCAGAGACGGATAGCAACCGAGAAAGTAGTGACTGCTTGTGTGGTCTGCTCGTGTGGTCTGGGCCTTCTGGGCTGTAGCTTGGCAAAGCTGGGACAATGATTGGCCAGGTAGGGTTGTTTGGGAGATCAAGCAAGTTCGCAAATACAGGTGTGTACCCATGAGAGACTTTGGGTGATTCAGTGACGATTGCACAGAAGCGAGTCTAGTCCTAAGACAGCAGAAGATAAACAACGATTGCTTCCGCAAGAAGGAGCACATCAAAGGGAAGTGTTCGAAGTACAACGCGGTTTGCTTGGCCTGCGCAAATGGGCGCCAGTGCGCTCAGTGTTGTGGACACGGGGGGGGGGGGGGGGGGGGGGGGGGGGGGGGGGGGGGGGTCTGGCGGTGTTCACTTGATTACGCGTCTAGCATACAGATGTGCAAGCATTGTCAGCTTCTAGCCCAGTCAAGGGTCCCTCAAATGCGATTACTTGTAGGACTTCTCCACCACAACAACTTCTGCCGTCTCGACCTACCCAAATTATCGGGGCCAGAACGACTGACTTGATTGACCAAATATCTTGTTGGCAGCCCAACGCTTGCCAACCGCTCCAGCGCTTTGTTCTTTTTGACATCCTGACACGTCCTTCCCTTCATTCCTGCTTGTCCAACTCATCAAAGCTTGTTGGAATGGGAGAAACAATGAGCCTTTGGCCACTGCAAATCTCGCCATGCATGCAACTTGACCAGTGAGTGACCGCTGATCATGCATGCCAAGTGCAGCTGCCTTTTCAGCATCTCCATATGCATTGGTGCTTGTCAACATTCTACCTTTTGACACGAGTAAGTCATACAAGAGTTGGCTTCCTAAGCTGGGCAAATCATCTGACGCTCTCTATGTTCTACTCCCCAAGTTCCACCCTCCTACCCTCCCTAGCCCGCCTTGCCCTTCCCTGCTTCATTCCACCCTACTCTTCTCCGCTCTCATTGCTCTTCAAACTCTCCCACCGACTTGCGGCTCTCACTGCCTGCACCGCTTTTGCCGCTCTTGGACTTTTTTTCCCACCGCTCTTCCAGCTTGCTTACCGCTTTGCTCAACGCTAGCACAACATGGCAAACTCTTCCAACGACATTGATTACAGCAAATTCTGCTCAGCTCGCACTACCACCATGAGATATCAGCATGTCTTGGATTAGTGCTTTACCCAAAAGAGTTGCGGCCGCTCATAGTAGCTGCTAGATCCAACTGTGCTACTTCTTGCTTCAGAAAGTCAGCAGGCATTCCCCAACCTGCGCTCTACTTGGCACTCTCAAATGGACCTCATCAGTGAAGACTGGGTGCAAGACCATGTGCAAGAGTTCAAGAGCATCCAAATGGATGCTTCCTGGAGTCCTGATGCTGTCAAGGTGCTTGTGGATGAGGTCCAGCAAGGCTTTCATCTCCAGAAAGCTGAGCTTCTTGAGCAATTTGATCATTTGCAAGCCCAAGTGGAAGCTAGCAAAGCCATGGCAATCAGCCAGGAGAAGAGAGTCTTGCAGCAAGACAAGGAGGAGCTGAAAGTGGTAAATGACGCCAAGAAAGAGGCAGATCAGGCTCTCACAACGTTGCAGGATGAACGCGCAAGAGAGGCAAAGGCCTTGACTCAAGCCTGCAAGCAGATTGACCTCAAGGTAGAAAAGGTGTCCACCTTGAATGCGGACAAGGAGCGTTTGCAGCAGGAGCTGTCTGCCAGCAAGGCCAGAGAAGAGCAGCTTGTAGCCAATAAACAAGCCCAAGAGAGTCATGTTGAACGGGTGCATACAAGTGTGGAAGCGCTGCAAAAGCAGGTGAACACGTTGCAGCGGGAAAAGGCAGAGGCGCAGCGCCAAGGAGAGGACGCTGCAGGTCAAGCACAGGACAAGGACCAGGAGATCCTTAGGCTTCAGGAGCGAGCGACAAAGCTGAGCGAAGAGCATCGTCGCAAGTTGAAAGACATGAACGACAACATTGAAAGGGATATGGACAATGGCGCCAAGCGTCTGGAGGGTAAGATGTCGCGCCTGCAAGGTGAACTGAATGCGCAGAAGGCAGAATTTGACCAACAGACGCGAGAATTAGATGCCATGCGCGAGGACATGCTCAACCTCAAGGGTGTGCACGCGGGCAAGGAGCGCCAGAGCAAGCCCGCACATAATGCTGAGCTTGGAGCATTGGACGATGAGAACAGATTGCTTCAACAAGCGGTGGGCAGGAAAGAGCCTGCAATTGCAAAGCTGGAGGTAGCTGCTGCAAACAAGGAGACGCAGCACAAGCACAACTTGACGCTGCAAATGTCGGGAAATGAAGGGACACAAGGGAGGCTCGAGGCAGCCCAGCGTCAAATCAGCTTGAAGTGGAAGCAAAGGAGAAGATTGTTGCCATGCAAGCAAAAGATGAGCGCAACCGTGGGCTGGATGCGGACATCAAGAGGCGAGATGGTGAGATTGCAACCGCTCAAGACTGCATCTGCAACCTGCAGCATGACAAGGATCAGAACATGGCTCGCATCCTTGATATGGAGCGAACAGCAAGGGAGAATGTCGATGCGTGCAGGAGGCCTGGCGTGCAACTGAGCAGCAGCTGCAGCAATGGGTGTCCATCAAGGACAATTGCATTCAGCATCTTGAGGGGGAGGCTGCGCAGTCAAACGAGCGTGTCCAACGTCTCGAGGGGAAGGCTATGCAGTCCAAAGATTCCAAGACTCAGTGGGAACAGCAAACGGAAGAGGCAGCGCTGCAGATCAAAGGTCCCCAAGCAGGCTAAAAGGAGCACTTTGAGTGGTGGCAGTGAAAGGGGCACTTCAAGGCGTGCAGGACGATGTGGAAGATCTGCAGTGGACCTTTGATGAGATTTACCAATTTGCATGCCAGCAAGGTTGGCCATCTGCAGTCTTGTGTTGACAAATCTGCAGTGAACATGTTGGCAATGCAAGCTTGCCTGGAAGCTCTGCTCATCCAAACTGCTTGAAGCCAGTCGACGTTTGCTTAAGGAAGAGCAAGCAGCGGTCAATGCAATTGTCCTTCTGAGCATTGACAAATCCTCATGCTTGCTACGTCAAGCAGCCTTGATCCAGAGGACGCGGGGGGAGGGATTGGCGCTTTGGTGATCTGTAGGGAGTGCAAGTTGGCAAGGATGAGTAGATTCACCTTTACATAGGTGCGTGCAGATCACTTGGCTTTAACTCCATCCTTGTACCACGCATCAGTGACTCCATGGTTGTGCATGATTAGATGTGCATCTTCCCAAATGTGGGCCAAGGAGGATTCAGGATGACGATCAGCATCCATGGACAGGAGAGCATAGAGTGTATGCATCTGCTGATCTGTAAACGGCGAGCAGTTGTGCGTGATGCATGCAACAATTTCCAAAATGGTAATGTCAAACACTGTGACAAATGTATCCCGTACGTGTTGCTGCGTGAATGGCTCCCAACGAGGAAAAAAGGGCTGATGGCCTGTTGTTGCGAGTGCCAAGTTGCGAGTCAGCACCGCTCACTTTTGTGATTACTTTTACCAAAGGGACAACTTTTGCATGCACTTACCGTCCTCTTTCTCTTGCTGATCATTCCAGCACGACATGAATCGGACTAGTCCTGCAGATTTGTTGTACTTGACATGCAGTGGGTAGTCCAAAGCTTTTGGGATGGCTTGCTGGAACTGTTGAGGCATTGTGCGAACCTTGTGCGCAGGCAGGCGAGCGCTGACGCCAAACACCTTTCTCGAACAGTCTGCAGAGGCGTAAGCGTTGAAAGCGGCTTGGCCAGATGCGGGTGCCACTTGGTTTTCCGCACAGGCATTGGTTCTTGAGACTGCGTTGGCCAGCATAGACACGCTCGCAGACACTTGAGGCAAGTCAAAATGGACTTTGTGGGGCGTGTTTGCGTTAGAACTGCGCGGATGCATGCGCATCAGTCCCAGGTCCAAGGGTCTTTACGCGGTGTCCAGGAGTGTGGTCAAGAGATTGGTATACATTCCTTGCCACGACTCCTCTGTCATGAACTGTGCCCCACCTTTGAGCATCCCTTGATGCCAAAGATTGTACAAGGGCTCTGCTAGGCCGGTGCCAATTGTCTCCAAGAGTTGCACATACCCAACCATTGTAGAATCAGCAGTTTCAGCCACAACAAACAGCGTCTCCAGCTCAAAGGCTGCTGGTGAGGACAGGTCAAAGTTGTCCACTCTCCCTGTGTGATTGTGCTGTCTTGTGGGCATGAGAGAGAGTGTGACGGGCAGAATAGCAGTGTTGGCGCGCGTATGGTCAAGCAAAAGAGAAAAAGACTGACCACCGCGGCCAGGCAGTCAAAGGCGGTGCTCATCATTGGAGACTACTGGAAAATAGTAGAGACCATTGATGCTTGTGACTGTCCTGAGTCCATCCACAATACCCGCCACTTGCTCTGGGTCAGCACCAAGGCACATCCAAGCAGCGGCAGCAAACATTTGCTGAATTTCTGAGCGGTGAATCTCTGCAAGCTGCGCTTCTGCTGGAAAAGAGGTCAATAGAGTGGTAAAGACTGGGACAGATGCGCAAATCTCCAACACATTGGGCACGGCGTTGATGGGGTGTACCCTTGACTCCACCCAAGCATCTGCTGATAGACCCCTCCCAATCAAGTCAAAGTTGGGGTGTGCAATGACTGCAGAGTGAGCCAGCCTCAGTAGCTCCTTGTACTCGCTCTCGCCAATGCAGAGTATCGCATCGAGGTCCTGTGAGAGGCGCGTGCGCGATCAGCATTTGTTTGCGTCAGGCGCGGCTCACCTCGCTGAGCTCCTCGCTTGACATGAGATGCGGCGACTTGACTGTGAGTCTGATGGCACCAGCATGGATGATACCCAACTCCATCAACCAGCCCCCTAGTCCCAACACTATGCTCGCTCTCCGATCCTTGCTTGTCGCAGAGCCATGCAAGATGAGCATGTGCGCTTGCTTGTGTGCGTGCTTGTGCGCCACCGTCCAGTCCTTTGCTAGAGTACCCTCCCCAAGTGTAATGTGACCAAGCATCTTGGAAGGGCGCATTGCCATCCAACGTTGGAGCTGGTCAGCGGCAAACCTTCAAGCAGATGAACCGCGAGCGGTGTCTCAGGCTGGAGCGGGGCCATGAAGGAGCAGATGCTGCGGTGGAAACTTTGCCAGCATTGCACAACCGATGGCATTGCGCATTCGGGACATTCGGTACGCCGGCCATTCCTGCGGCATCTCGGAGTCGAACCTGGCTACCGCAGACAACGAGACCAATGTCTCAGATGCTTGGTTGGCATCCACAGTGCCAGCAACTCGATGACCGTTTGGTTTTGATTAGTCCGCCTGTTGCGGTGAACGAGGCGCTGGGGATCGGTCTAATTCAGCGAGGCCCGCCCCCTCCCCCACGCATAGCTATTCAGCTCCCGCGAGTACGCTCCAAAGCTTCCCAGACAAGTACATCGCGGTTCATCTCGCCCCTGGCAAAAGCCCGCAAGACGTTCTCAAAGACCTGAGCAAACGTCTCTCCATCCAGCGCTGCCTCTCTCCAAGAGACCGAGCAGCTCAACTCGACGTTTACCTGCTCAGACGTGTCCTGCGGGGTGCTGGCTCGACGCCTGATGCCGCAAACGTCTAGGTTGATCATATCCGACATGGGCTGATTTCTCTGAGCCCAGACCGCTCGTCCAATCTTGTCCGCCCATCGAGAGTCCAGGTTGAGAAGGCCGACATTGGAACACTCGAACGTGTGATTGTAAGGAGTGGTGGAAGCCTTTTTTCGACGAACAAAAGCTTCCCAGCCTGTCGGCTCTTCGGGCGTGGAAATGTGACTTGCGGAATCGGGAAGGTAGGATAGTAGACCTACCCTCATCAGTGCTTCGGACTGCGCAGTTGGAGAGAGCACTGAAGAGAGAGAGAGGGTTCAGAATAATGTCGAAGTCGTTAAGTGGAAGCACCAAGCACCACGAAACACAAGCTCACGACCTGCTTGGTATTCCTGGGCTAGAGACCATACCGAGGAGTCGTTATTCAACGCAAGGGAAGAGACGTGCTAGAGGATATGGCGAAGCAGTGACTCAGAGCCGTCAGATTAGGTGATGCGATATCCGCTGTGCACGCAGAGGAGCTCACCCCTGCTATCAAATTGCCCGAGCAAAAGGAGTCCCGCTCCGGTTTTCGCAGACTGCGTGGAGTGCTGCTCTCCACAACAATGGCAGCGCTCGCTTTCTCATCTTCTTTGGCGCCGCTGGTCTTGCGTTGCTGTTGCGAGAGGAACCAAACAGCCAACACTGCAGCGGTATGTATGACGGGATGAAGCGTCTTGATTCCGTGTTTTGCGGAGTGATGTTTGATGTCTCTTACGAGATTGCCATCGTCAAAGAAGAGAAGCCGACGCTCGATGCCACTGTGGTTCTCGCCGTTGCGAATCGCATCGATACCCCAGGATGGCGCGCGTTGAAAGTAGGTGGAGAGGGAGGTCGGCAGAAGAGGAAGGAGGAGCTCCTTGAAAAGGATAGGAAGCATGAATCCGAAAGAAGGCTTCATGAGATGATGATGCTCAGCCGAAGCTGGCAGAGCTTCGTCTTGCCTCGCAAGTGTAAAGGCCGAGTCTAGAGCAGGCGCGGGGCGTGAAGAATCGTCAAGGAGAAGATTTTCCAATAAATTTGCCAGACCTCTTCCATCGACGATTGCGTGATGCGCCGCCAGAGACAATATGCTGCTGCCCTTGTAGTGGCGCAAGTGCACCTTCCAAAGGAATCCGCGCGTCAAGTCTGGGAAGCCAGTGTCGATGCTCTCTGCCATCAAGGCCTCCAGCCGTTGTTGCGCATCCACTGGCTCCTGCACGTCGGTCAGCGTATCCACACGCAAAATGTCTGCAACTGGCAGCGTGCCACCTCGACGCGCCCATCTCGGACATCGCGTGGCTGCGTGGGCAACGTGACACGACAGGAGCGCATTCTGCTCGACGATGGAGCTGATGCGTCTTTGGAGGTGCTGCGCGAAATTTCGCTGTTCTTCGCTCGAATCCAGCTTCACCTCGACCACCCAGGCCAGCTTCAAAGGCACAAGCGCGGAGAGATCAGCACATGTTGGTCGGATTTCAGCACATTGACGGACTGGAGAAGAGCAGATTATAGGTCGCCTTTACTCACAACGACTGGAACGCCGGCTTGATGTCTTGCGAGGCAGTAGCGCTCAAACAAGCCTGTAGGGCATCCGTGTCAGCCTGTCGGCCTTGTACGAAGTCATTGCACAACAGCATTGGCAGCAAGAGCCTGCCAGCTTACCCAGAGGCCTCAATAGCGTGACATTAGGCTCGGAAGAGGCTTGCATGCCGAGTCGAGAAGGATGACCACCTGTCTCCGACGCACAAAGAGGCGTCCGAGAGAGAGGGGGGGGGGAGCAAGATGTCTCGGGGTGATATGAGCAGATGGTCGTGGCAATCACGCATTCAGATCGGAGTGTATGATGTGTCCACGACATGGTCGAGAGCACGAGTATGAGACAGACTTGGTGTGCTTGGCGGGTGCTTGTTCGCGCTCTTCAGACTGTCGATTCAGCTCTGAACTCACATTTTTTCTGATGACTCGACCACCTTCTCGCCCGTAGGAGTCTGCTGATGTGCGTGTGCGTGTGCGTGTGCGTGTGCGTGTGCGTGTGCGTGTGTATGCATCAGCACCTGCAGTTTTGCAGCAGCAACGGTGCACCGATTGAGCCATGCATGCGTCCCTCCGCGTTCGGACGGAGAGGCTGCGACGCAAAGTCTGCGCGATCTTGCTGGCGGCTGGCCGTCATTAGAATTGAAGTGCAAGCAATTGGCAGAGCTCGACGCATGCGCCAATACTGGCTGCCTGTGATCAAATATTGAACGAACTCGTCGATGGCTTGATCTGGATCGCTCGCTGCTTGTCGCGTCTATCAAGTTGCTTTTGCGCTTCGAGGATGCTGTGACTGGTGACTGACCTGGTGCTAAGCATGCAAGCGGCGGCATGCGCGCGGTATGGCGAGCCACGCGCGTGCAGCCGCCATCCATCTGCCGCGCGAGGCACACCGCGACGCGCTACGCGACGCGTAAAATCGTGATTCCTTCCCATCACTCGCAGTGCGGGCAGCTGCTGCATCGCACCGCGAGTAGCACGCATGCAGCGCTCGCATCGCGCCGTGTTGGTTGATGTTCATGCGCGGCCCAGGTTTCCTTCCCGCCCGTGATTCTCATCCACATCACCCCCACTCTCGACTGCCCTTCTTGGGCTCCCGGCATCCACCAACGACCCCTCCATAGACTTAGGCTCTTCTCCATAAACATTTTTCACTAGCGTCACCGCACAATCTGACGCCACCATGGCAGGCCAAAAGACGCTGCTGTCCATGTGGGCCAAAAAGCCTAGCGCGCCATCAAGCTCAACCTCTTCTTCTACACCTGCCCCATCCCTCAAGAGCACATCTGCGGCTGCCCAGCGAGCCGTGCAGGCCAAAGATGCTGCGCGTTCACGCCCCGCAAAGGCAGCGTCTCCTTCGAACGCCTCAACGGCTTGCTCTACTCCTCTTCCCAACAAACGCGCCGCGCATTCGCCCGTCGAGTCCACAAAGAAGGCCAAGCGCGACAAGGAACGCGAGTCAACGGACGATGCACTCAGCACCCCGCCCGTCTCCGTGTCTCCTCAACAACGCCCTGCGAAACCTGCTCCTGCGCATTCTTCGCCCATGACTGCTCCACCATCCAGCCGACAAGCTAGCGAGTCACCGATGAAGAAGAGCCGATCTTCGCTCTCCAAAAAGGCGAAAGCAATAGTCACGTCGACGCAAGACGACTTGGATGAGGACATGGAAGATATCATCGGTCCGACTAGGCGTGTGAGTCACCATTGCGCCCCATTCGTGGCGCATACATGGGCCACGCATGTATGCGCTTCGCCTCGCCTCGCCTGGCTGACGGCCTTGACACACCTCTTCACAGCGCGCGGCACAGAAGCGACCGGCTTACTTTGAGTCGGATTCCGAGGAGCAAGGTGATGCCAGCGACTCTGAAGACGCCTTTGAGCCGAAGCGTAGCGTCAAACCTGCTCGGAATGTCAAGAAACGCAAGTCGAGCGGTGCAGACGATGATTGGCTCGTAGATGATGACGCCGTAGAGCAGGAAAGCGATGCTGTTTCTGTGAGCGGTGAGTGGGGCTCTACAGCGCCGGGCATCGGCGAAGCCTGCGATTGACCTCGAAGCTGTCCTTCACAGACGCGGCCATGGAGAGCGAGGATGAACCCGTGCCAAGGAAGCGCAACAATACCAACGCATCTTCCAGCAAGTCTGCAGCTGCCTCATCAAGCAAAGGTCCAGGTGTACAGGCAGGCGCGATGCAGGCCTTTCAGATGGGTTCATCGGGCTCTGCGAGCCCCGCAAATGGTCGTCCGGGCGGTATGCAAAAGTCTTCGAGCATGTCGCATCTGACCAAAGCCGAGCGACGTGTGCTGGATGAGCGCAAGAAAAAGGCCGAAAATGAGCAGGCATACAGCTTCTTGCGAGACCTTCGGGATAAAGATGGCAACAGGCCTGGAGACGCAGGGTACGATCCCAGGACGCTATTCATTCCCAATGGCGCTTGGAAAGACTTTACACCTTTTGAGAAGCAGTTTTGGGAGATCAAGCAGAAACATTGGGATACGGTGCTCTTCTTTCAAAAAGGCAAATTTTACGAGCTGTACGAGGAGGATGCCCTTATTGGACATCGCGAATTCGATCTCAAGGTGAGTCAGCACAAATTTGAGGTAGACGTGCACAAGATCGCTGACGTAGCGTTTTGCATCGCTTTCTGCAGCTGACTGATCGCGTCAAGGTGAGTGATGGCCTCGATTGAAGTAGATGCATTGATTGCTGATCGCGATTCCACCCTGCAGATGAAGATGGTCGGTGTGCCTGAAGGCTCGTTCGAACAGTTCGCAAATAAGGTGAGCCGCTTACCGCGTGCTTGTGGCCCTGATTAGCTCCGGCTGACCCGTTCCCCTGCCTCGCCCAGTTTCTGGCTCTCGGTTACAAAGTCGGACGAGTAGACCAATGCGAGACGGCCGTCGCCAAGGGCATGCGGGTAGGCGAAAAGTCCCGCGGTGGAGGTAGCGAGATTGTTCGTCGAGAACTGCGCCACGTCTTGACAGGAGGCACGATCGTCGACTCTGCCTGCCTTCCGGATGATATGGGGAGCTATTGTGTAGCCATCAAAGAGACCGAAGCTGTACCAGGTCAGCCCATCTTTGGCGTATGCGTGCTGGACGCCGCCACTGCAGAATTTAGACTTTCGGAATTCGAAGATGACGTCAGCAGGACCAAGCTGGAAACAATGCTCAGGTCGCTGAGGCTCCGAGAGCTCCTGCACGAGAAGGCCGGGCTGTCTCAGAGGACCTTGCGGATCTTGCGCAACACCTTGCCATCCAGCTGCCAAGTAACCATGCTCAAGAGCGGAACGGAATTTCTGGACCACGACGCGGCGATGGAGCGTCTCGAGCAGCTCTTTGGGAGCTCTGCAGACTCTCACGAAGCCTGGCCGGAAGCCATCACTTCGATGCTGGACAGGGATACTGCCATGTCGGCGCTTGGCGGTATGCTGTGGTACCTCGAGCAACTCAACTTGGATCAGGATCTGTGCTCGAGCAAGAATTTTGACATCTTTGACCCGCTCAAGAACAACGGATGTCTAGTTCTAGATGCGCAATCCCTCTCGCATCTCAATGTGCTCTCGAACGAGCAGGGCAATGACGTTGGGACGCTGCACAAGCTTCTCAATCGATGCGTCACGCCGTTCGGCAAGCGTCTCTTCAAAATTTGGCTCGTAGCTCCCCTCTGCGAGCGCAGGGCTCTCGAGGCGAGGCACGATGCCGTGGATGACTTTCTCTCTAGCCCAGACTTTCAAGACGTCTTTGACAAGGCTGCGAAAAAGCTGCCGGACATTGAAAGGATTATGCCACGCATTCATGCTGGCAAGTGCAAGCCAATGGACTTTACGAGGGTCTTGACGGCCTTGTCGGAGCTGGATGGCCTGATTGAGAGACTGTTGCAAGAAACGCAACACTTTTCCTCCACCACGATTGGCAGCCTGCTACGCGGTATCCCTCAAGTCTCGCCCATCGCGCAACGACTGCAAGACATGTTTGCGCTCAAGGACGACGGCGCTTTCATTCCGCGAACTGGAGTGTTCCAAGACTTTGACGATGCGCAGGACGCAGAGTCTGCCATTCTCGACCAGCTGGAGCGAGAGCTTGCTCGGGCTGCAAAGACGGTCAAGCTGGAGCGACGCGCCGTGAAATGGAAGCACGTGGGAACGAACGAGATCTTTCAGGTGAGTTTCAGAGTCGCCTGTGTCGCGTTGAAATTGCGACACTCTTCTCACTTTTCTTGCTCGGTGTGCAGGTGGAGGTGCCAGCCAAAACAGCGGTGCCCAAAGAGTGGTCGATCGTGTCACAGACCAAAGATAGCAAGAGGTGGTACCCTCCAGCGGTCCGGCAACTCGTACAGGAGCTAAAGGAGTCGCGCGAGACATTGCTGGCTTCGCTGAAACTCTTCCACGCTCAGCTCTTTGAAGCTTTTTCGGAAGACACGGCGGTCTTCACCGCTGCAGTCAAGGGAATCGCCGAGCTGGATTGTTTGCTGAGTCTGAGCAAAGCGTCGTACGCGCTCGGATCGCCTGCCTGCAGACCACAATTCATCGATTGCGAGACTGCTTCGGTCGACTTTAAAGATCTGAGGCATCCTTGCATGTCAACCAACACGGGTCTCGACTTTATTTCGAACGATGTCGCGCTCGGAGATCGATACGAAGAGGTCGTCATTCTGACGGGAGGTAATATGGCCGGCAAGTCCACCACTGCTAGGACTGCCGCCACGGCCGTCATCCTAGCGCAGCTCGGCTGCCGCGTGCCTGCCTCCTCTGCTGTAATCTCGCCGGTGGACAGGATCGCGAGTAGGATGGGTGCCAATGACCAGGTGGGTAGATGCGCTTCGTGGCGCAGCGCTGGCATGGATTCAGGCTCATTCCACCCCGCGCTCGCAGATCTTCCGCAACAATAGCACATTTATGGTTGAAATGCTCGAGGCTTCGAGAGTGAGTGGCGAATTGATGATGAAAGCGCAGAATTCGTTGCTGATGCTGTGACCTGCTGCAGATCATTCGCGAATGTACACCTCGCTCGCTGGTGATCATGGATGAGCTCGGACGAGGCACTTCCACTTTCGACGGCCACGCTATTGCTTTTGCAGTCTTGCACCATCTGGTTGGGAGGACGAGATGTCTTTCCTTCTTCCTGACGCATTACACGTCGCTAGCGCACGACTTTGACGCATATCCTGGTGTTGCCAACAAGCATATGCAAGTCGTGGTGGATGACGAAAATCGCGAGGTGGTGTTTACGTGAGTGCCGAGCATTTCCAGATCTCGACATCAGCAGCTGACACTCTCCTCACCACTTTCGCTCAGCTATCGACTCGTTCCCGGCATCGCAGAATCGTCTTACGGCACTCAGGTGGCAGCTTTGGCAGGTGTACCGCACACCATTTGCGATCGAGCCATGCAGGTCTCCAAAGAGTTCTCCGAGGCTTCCAAAGCTCTACAAGCACAGCGTACACACTCTCGCATCTCTGTGGCCACTTTGGCCGACTTTGCGCATCTCGTGAAGCGCGTCAGCTCAGACGACACCGAGGACTTGTCACGTCAATTGGGGATCATCAAGGCTCAGGCGCGCTCGCTTTCACTCGCTACCGCCTCATCATCCGATCTGCCAAAGCCTTGTGCGTAGCTTGGGAGCAATACATGAGCGTGAGCGTGAGCTATGAGCCGGTCTGACACGGAATATCTTTACGCAGCTGAGCAGAGCAGAGAAGTCGCTGCCAAGGCCAATGATCAGCGCCTGCATGCACAGGTACCGTCATCTCCAACCACACCTTTCCAGGCGGGCGGATGGAGTAGCCCGCAATCCAACGAGAACCGGCCTTCTAGCCCTGCCACATCGATTCCAGGCAGCCCGGAGCCCAGCTCAGTCGCCAAAGTAACGTCGTCCCCTTGCCACCGCCCGTCGTCCAAGAAGCAACCTCTGGCTGTGCGTCCGCAAGAGCAGATGGTCCTGGACCTTGGACAGCGCATCCAGAGCACGTGCCGAGAATGCGAAATGTCCTTTGACAGATCGGACGTCAACGATGTGGCTCTTCACACCAAATACCATGAGCGCATGACTCGTGGGGTGGAGTGGAGCACCAAGCTGGTCGATGCGGGCGAAGAGTGCGGGAGCGTCAACATCCCACCAGCCATCGCAAAGAAGCTAAAAGCGGGCAGCAACGAGGTCCGATTGCTCCGGTACAGCCTCGCTAGCAACACGAACGCTATGCTCAGTCGCAAGATTGAAGAAGTCTGCAAATGTGTCGACGAGGCGCTGGGAGCTGCGAGGCTGGCGGATCAGGCGCGCAAGGAGGGCAAGCTGCTCGTGGGCGTGTCCAAATCTGGTCGCGTGCTGGGCGCTGCAGTCGTGGGACCCTGCCCGCCCAAGTCCGCTCGCCGAGTCGCTCCTCACGAAGATGGCAAAGACGCCGTGTTCATCTCGTGAGTGGGTTCAAAGATGCAAGAAAGGGTCGCATGGGCTGCCCTGCTGATCTTGATGCACTTCGTCTCCTCCAGTGACGATCCAGCCGAAGCGCGCTCGCCACCCTTGGCAGTGCACCGCATCCACGTCCTCCATCCTGCCAGACGAGCAGGACTGGGCGTCGCTCTGCTCGATGCGGCGCTGGCTGGCGCAGTGTATGGCATGAGCACCGCTTCGATCGAACGAATGTGCGGTGGAAGAGCGGGAACGACGGCTTTTAGCCAGCCTACGCAGGCGGGAAGGAAGCTGGCTGAAGCGTGGATCGAGCGCGGCGGCAGCGCACCGTTGGAGCTGCTCATCTCTCACGCGCTTTGAGTTGGACCCTGGAGGAACCGGTCCCCCACGGGGAGCCCGTGCATGCGCCTCCGAGCAAGTTCCAGGCTTTGCACCGCACTACACGCGTCTAGTGGCTTCACCTCGCATGGCTTGCAGCGGGCATGGAATAGGTACTGAATGGGCACACTCGTGAAGTCCGTCCAGAGCAGCGGGTTTGCGGTGCACGTCTGTGAACACCAGGGTAGGTGATGAGTGCTTCAGCTTCTTGAATTTGAAAAGTGCGCCTCCGCAAAGCCGATCACATTCATGGTTGATCACTTGTACGCATACATCCACTCTCCGACAACCCATGCCTGCACGTCTGCATGCCTTTGTGAGTGGCTTGCGTGCTGATACCCATGAAGCGTCCACTTGTCGGCAACAGCTTCTCACCGGCTTTCGTCTCCTTCTCCCGTGTTTGTGCATCGGATTCGCGGCGATGCAATTCCCACTCAAGTCGAGATTGCCGTCTTCACTGCTGAACAGTAGTTGTCAGATAAAATGATGCACGAAGCCATCGCTTTCCGTCCTGCGACCGCTTAGCAACGGGCCACCTTACCACGGATAGCTGCAGTCTCGCGTCCTCACGCTGGTGGGCTTGGCATTGATACCGAAGTGTCGTTGAGTGATACGAAACCTTTCGTGAATGGACAGCCTCTACACCGCGGCAAGTATAAGTGTCGCACACGCCTATACACAAGGCGGTCTCCCTTTGCCCCACTTCGTATCGGAAAAGATGCGTCCATTCTGCCCGGCTTCACCTACTGCACTTCTACTGTCATGTCAGACCAGGCCTCCTTTCCCTCTCTGGACGGCGAGAAGACTCCTGAGCACCTCAAAATGCTCGAAAATTTGGCCCCCCTCACGCAGCGGGCGTTCGACAAGGTACCGTGAGTAGTTGGATCATCATTGAGATCAGAAAGAGACTGACCTCGCAGACTGGACAAGTCCGTGCACGTACTGCCAGCAAGTCGAGCGGAAGGTAACGCAAAGCGTCCGTCAATGCTGGATATCCGACTGTATGTGGGCTGCGTGCGAAGACTTGGGCCACCGGGGTGCTACGCATGAGGAAGGCGGCGAGCATCACTTGTACTGGAAAGAGCCGAGTGCTACACTTTTGCAGCGCACCATCGCTGGGATGCACAGTTTCCTTGGCACAGAAGTAAACAAGAGGCAGCTAGACGGATACTTCGAACTCGACCGCAGCAACTGCTTCTTGGAACTTGACCCCCGCAACCTCAAGCTTCAGCCCGCAAAAGCGTTTGCGCGGCTGCTCCCGTGTCACAATAGTTCCCTTCGGTTCCCTTGTTTGATCTCCTTCATCGGCGAAAGTGGCATCGGCAAGTCAACCATGCTGCAAGCGCTGATCATGGACGCTCTCTGGAAGATCCAGCCACCTTCGAACAGCGACTATTGCACCACAGCCCAGGGCGCCGCTTTAGACTGTCATGTTGGATGCAAAGAAATGCACGATGTCAGTGTGCCAGTGCCCGGCCTCGTACCCAAGTCGGGAAGTGCGAACATTCATCGCTACTGGGATCCGCTTACTTGGCACGACACAAATCCGATTGTGTATTTGGACTGTGAAGGATTTGGCGGAAGCAATGAGCCGCAAGCCTTGGACTGGCTAAGTAGGGTGGCAGCTGTCAGCATGGAACCGAGCACCAGAAATCGAAGAAATTTGATCGAAGAGCTAATACCAATGCTCACTTGTGCGTCATGAGGTCGATCGTCGTAGGACGGACGCAAGGCGACTGACAAGACTTTCATCGATACCTTTCCCTTCTCAGACGCGTTCAGTGACGTGATTGTCCTCGTGGTCGATTCAACAAAGACGATGGAAGCCAAGGTCGCGAGTCTTATCGAGCGTCTCAAAGCTGGTGCAGAGAGAGTGTCGAACATGAAAATCAAACCCTGCCTTGTTGTCGTGTGCACTAAAACCGAGGAGCAAAAATTTGGGACACTGGGAGGAAAGCCAGACGTTGAGGACTGGTCGACCTATTTCTCGGACTTGAAGTTCCGCAAGCTCGCACCTCTGTCAAGCCTTGAATTCATCGAGGACATCGCAGGGCTGAGTAAACTGCTGCGAGCTCTGCGAGTCAGCGTTCACCAAGCCCGCGACGACGTCGGATTCCTTGTCAATCAAATGCAGCTCACCGCGCACTTTAGGAAGGCAATGGCGAGCTTGGAACGTGTCAGTGACGGCTCCGCAAGATTTGATTGGATACAAGCTACCAGGGAGCTACGCCCATTACCCGAAACTTTGGAAGCCAGGCTAATTGCCTCTGCCAACGCGTTCCTCACACCATCGCCCGCGTCCGACAATTTTGCTGAGATTGTGAGAGGTGAATTGTTGGCGCATCTCGCCCGTTGCATTTACGATTGGAAGCGAGATACAGCCTCAGATATCATGGAGGATTCGATACCCAAGATGTTCAAAGAAGAGCTTTCATCTCTGGAGGAACATGTGAAAAACCTCGAGCCGTGCGCCTACGCAAACAAAGTTGGACATGCATGCATCAATCTTCGTGGGAGCCATCAGAGACACCAATTTCTGGACAAGTCGGGCTCCCCTGCAAGAAGCCTCAAAGGGGAATTCAAGCCTGCAGCACCTTGGCCTTTACCGGCATTCGAAGTTATTGTTCGCCGCCATCTAGCAACTGTACGTCAGCTGTACGAAGATGCAGGTGTTTCCAAAGCGTACTCTTCGCTCCAAAAACCCAGAGATTGCTCACAAACGCCAGGGTACTTGCTATCAAGACCGAAGAGCAACTCTGTCTGCCTTAGGTGTCTCATCGATCCTCCGCACTATGCGCTCAAGTGCGGACATGCACTATGCAAAGTTTGCCAGGCTCGGTTCAGCATCCCTGGAGACTCTGCACGTGCTATTTGCCCCCTCCACGAGACAGATCGTTTGGAGGCGACACCAGGTCCAGTGTGTCCTTCGCCACTTCAAGAGGGCTGTGGCCATCGTATTCTGTCACTCAGTGGAGGTGGCGTAAGAGGCTTGAGCCAGCTGATAATTCTTGAAAAGCTATCTGAGGCCACCTACTGGATCCCAATCGCTTGCTTGTTCGACCTGGTCGTGGGCACTTCAATTGGAGGTTGTCTAGCGCTCGCACTACTTCACGGGGAAGAAGACCGCGTATCTCTGACGATCAGTGACGGCAAATCCCACTCCAATGGGCGAGCCGCATTCAAATTAGCCCTTAACGGATGTTTCGAATCCAAACAGCGCGTCTCTTGGCTCCAATGGCTCTGGACTACGGACAAAGCGGTACGCTACTGGCCTGATGGCCTTCGAGCTGCTATGATGGGATTGCTCTCGCGTCAAGGAGGCTCAGGCGCCGAAGCACATTTCCCTATGTTTTCAGGAAGGGAGCAGTTCCCGCACCGACGGATGCCTCACATTGCGGTATATGCCTCTCGGTTGCTGGACGCGTGGGTCTCGCAAGCGATTCCCAATTTGTGAGTCAGGCGATCAGTGTTTTGTCGCTGTGATCCTCAGCCAGACCCGCCGCTTATATTATCATTCCCACAGCATTATGGGGACCGACAAGTCGTGCTCTGTCTCTGAGTCTATCACGCTCCTGGATGCAGCGCAGGCCACCTCAGCCGCATGGCCGTACTTGCCGCCACACGTAGTCGGCGGCATAGAATACTTTGACGGTGCCTTCAGCGCCAACACGCCGGCGAGACTTGGACAAGACCTTGCTCAAGAGCTGTGGAAGTCTAGTTGTCTCGATTTCATTGTTTCCATCGGCACTGGAATCGTCCAAGCTCCGTCTCAAGAAGATTTGAGCCGTGGACCTGCGACGTACTCGCGGATTTTGGTTGCATGTGCTGCCGCTCTGACCGATCACACTGGAGAACATGGTGCCCCTGTCGGCCCGCCTGACCGGCAAGCGGTCTTCAATCCTGCTTGGGATCAAAAGTTGTCGGGCGTGGACAAAGTCGAAGACATGGAGAAGATTGAGAAGAAGACTCTCGAGTGGTGCAGTCGGCAAGAAGTCAGCGATCAGATAAGAGGGACGGCAAGAAAGCTGCTCAGCCTTACGTGGTATGTCGATCCAACCGACCGAGTCGACTCGGGTGGGGTGACCACATTGCACATCAAGTCAAGATTGCCGCGTGCTGAAGCCGTTAAGCTAGTTCAAAAAGAGTTGCAAGAGTGTCGCAAGCAATCCACAGGAGCTCCTGGAACCAACGCCTACAAGCTCTTCGAGATCGGAAGTAGGCGGGGACTCATCTGGCTTGACGTTGAACAAATATTCAGGAATTTCCCGGGCAGTCAGTATGAATCGGCTTACTCGTGTCTGCTGGACATTGAACTCAAAGTGTCGACGCCCGAAGGTTCTGAGCCGCTCGAGTTGTTCATCAAGTATGGGCATGGGTCCGAAAAGCAACCAATTAGCAACGGAAACCCCTGGATCTCCCCATGACGCTTCGGCGGGCGCAGGCAGGGTCTTTGCGAAGCCATACGCATAGGCGTCGTGGAGCATGAACACCGATCCGATTTCCCTTCTCCCTAACCCCCTGTGCATACTCATAGTCATCATGAACTCCCTTCACGTTTGACGTTTGACCAAAGTGCGCCAGACCAAATGCACCTTTCTATGTCATGGAACCGGCCGTTGGGATCTGATAGAAGCTGCGAGCAGTCCGTTGTGGTGTCTTTAGCCTCGAGATCTCTCTGCGTACCTGTTGTCGCATCTTGCGATTCTGCTGGAGGGCAATTCGGACAAGACGGAAAGGCAGAAATTACGGTCAGAAGTGGTGGACCAAGTCTCTGAAGCTGCGAGGCGAGATGGCGCCCGCAGAACAATCTAGATCACTCAGACTCACCACTCTCGAATCTAATGAAAACTCATGCCAGTCTCGCGCTCAATCAAATCTTTTTCTCCCATGTGGCCTCATCTTCACTTTCACTTTGCGGATGGCAAACGTCTGCTGTCAGAATCAGATATGTGTGGCTCGAATGGGGGGCTCCAATTTTTGGAAGGAATGGCATGCCTTGTTGTTATTTCCAGATCGTGTTCATGATGCAGGTCTTGATTGAATTGCGATCAAGCTCAGCGGTAGCAAGGTGGAGCAACTGTTGATCGTTTGCGAACGAAACACAACGCCAATCAGTCTCCTGCATTCAAGCATCGTTTGATGTTCAGACTTGTTCGTCTGCTTCTAGCGCAGTCGCGTGCAATCATTCGAATAGTGGCGTTGCATAAGCAATGAGAGTAGCAGAGTACAGAATGCGAACGCCCTCGAGCGGCGTGATGTCCACACTGAAATTTGCCAGGCACCTCAGCGTGCTGTTCAGCCTCATAGAGCCACAAGGTGATTGTGCCTACGAGAGTCTTTGGGTGAGTATCTTGATCCGATCGACAATCCACACCAAGACGAAAGAATATCTTAGCCAAAGCCAGGCCATCCGACCGACAATCCACAACAAGACGAAAGCCACAAAGGTGACGGCCAATTGAACGAAGCTCTGCGAGTCGATGATGCGGAACAAAGGTTCAGCATAGGCAGGACGTCCGATATCGAGAGGTGCCGACTCACGAGAATACCTCCAAGCTCCGCAATGAGCTCGTGTGGCTCAAGTATGGGATTTTCAGAAGCCTCTTGCACCATCAAAGTGGCATACGAGACGTAGAAAGCCGTGTCGCAGCTTCCCGTCGAGACCGACGGTGACCAAATCGGATCAAATACTGTGATTGGCGGTTTGTTGCGGTCCCGAGACTGAAAATCGCGACGTCGAAGCTGTATGTCGATGACTTGGCCTGCAGAAATTCGCTGAATCGAATCAAAGGCTCTGCCGATAGTATCTCCCAGCAGCGCGTTGTCCGTCGCATAATCCGACACCGCTTGGGCGTCAAAAAAGGCAACGAACAGCGAGCTCTGAGTGCACCGCTCTCGTGGTACCAACGGCCTAGGCCCGTCCGTAGTAGCTGCACTGACGTCAGAACCTGCGCAGAGACGAATCCCAGAGCATCATTAGCACTGGCCAAGGAATTTGTTTCGCTCCTTTGTAAAAGCGCACCCGGATTTGGCCGCGTCCAATACAAGACAGGAATGTGCGCTTCAGACACGTTGAATGGCGCGGCTAGTACGTATGCATCATACTCTCTTCCTCTAATTGTCAGAGAAGTGCTGCTACTTGTGATGTTGCGTGAACAATTGCAGCTTTTGTTGATGCTGGGGTTCGAGTAGTCGCCCGGCTCACACGGCGCAGTATTGTTCACCCTGCGCCAGTAGCAGAAGGGTGGACCATTGTCGTCGACAATCCTTGCTGCAAAGGGATCGTCTCTTTGCGCCAAGATGACCATGCCAGGAAGTCTCATCGTGTCTCGCTGTCGTCGTGGAGCGAAGAGCCATGCAGCAAGCACATCAGCATTGATGATAATGGATGGCCGCCTTTCACGTCACGCACCGTATGGTATGAGCTGATGACCTCGTACGTTCCCATCTCCTGGAGCCAAGTAGGAGCTCGATTGTGCAGAATGCCCAACAGTATCACGAATGACAGAGCGAGTTGGCCTGGCGCGCTGAGCATCAGACTGCGCAGATTTTGTGGAAAGATTTCCAGCCACATTGGCCGGTGGACCTTTGATTCGCAATTGCATTCGCACTGGCCAAGGGCCTCTGTGCTCCTCTCTCTCGCATTCTCTCTCGCGTAGTTATGAGTGGTCTGACGACCCGTTCTGGCGGAGGTCTCGAAATGCTTTTTGCTTCTGTCGTAAGCTGACGACGAGAACATTGTTAGCTCGCCAATCAACACACAATTACAAGCATGCGAGACTTACCGAAGCCAAGGTAGGTGACAACTAAAAACAATATGACAGCCACAACGCAGCACACAAGAGCGGCATTGATCAAGCTCGTGTAGTCAAGGCTTAGATGCCCGCGGGTGAGGTGAACGAAGGCGCCAACGAGCGTGAAGACCGTCACGGTGATTGCAATGTAGAAGAGGTCCGGCAGAATGTACAAGTCACGAGCCTCCCAAGCTCTTTTTGCCGCCATTTCCGGAGTGGGCCCTGGTTCCGCCATTCTTATCAGAAGGGTTGGAGATGAATTGGATTGTAGCCTACAGGCGAGATGAAAAGTAGTCACAGGCCGACGAGCAAAAGCAATTGCAACACGACTTCCTTATACCACCACCCCAACCTCCTCGCTCGACCGCGTGCAGGTCAGCGCCCCGCACACTTGAGCTTCCCAAGCGGGCACATTTCGACCTGCTGCGAATTGGAAGCGGTCGCACAGCTGTGTGTGACCTGTCATCCGCTCATGGCCCACGATTTCCAGAGCCATGGTCTTGTGTCCTAGTCAGTGTCATTGCTTCTTGATGCGAACGTTGCCGCCTATCATTGTACGTAGTTCTTTCACAATTTGGCTCTCAACCAAACACGCGCGGCCAAAGGTGCGAGCCTGGAACTTGCAAGCCACTGATGCTGTAGGAGAAGGACCGGTCCGGCGGGAACATGTGCGGCGCACCGTTGGGGCGAGAAAGCGCAGACGGTCCCTGCTAGCTAGCCGCTTGCCGGTGCTTGCCCATTGGTAGTGTACGTCGATAATGTTGCTGGTGATTTTGAAACTCTTCGCTGTCCAGACGAAGCCTTCTCGAGCCGATCTGCACCGTTGCACGAGCATTGTAACAACAAGGCAGCAGATCGCAAAATAAAGCTCGTCTTCTCAAGAGCAGGCGCGAGAATGAACGGTTCTGAGCCGTTCGAGATTGTAGACCATACAAAGTTCAAGCTCCGCACGGGACTGGACAGAGCGAATTCACCCACATTTTCCTGCACCAGCACCAGCGTTGGGCGCTGCATGATTGCATGTTCGCTCCCGATGATCCAACGCGCTTTTAGAATGAGGCTCATGCATGCTTCGACGCTAACGCTCGCTTAACAAGCCACTACGAGTTACCGCTGCAGCTGCGAACAACGCGAAATTCCGGAACGCAGGTCCTGCGGCTCAGTCGGCTCGCATCGCCTGCGTCTACCTGCACTTTTAGATTAAATTGGGGCTACCGGCTCTTCTAGAACCGCCAAGACCCGCGGAAGCTATTGGCAGTAGGTGTAGAGATGAGTACACAAATCCGATTGTGGCTATCAACCTAGTGAGTTCCTGACTGAGATTTCGACCGCGTTACGACTTTGTCGCTTCGCACGATGCCTTTGCGTCAGGACTTGAGCAAAGACGCGCGACACGTACATCGTGTCTACATGGCCCACGTACAGCTAGACGGCGTTCATGGGTGCGAAACGACCACCTCGACCACCTCAGGAGCGGCACATTATGCGCAGCTAAGAGCCGCTATAGAGAGCAGGCTCGATGTATGTCACGTGACCGCCCAATGCATGATCCCTGAGCATCTTCATGTACTCAGCGTCATACGTACCTGATCACTCGATCTGACTAAGATACAATCATCATCTCTCGCGACCTTCATGTATCATTGTGGTCGTAAGACTCAGAGAGCCAGACCTTATAAATATCGATGTCATCGTTTTGGTGAGCTCACTGATCAGCAAGCCTTCACCCGTTCTACACCACTCCGATCGACAAACATGGTCCCGTACACAAGCCTCATTACCCTCCTCGGAGTGGTTGGCTCCCTCTCGCTGGCAGCTGCAGAAGCGTGCGTCAAGGAGGTGGATGCTGACACAGACCTCCTCAAGGTAAATGGCTGCAAGACGCTGCTCAATGGTGTCAATTTGCCGGTCATGAGCTATCATCAACAGCAGCCGTGGACAGGACAAGTCTTGCCGCAGAGCGACTTCGATCTCTATCGCAAACTCGGCTTCAACATCTTCCGCTACGGCTTCTCGTGGAATATTCTGCAGCCTGACCTCAGCAAGCCATACAATCGAGACTATTACGATGCAATGCACAGCAATATCACCAACATGGCCAAGGATACAAATGTCTTCGTGATCCTCGACTTGCACGACTTTGGCCGGCACTCGGGACAATTGATTGGGGAGTCGACAGACGCTCCTACCGCTCAAAGTCTGGCGACCCTATGGGAATCAATTGCAGCCGACTTCAAGGACCTTGGAAACGTCATATTCGGCATTATGAATGAGCCGGAAGAGTTTGCCAATACCGACACGGTCATCGCGTATCTCCAAGCTGCAGTTGAAGCCATCAGGGCAGCCGGCGCAACCAAACAGTACATCCTGGTGCCAAGCAAAGATTGGCAAGGCATCTCAACCTGGCTCAATTACTCCGATAGAACCCTTGGTATCAGCGACAGCGAGAATCGGCTCATCTACGATACTCACAGCTATCTAGATCCGAATAGAAACGGTACCATTGACTGCGAAGATTTCTCCAACAGACGATCGGAATGGGACGCAGTCACGGTCAAGCTTCGCAACAGCGGGAAAAGAGCTTTCCTCAGCGAGTTGGGTGGCATCGCATCCGTGAAATGCGAAAAGTCCATCAACGATGCCCTTGCTTACCTCGACGAGAACAAGGATGTCTGGTTAGGCTGGACTGCATGGGGTCCGCAACAAGTTCAACCAACACCTCGACTCAACAACAACAATAGCCAAACGGCTTTCTTTATGGACTGTCAAGACGGCGATCTACTCCACCATGCATTCATGCAGCATGGTAGCGTAGCGGCGAGGAACAATGGAAGCGCGTGCTGTTCGCCGCTCAGGGATAGCGTTGCGCAGCTTCCCACCGATGCATTTATCAATTCGGCCAAACCGATTTGTTCTGCACCTGTAGCTTCTCCATCAAGTGCAACACCTTCCGCTGGATCAACTGCGCCTGGAGGTAGCGGGCAAGGCGACGGACAAAGTGGCGGAGCGAAACACCTCATCTTGACCGTGGGCGTACCCCTCATCGTCGTTGTGATTGCCGTACTTCTTTGAGCCCGCTTCATCTCGCTGATTTATCTGGCGCAAGCGTTTTCGTCGAGCTCGGCACAGCATTGGAACGTTTGGTCTCTTCCGGAAAACACGTCTTCAGCATTTTCTGGTGTCATTTCCGCTTCTTGACGCACTTCTCGCCGTCACGTCAATTTCGGCTGCTTTCTCGCTTCGGTGCCCGGTCCAGTCATCATACCATCACGTCACCTTTGTCTACTTTTTGAAATTGTCACCGAAACACGGAAAAATTGAACTCAGCAGCGTGCAATTGCAGAGCAAAAGAGACCTGACAGTCAAGCAAGAGAGAGGCTGCCACTTGCATCTATTCAAGTCGGAACAGATCAACTTCCCAATGGAAATCTTGCATGGGCACGCCTTTCACATTGACGAATCGTGAATGTGAATGCAATCAAGAATCGTGAATGTGACTGCAATCAAGAATCGTGAATGACGATTCCGTCGACGTTGACAAGAGGCCTGCGCGCACCCGTTTCACGTGATTGACCAATCGTGAATGCACGGTACTGAGTAACTCACTTGACTCAAGACTCGCACTCTTCTGACTCTGATTCACCATTCGTGATTAAAGATTCATTCATGACCAGGCGCAAACAGGAATTACACTCACAACTGCATGCATATAAAGTTGAACCACCGATCTGATGTCTGCCATCAGCCCCGCCGGCATACGCTCGCTATACCAGCACCTTACTGTACGGGGTACCTGTGTGGCTGGATCGCAACCACGTAGGTGCGCGCGCGGATCTAGCAGGTACCCTCGCGGTTACCGCGGCAGATGCGCACTGCAGATATGCATGCATGCGCATCGCGTGCAGAGAAGGCGCTGGCTGCTTAATTGTGCTTGCATATATGCTGTTCATAGTTTGTGTGTTCAGCAGACTCGTTGTGCGATGCAGCGTGCATGGTCCTGCATGCACATGCACACCGCGGCGCTGCACCTGCTACGGCTCTCTTCGATCTGAAACGATAGTTGGAGCGTGACGTGACGTGACGAGACGAGCACAGGCTGCATGGTGACTCGTGAAAATGCAGCAGCAACTCAAGATTGACTGACGCTCATCAGACTGCGAAAGGGGAGAGGTGACATGTGGGGCGAATGGCGATCGAGGCAGAAAGGGAAGACGAGAGAGCACTCAAGAGTTTTCACAAAAGTGTAGACGACTGATCAAGGGGAAAGGGGGCACTCCATCACGAATGTTCATTTCCGTCAGTCCCGCCCGCATTTGATGGCATCGACCCCCGTCCACCACAATCATCGACGAGGAGGCATCCAGCAAGATGAGCGAGTCTTCCAAGACTGGCTCGCAGCCTGCACAAGGCAGACAGAACATCATCGTAGTGGGCGGTGAGTCGAAGCTGACTTCGCTTGCTCAGCGTCCATGCTCCAGCTCACGCTCGGGCCGCAAACTTGCCGTCTCGCACCCAAGCGGGCATCTTTGGTCTGTCCTTGGCCACGGAGCTACATGAGCGAGGCTACAGAGTAACCGTGCTGGAGCGCAATCGGTACGATCAGACGGCCTACGATCCGCTAGACGCATCCACCGAGAATGCAGCGAGCGTGGATCACAACAAGATCGTGCGTCGCTTCGCTTAGGTACGCGCGACAGAGAGGCACAGCTGACCATCGCATCGCCCCGCCCATCCTTGCCACTGCAGTTCCGAGCATCGTATGGCAAAAAGTTGCACTACCAGAGATTGGCATTCGAAGCGAGACAGCGCTGGTTGGAGCTCAATGAGCAAGCCGATACGCCCCTCTTTAGTGCTTGCGGCATGTTGCGCGTGCAGCCCAGCAACACGCTCGACGCGCTGGAGCAAGAGACGTTGAGGAACATGACGCGCGACGGAATACGCTCCAGTCAATTCGTAGAGGGTGAAGAGGAAGATGCGAATCGAGCCGAGGCGCAAGGATGGGCGCACAAGCTGCTCAGATTCGACTTGAGGCAGCAAGACGAGCGTAGCGAAGATGAGGAGGCGCAAGGGTACAATGGACATTGCTTTGCTGCTACGCTCGACTCCACTGCGGGATTCATCAGCAGCAGCGAAGCTTGTCGGTACTTTCAACGACGAGCCGAAGCTCTCGGCGTGCATTTCCGCTTCGGCGTGCAGGTCCAGGCTTTGCTACAGCAGCAACAAGCTCACCCGAACGCTCCTCGAGTCGTGCGAGGTGTGCTGCTATCGAGCGGCCAAGAGATTGCGTGCGACCAAGTGATCGTAGCGTGCGGATCGAGCAGCACGCAGCTCTTCCCCGCCCTCTCTTACCACGTCGAATCTTCCGCAGGCAGCGTGGCCGCATTCCAACTCGATGCGGTGCGCGATGCGGCATTATGGGAGAAGTACGCTGCGGAAAGATTTCCGGTCATCACTTGGAAGAGCGCGGTTAGGGATGGCGAGGGAAGAGATACGGGAAGCGTGTACGTCTTGCCCAGGACCAAAGAGGGAGTGATCAAGATTGGGTATAGAGGAGTCAAGGTGTGTGTGTGTGTGTGTGTGACGCAGAGTCGCGCAGGCTCGTGCGGCATGCTCTCCCCCTTGTCCATGAGTGATGCTCACCTCGGGCGCTCTCCCAACCCCGTAATCCCGATGCCGCAGTACACCAATTTTCAAGCGGCACCCGACTCTGCCTATTCGCAAAAGGGTCAATGGTCCATCCCCTTGCCGTCTGTCTCCTCGCACATCATCCCTCGCCAATCCACCTCATCCATTCGAACCTTTGTGCAGCTCTTTCTGCCCGAACTAGCGCAGCGTCCGTTTGCTTGGACGAAGCTCTGCTGGTACACCGACTCGCTGGACAACGAGTTTGTGGTGGATAGACCGCCCAAAGAGGAGTGGAGCGGCGTATTCGTTTGCACGGGAGGCAGCGGGCACGGTGCCAAGTTCTTGCCGGTCTTGGGAAAGGTGCGTGCGGAGGGCGTTGTGCGAGGAAAAGGAAATCGAAAAGGGAGGGGGGGGGGAAAGAAGACGTTGCGGGTCTATCCGGGCTTTTCGTTGCCGTTGCGTCCTTTCTTACACGCCAATCCCCCCTCCTCATCCCTCACATTCGCGCCACACCTCTCCCCCCCTCTCTCTCTTTCTTTTCCTCCCCCGCCTCCCGCCTCCGCAGCACGCAGCAGACATCTTTGAGGAAAGGGAGGATGCGCAGATGAAATCCTTTTGGAGGTGGAGAGAGGACAAGCCGAGGGGCAATGGATTGGATGAAGGTCCGGATGGTGATAGGAATCTCAACCGAGCGACTTGAAAGGGCCTCACGGCCGGGGGCGGGGGAAGAGGGCAAAACAAGAAATGTCCAGAAGAAAAAAGAGGGAGAGGAGTAATCCTACGACTCTTGCGCGGAGAGAGAGAGAGAGAGAGCCTTGAAATGAGGGTTCGATCCATGAAAAAACTTTGCAGAGTCCAAGGATTTGTGGGTTCTTGTCGGCTATTCTCGCCGAGGGACGCGCGAGTTGTGAAAGGTTATGAGTGTGTGAGGGGGAACAAACCCTTGAGCGAGTGATCCATGAGGCATTCGCTCGGAACCTTTTGCAACACGGGCGAAGCATAGCCTCCCGAAGCATCGCCCTCTCTCTCTCAACTCCGCGCAATCCAAATCCCACCCACCCCTCACCGTACGCTTCCCCCGCGCCTCCGAGGCACTCCCCCCCCCTGCGCCCACCAATCTGCTCCGCCCAGCTCTTCCTCGGCTCGGCTCACCCTCCACTCAGCTCGCAATTCGCGCGTGCGTCTCTTTTTCATTTCGCACCAAAAGCAAGCGACACGCATTCGCCTATCCCTCCGTTTGCCCCATCTTCTTTCAGGGGCCCCCCACCATGCCATACATGCCATGCATGCCCATCTGCGAAACACACATTTCTCCTCAACAAAAAAGCGCGGGCAAGCAACAGCCGCCCCCCCCCCCCCCCCCCCCCCCCCCCCCCCCCCCCGCCTTTTTCTTTGTTTTTTTCTTTTTCCTTTTGCCTCTTTTCCCCTTCCCGAGACACGAGCGCTTCAACGTGCGCACCCACACTCGTACGCCTTCGGCAACGCTGCAAAAAATATCCTCTTCGCACTGAGTGTTGGAAATTCTGCAACAGGCGCAAAGAGGCGAAGCGAGGGGGGCTTGGAAAAGGAGAAGGAAAAAGGCCCCGTGCTTTCGCTTCGAGGTGCGTGTTTTTCGGTACTTGGATCCCAAAAGTGTCCCCCCTGCAAGCCTGCCCTGATCGCGCACCGCCGCCGCCGCCGCCGCCGCCCGCGCCTTCCTTCTCCCACACACCCCTCCTAACCCTCTCAGAACAGATCCATATCCGTTCCCCTCATCGATTCTTGCTCTCTTGCAGCAGCAGCTCCATCCATTCCCTCGTCCTCCGTATGCCCATATCCCCCTCGACCTCCTCCGCTCCCACTCCCGCTCGCGCTCCCCGCACGCCCTTGTCCATCCGCATCCGCATCCGCATCCGCATTCGCCTGTGCGCGCATCCTTTCCCTCCAATCCACACCCGCACCTCTTTCCTCTTCTTCTTGCTGCCTCCTCCTCTCCCATCTCCTACTCTCGCTGCTGCTGCTGCTGCTGCTGCTGCGACTTTGCGAGCGGGCACGAGCGCCCCACTGCGATGTCTGCTGCTGCGCCTGCGATCCTCGACGAGCCGGTGCCCTCTCGCTCGTGCTCGTGCTCGACGTCGCGTAACGCCCCGCACCATGGCGCAAAGCATCGTACGCCGAGTCGTAGTTTGAGTCGTCCGGCGCAAAGCTCCCTCGCATCGGCGCAGCAGCAGCGGCAGCAGCGTATCCCATACCCGGTCCGTACAGCTCGTCGGCTCCTGCTCGACTGCTGCTGGGCAAGAGACGCTTGAGATCGTCGAAGGCTCGATTGATAAAGGGACGCAATTCGCAGAGTTCCGAATGAGAAATGTTGGACATCTGCGTGGGCGTGCGCGCGCGGGGGAGATGGGCGCGTCGGGGTGGGAGATGGAGGGGGTGAGGGGGCAACGGCAAGGGAGGAAGTTGTTGATGCATTTGTAAGTGTGCGATACGCCAATGCGGGGGTGGGGCACTTGCAATGCAATAACAAGCCGGGGGCCTTTGCACGTGGCATGTGCAAAAGAAGATGTGCTCAAACGATCCCACGCCCACGCCCACATTGCCACGCCCACGCCCACTACTCACCTCCAAGTGCCAACAATTGACGTCGGATAGACCCTGCATGATCTTTGCTTGTCTCGCCTCTCTGAGATCTTTGAGCAAGGAACGAACGAGGGAAGCGTCTGGAATATCGTCTGATGCGCTGCGAGGCGAGTTGCGCGAGTGGGGTTGGAGTGAGAAGGAGAAGGAGAGGGGAGAAGGGAAAGGAGAAAGAGGCACGTGGGGCCTACTCACTCGTCTATAAGCGCTCGGGCGATGCTGGGATAGTGCAGAGGTAGGGAACAGAAGGAATCGGAAGTCGTCTCGTGACGCAGCGAGGATTTCAGCGAGTCTGCGCGCGGGGTGGCGGGGGGGCGTGGGTGTGAGAGAGAGAGGGGAGGGGAGGGGTGCAAAGTGCAGTGCAAGTGAGCACGTGCGTGCGTGAAGCGAGTGAGGCCATCGTGAACGCCATTGCATTGGCCCAGTGCGACGCGAGGGCGAGGGCGAGCCGAATCGCTTCCGTCTTTTACTCGACCCCACTCGCCAAACTCGCGCGCGCGCACGCGACCCCCACTCCACTCCACTCACCCACGCTCAACCAATCCGGACAAACAATCCTAGCCTTTCTCTTTCTCTTCAAGTGCAAAGCCAACCAAAGAGGAACGGAGCAGGTCCTAGCAGGTCTAAAAGGTCCAAAGGTGCCCTGCATCAATCTGACCTTGTCCAAAGCGCGCGTTGGGAGGATGAGGATGCGTTGCGTTTGAAGCGCTAGCGATTCGGATTCGCTCGGGAGGAGCCCGGTGGAGGCGTGGGCGGGCAGGGCCATGATTGTGTGTGTGTGTGTGTGTGTGTGTGTGTGTGTCGGTGTGGGTGTGGGTGTGGATGTTGGGGAGAGGGCGAAGGAGGACGATGGATGATGGTTAGGAAAGCAGTTAGTTGTATGCTTCAACGGGGTGCAAAGGTGGATGGATGGACGGGGAAGCTACGAGCGTGCGGTCTGCGTGCTGCGAGTCACGAGCCCGGATTTGCGATTCTGACAATTCATTCAAGATTGGTGATTGTTGATTCGAGCGCAGCGCCATCGAGGTGCGCCAGTCTGAGTCACGAGTCACATCAAGTCAAGAGTCACGCGAGTCACGAGTCCCCCCGCCAATCTGAATCAACACGTGTACGCTGCATGCAGCCCCCGCCTGCATTCACGCGACGCGTAAATCCCTACCCCGCGCGCGCGCACGCAGCTTCCACATCTTTGACCACGTGACTCGTTGGAATTTCCTTTTTTTTGGATGCATGCACGCACACGCATCGATCGAGTTTGTCGAGTTTTGCTGGAGTCACGAGTGCTGCATGGCCCCGATGCAATACATGGCCTTGATTGTGACTTTGTCCATTTGCACGTTGCCCATCTGGCATCCCCTTCCAAGCACATCCATCCTACCACACACGCACGCACGCACGCACGCACGCACGCGATGAGCGCTATAGCTGCTCGTAAAGCTCGATTGAGACGTGCGCAAGAGGAGATCTTGCTGGAGCAGGGGCGGGGGCAGGGGCGAGGGCGAGCGGGAGAAGGGGTGCAGGTGCAGGGGCAGGTGCAGGGGCAACACGAGGGTCATGCGATGCGAGTGCGAGAGGGAGCAGGGGATAAAGTGGATGGAGCGTCCAGCAGCAAGGGAACGGTGGTGCGCGAGCGTGAGCACGAGCATGGGCAGGCTGGCAGGAAGAAGAAAAAGGCGAGACTTGCAATGGACATGGAGCGGGAGCGGGGAGCAGCAGCAGCAGCAGCAGCAGGCAGGCTTCATCCAGCAGCAGCAGCGCAGACCTTTGCAGCGCGCAACAGCAGCTCCAGCGAGAGCGAGGCCGAGAGCGATGGAAGGGTGGAAGAGGCGGCAGCGGATGCGGAAGCAGGATCTGGCGCGCGCATTGGCCATCACAACTCCTCCAAGGTGCGGCGAGAGCAAGAGCAGGACAATGCATGGAGCGAGGTCTGGATTGCCTCTCCATGCTTTTCGAGCGCAGCAGCAGCAGCAGCAGCAGCAGGGAAGCGTACAGCTGAGAGAGGGCAGCATGTTGTCGCTGCTGCTGCCCCTGCTGCCCCTGCTGCTGCCCCTGCTGCTGCCCCTGCGGCTGCCTCTGCTGCTGCTTCCACCTCTGCATCAGCAACGCAAAGGAGGAACTGGTGGCGACCGCCAACACGAAAGCGACGCGATCAAATCGTCTTGGGTCTCGTGGCAGGTCAAGTGAGTTTCTTGCCGCCCCGCGCTCGCGCTCGCGCTCAAAAGCCTACAATTCATCATTTCCACGCATCTCTCCTCGCCCCCGCCCCCCCTTTCAGCGGCTATGCATGAGCGGCTTGGCGTCCATTCGCGTCTTGGCAGGTCAAGCAACTCTGGCCGGCGCACACCTTCGTCGCGGCATCACGTGCGATTTCTTTGCGCCGCTGCAAGAAGCGACGCACCATCTGCTCGCATTGCCGCTCCCCTCCGAAATGTCTGAGCGAGAAGCGATGGAGTCGCAGAGCGTTGCGATTCACGCGCTGCGAGAAGGGCAAGGAGCAGGAGGCGCGTCGGGCCACTTTGACTTGCTCGTCTTGATGGAAGAGTTGGACAATGGAATGCGAAGCATTCGAGATGTTTGTCCGACTGTTGCGTTTGAGGCTCGAAGAGTCGGAGAAGAGTCGAATCCCTCGTCTCCCATTTCTGGTCTGCTGATCCACCAACCGCAGATGATCTCTTCCTCCTCCTCCTCCTCCGCCTCCGGCCCATCCACACTCGCACCGAAGCGCACCGCTACTGCTGCTCCTCCACCACAAATGCGCTATCCCGAAACGTGGCAAAGAGCTTTGCAATCCTTTGCTTCCTCTGCGCAAGTCTATTCCAGCGCCAGCATGGGAAGCTTGGATGTGGAGGAGAGAGGGGCGGCGGCGGCGGCAGCGGCAGCGGCAGCGGCGCGCAGAGAAGCAATCAGAGTGCTGATCAGAGGACCTAGGAATGTGGGCAAGAGCACCTTTGCTAGGATGCTTTTGAACGCCATCATCTCTCGTCGAGCGAGCGCGACGGCGACGCGAGATGCAGGTGGAGCTGATGAAGCGCTAGCAGCAGCGGGGGCAAGAGTTGGAGGAACGGTTTACTGGTTAGATACGGATCCTGGACAACCGGAATTCGCTCCGGCTGGAGTGTTGGGTCTGTACGCCTTCGACCTGTGCGCGACGCCAAATGCTCCTGAAAAGAGCTTCGGGGACTCGTGGTCTGGGGTGGATCTCGGGCAAGAGGCAGAGGTGTTCGTGGGACCGGCATGGTGCGTAGCTCCTTATGCTCGCACCGTCAAGTCTCATTTCCTGGGCGACACGACGCCAAAGGATTGTCCGAGGATGTACTGCTCCATGGTGGAGGATCTTGTAAGAGTGTACGAAGAGGTTCGACTCGCTCCTGATTCCTGGTCAGGCAGAGGTTTGCGAGATGAAGGATCAAGCAACATCGCAGGAGCAGGAGCAGGAGCAGCGTTGGATGGAACGTTGATCATCAACACGCACGGATGGACCTCTGGATTAGGCGCGGATCTGAACAACGCAGTGGAAAGGATGACGCTTCCAAGTCACATTTTGGACTTGCAACCTTCGGATCAACCTCTTGCGCGCGCAAATCCTCCACATTTTTCAAGAGCGCAAGAAGCGACTACGGATTCGCGCGCGCGAGCCGAGGAGAGCCGGGATGATGCTCAGATGCCGCCGGTCCCGCAACATGATGCCTCTTTTCCTACGCCCTACGTGGGCAGGCCTTATCTGGACGAGACTGGCGCAACGCTGGCTAGCCCACCCGTCGTTTGGCCGCTAGAACCTGCTGCTGGTGCTTTTTGCGCGACCAGCTCCCGCTCCGGCTCGGGATGGAGCGGGCGGCGAGAAGGCAAACGAGGACTTTCAGCGGCTGAAAAGAGATCCGTAGGGTTGATGGCGCACTTGTACCAACGTTCTCGACCTTTCCTTTTGCCAGCAGCAGCAGCAGCAGCGGCTTCTCTAGATCAAAGTCGATTGGAAACTGAAGAAGAGCTTGCTCGGGCGAGCGATGCGCCTCTGAACTTTGCGCACCACCACCCATCATCGCCTCCTCGCATCATCAGGCGCGCAAGACCCGCTTGGGATTTCGCGACGAGCTTGCTCGCAAAGAGACCTTGCGAAGTGCGCGTGGAGCAAGGGCTGCAGGCAGGCTTGCACGTTTTGGATTTCGCAGCAGCAGCGAGCGTGCCTGACCAGCTCAAACTTGCTGCGCTCAACGGCGCACTGGTGGCCATCGTCGTCGTCGACTTGCCGCCGCCGCCGCCGCCGCCGCCGCCGATGCTCGAAGCTGGTCTTTCCTCTCATGACGAGCCTGACCAGCCTTGCCCTTGGGTTTTGCCTGCTCGAGAAGGAAAGGAGGAGGGGAGAGGGGTGCATCGAGAGCGTCCGTATGAGCTTGAAGGCGCACAAGCACAAGCAGCAGCAGCGGCACCTGCTACGGAAATGTGGAGAGAAGCGCTGAGCAAACCTTTGCCTCGCGTATCGCGCTGCGCTTACTTGGGCATGGCCATCGTGCGCTCCATAGATCCTTTGAGCGGCAAGCTCAGCTTGATCCACTCTCTTTCGCCTCAAGAAATAAGTCTAGCATTGCACCATCCTCCTCCTCCTCCTCCTCCTGCATCCCCGTCGCCGGCGGCGGCGGCGACTTTTTCAGCAGGCGCAACAAAGAGCTTGGAAGGGCATGAGGATGAAGATGGGAGAATGCGGCGGCGGCGGCGGCGAGGTCTAGCTCTGATCAAGGGCAATATTCGACTACCCATTTGGGCCTCTTTGGACCATCAACACGTTCGAGCAATCTCTCTTGGCACTCCAACGCCTTTCAAGCATGTCGCCGCGGCGCAAGCTGAAGGAACTCGACGAGCACCACGCGATTTGCAGGAGCAGGAGCAGCAGCTAGACACTTTGGCGGGCGTACGGCTGCAGGATGTGCCTTATTTGCAGTGGGATGACGCGATGCGTGGGAGCGGTACGGTGGGAAGGGGCGAGAGGAGAGTGAGGAGGAATATACTAAGAAGAGGTCAGAGGTGATGCGATGCGATGTCCGGGATGGGATGGGATGGGATGCGGGGATGCGGGGATGTTGCGATGCGTTTTGCGCGCGCATTGACATTCGCAAGTAGCGTGGGGCGTCGAAAGCGCAGAGATTGGGGCTGAAAGGCGGCGTGGCTCTGGATGCATTCTCTTCCTTGATGCTTTTTTCCCGCAATGTTTTGTTTCGCCATGCCCATTGCCATTCCCCCCCTCCCCCCCGGCGCGCGCCATCATAGTGATTGTAAAGCTTTTGCAATAATGGCGATGCATGCAGAAGCCTGCGGACTATTCTATTCTACAGGATAAGAGGCACGCACGAGAGTCCCGTGCGCGTTGCCCCCCTCGCGATCGTGGGTGGAGAAAGGTCCGAGCAAGGCAATCGTGGGAATATTCTGAAAACGTGGAACGTGAGCCAGTGTAGCCCGCTTCTTCTCCTCCTGTGCCGAAGCGGATCGGAGCGAAGCTGTACAAATTTATCGTACAAGAGGAGCAGCGTGGGATGAATGACCAATGTGTGTCCTCTCCCGAGTCTCTCGCTTGTCTGGTAGCAAGGGGCGTCGACTGCACGCGCCAGCGTCCTCGCTTCGATGTCGATCGAGCAGGAGGGCCCAAAAAAAAAGTGCGCGCCGCTCTGCTTTTTGCTTTTGACCTTCCTGCGACGGTGGTGCGGACGACGAAGAGGCGCGCGCCTGTCTCGTCCATCCTCTTTTGCCAAACAAAGAAAAGAGGCGGCTATGGCCATATCTTGCTTGCTCAGACGGAGCCCTGCCCTTCGGGGAGTGGGCAATCCGGTGCGCGAGGCATACCGCTCGATTCCTCTCTTTTCTTTTCGTCTTCTTCGCCACTCTTATGCGGGGCGCCGGATGCGGGAATCTTGCAGTGCACGAGGGGGGGCGAGGAGAAGGAAATTGCGAACCCTTGTTCGGGATGATGCGAGTGCGCGCTGCCCCCCTCGAACGTGCTTTCCATCGGTAGAGAAAGCAGGCGCTACCCTCATGTCTGACCTTGTCTGGCAACAGAGATGCACCGAGTGTAACGGGTAGACGCCCCCGATCCAGATCGCTGATCGCTGATCGCCGGTCGCTGTTCGTTGTGCCGCCAAAGCTCTGGCGAGCACCGCATCCCCCGCGCGCGCATGTGCCGGCGATCAGAAACAACAATCGCAATCGAATGGACAGAGCCTTGTGCCTTGTTGAAGCGTGACAAGTTTAGAAACAGGTGGGAGTGGGGGATCAGCTAGCGCGCTGCATCGATGCTGCATCATCGAGCATGTGTTGACGAGAGGAGGAGGAGGAGCAGGCGCACAATGTCGCTCGTCATCATCCCAACACAAAACCCTAGCCAGTCTTTGGGGGAGGGGAGAGGGGCTTTTTGGTGCGCAAAAGGGGAGGGGGGTTTACGCCGCGCTCCCGTGCACGAAATCGTACGACTCGACTCGCGGCCCCCGCACGCCACCCAGTGACGAAAAGCGAAAGAAGATACCGAAAGCGCACAGACTTCAAGACTCAAAAACTCACCTCCTCCGGTCAGATTTTTCGTCAATCCCAATTCGTCCTCTGTAAAGATTCTAAATCCTTCATCCGTCCTCTTGCCTGCGAGTGCGTGTGGAAAGGGGGGGGGCGAGACAACAATAGAGAGGTCCTTAGTGATGGTCCATCAAGACAGGAAACAAAGCAAATAGAAGATTGACTCACGCGTACCTCTCGAATCCGCAAAAGCCAGATCCTCATCGTCCAGCACGAATGCCGCCGCCGCGCCTCCATCTCCATCTGCCTCTCTGCCTCTGCCTCTGCCTCTGCCTCTGCCTCTGCCCGTCCCCGTCCCCGTTCCAGTCTGCATCTCATTCACCGATGCCACCTTGCGCGAGTGCGAGTGCGAGTGCGAGTGCGAGTGCGAGTGCGAGTCGACAAGACTTCCACCTGCCAGACCAGCCGATGGATCGTGCACCTCTACCGCCGCCGCCGCCGCCGCCGCCGCCGCCGCAGCTCGAGCATCAGCACCGTCATTGACAGCCTGATGAGCATCTGGAATCCGACGATCGACTTTTTTGCGCTTCTTCTCCTTCCGTCCGACTTGGTTTGCGCTCGCACTCGCACTCGCGCTCCCGCTCGCAGCTCCACCATCCCCCCTTTTCCCAACTTTCTCGCCTCTCGTCGCTCCACCACCGCCAGCGCCGCCAGCACCAGCACCACCTCCACCTCCACCTCCTCCAGCTGAGAAGATTTCATCGATCTCGCTCATCCTCTTCCTGCTCTTTCCGCTCGTCGACGCACTGGCAGAAGCAGCAGCAGCAGCAGCAGCAGCAGCAGCAGCAGCAGCAGCAGCAGCACTTTTGGACGCTCCACCCGCACCCGCACCCGCACCCGCACCCGCACCCGCACCCGCACCCGCGCTCGCTGAGTCGGCCTTGCGCTTAGTCGACATGGCTGACGCACAGAAGCAGCGCTGATGCTGATGCGGATGCTGATCTGCCCCCCTCTCTTTCTCTCTCTCTTTCTCTCTCTACCTCTCTCTCTTTCTCTCTCCGCGCAAGCCTGTTTGCTAACTTTCGTTGTCTGCTTGCTTGCTTGCTTGGGTGGTGTGCAGGTGGTAGTAATGAGTCAAGTCGGCGCACACATCCATGCACACGAACTCGTGACTTTTGGACTTATTTGATGGGGGGGGGGCTCATCCATGCGCACGCCACGTGAGCTTAGACGCGCGTCAGAAACAAAGTTGATTCTTGATTCTTGCTTCAATTCTTGATTCTTGATTTGATGAAATTTTGAGTCGTGAATTTTGAGTCAACAAGTGGCCACCGCTCATGACGCGTGAGAATCACGTGATCGCCAGTCTGCGTGGCATCGTGACTCACGTGACTGGCATGGCCATGCATGGCAGAGAGTCACGAGTGTGCGCGCGCGCGAGGTGATCGTGGATGGAATAAGGGCGTGCGCCTTGACTGGCAGCAGCAAGCAGCCAGGTAAGATGGGAACATGGACATCGCATCGCTTCGCATGGCATCGCTTCGGCTCGCTACTCACCTACCACTCACGGCGGCTGATCTCCACATCACATGGCATCACTTGCGATAGCGGTGCTCATCCTGTCTTCCAGAAACGCTCGCTGCCGTTCGCTGGTCACATCCTGACGCACGCACGCACTCGAACAACAACTTGCCGCCAAGCTTTTGCTGCAGCAGCCGGCGTCTTCTTCCAGACGCAATCCCCCGCACGCTGCCAACATCGAACGCGTCATCTCTTGAGAGACGAGACTGACCATTCACAGCGCTCAGCTTGAAGCTCTGTTTTTCCACGACGACGAAGCGGCACGTGGCTAGTCCATAAGAGGACGCTGATTGAGCGAATACACACACGCACACGCACACGCACACGCACACACCCGCTTAGGCGCTTGCAGGGACGTCGACAAAGGGTCAGGGGACGATCATGTCGGGCCTGGCAGATGCTGGCATGTCGGCCTCGCTGGCTGCCCCTGCGGCTTCCAGCTCAAGCTCTGGCTCGGGCACGGGCATGGGCATGGGTAGCAGCTCCGTCGCCTCTTCATCGTCGATCGCAAGTCAAGTAGGCACTGCCATGCCAGTCGACGACCATGACACCTCATCATCCTCTCCGCCAGATGCCTTGACCCTCCTGTCTCGCGCCCTCTCAGCATCGACACCTTCGGCCGAGGAATCATCGCTGGCGCAACTCTATCAACTCTTCGTCTCTTCTCCTGGCAATCTGCAACCTTTGTTTCCCAGTCTGATCAGCTTGCTCCCCAGAGCTGGTCCCGGTCTCACCCCTTGGATCCTCAGGGTTTGCAACTTGGCCTTTTGCAGACCTGGGCTAGGCATGGGCGCTAGATTGCAACGTGAGTGAAAGGTTTGCGTGCGGCATCCGGCGCGCGCACATTTTCTCATTGCCAAGCTGGACCTCCCCCCCTCCTACGCTCACACCCTTACGCCACGTCTCCCTGCAGTTGCTGCGCTCGTGCCTCCAGCTCTGCAACACTTCCTGCCACTTCCAGGCACCTCCTCCAACAGCTGGACTTCCTCCCACAAGTCCGCCCTCCAAGTCTTCTGTTCCGTCTACCCTCTGCTCTTTCGCCTCTCGGCCGAAAATCCTCACGCGGGTCACATTGCCAAAGCTTGGAGGGAGATTTGCGAATGCAAGGCCAGGGTGATGAACGTCTTGCAGAGCTCGTCTGTAGCGAATCAACAACCACAACAACAACAACAACAACAGGGACAGCAAGGACACGCGCAGAGTGGAAATGCGCCGGATGTGGGAGTGGGAACCAGGATTGCGGCGATCAAGGCGGCGCAGAGGATCGTGCTGGTGGCCACGCGAGCCCACACGAATGTTGGAGCATCGGGCAAGGTGAGTGTAGTGCGTGTGGCAGCGAGCTGGAGTGGTGGAGGCTACGCGTCTTGTAGCGGGGCAAGGGGCCCTCTCCGCGTGCTGGTCGCTCGCAATTGTTGCTGACCTCGCGTTACGTGCAGCAATACGGAAACGACGTCAATCTGAACCTCGTTCATGGCCAGCATCCGCACCTGGACACGCCAGCCCTGGAAGCGGAAGCTAACAGCTACCTCACAACGCTCATCACCATCATCTTTACCTCTTCGTGAGTCTCTGCGGGGTGCCGTGTGCAGTGCACAGCTCAAACCCTGAAGCCCGCACCTCGTCTCTCGGCTTTGCACCACAGATCCGAGCAGATAGTCAGCGCAGCGCTCAATACTCTGCCGCCACTAGCAAGGACCCGACCAGGCCTATGTCCAATCGTTTTGGAAGCGATCACCTCTTGGACACCTGCTGCCTTTCAGGCCAGCTCTCCCCGTAGCACACCCTCCTCGCGGACATCTCGAGCCTTTGCGGAGCTTCGTAATGTGGAGAAAACGCTGAGGTCGCTATTTCTGCATTTCTTGCACTCTGGATCGATTCAGGATGGCCTGTCGGCCCAAGGCCGCGAACATCAGTTGCAGAGCGCTCTGTCTGCGCAAAAGAGTCGGATGGAGCAAGCTACAAAGGAAGAGAATGCGAGGAGAGCGAATGCGTTGGCGTTGGAAAAAGCAGCTGCTGCAACAGCTGATGCTATGAGCGGAGCAAAGAGAAAAGGCAAAGCTGCAGAGGGCGCATACGATGGGAAAGTGGCGGTGGGAGGAAAGAGGAAAAGGGTGAGGTGGGATGATGAGCTGGATGAGGAAGAGGGTGATGGGAGTGGCGTCGCAGAGGTATCTGAAGGGGATATCGCATCTTCTTCCCAATCCACCTCCACATCCATCTCTGCCCCTCAGGATTCGACAGTGAACGACTCGGCGCAATCTGCACCCCCGCCGCAGCTGCAATTAAACCAGGCGCAGGTATCGGCACTATCTACGTACGTGCCCGCTGCTATATTTGCTCAGGCGGCGCAGGATCCCAACGGACAGAATACGCTGGCCATGTTTGATGTGTCGACTTTGGAGCTGGAATTGGTCAATCAGATTGTTTGCGCTACACTTGCGGGTGTGCAAGAGGAGATGCTCGTGCAAGCTGTCGATGTGAGTGCAATGGCAGAGATTGCTTGCTTGCGACTCTTGCCGCTCTTCCTAGGTCGCGTTGTGCGATGCTGACTGCCCCGCCCCGCGTCGTCACCGCACTGCCAATGCTCTCGCTGCAGAGAACGCGGGCAAATTTGCTGCGCATGCTGGACCCATCTCTCGCTCCTCCTGCGCCCGCGCCCGCGCCCCCAGTACCGGGACCGCCGCCCTTCGCACCGCACCCTTCGGGTGTGGCTCAACCGGTTCAATTGGCGCAAGTGGCCGCGTCGGTAGCGGCGATCCAGGCTACTTCGACGCCTCACGCGTCCAAAGACTCTGTAGCCGATGCTGCCGCGTTGGCCTCTTCCGCCGTCTCGCCGTACGCGCGCATCGGTAGCGATGGGCAAGCAGCGGATCAAGCGGACCAGCAGTTGGACGAAAGCGTCAACCCTTTGAAGATGGATGCGGACGATGATGAGATCAAGCTGGATAGTGATGCGCTAGCCCTACCAGCAGCAGCAGCAGAGCTTGTTCCTTCCTCCTCCTCCTCCTCCCAGACTGACGCGCAGCTCTTGCAAGCTGACGATTCGGAGTTGGCAGCGCTGGAAACGTTCGTCCTTCCCCCGCCCAAACGCTTGCGACCTGATCAGGCAAAGACCATCGTGCTGGACGCTGTGAGGGGTATCTGCGCAGCTGGAGCAATCCAAGAGTCCTGTGCCGCCTCTTTGCCAAAGAATAGCATCGAGGAGGTTGGCGCTAGCAAGGAACAGGATAGAACGTCCACACAGAACACGATGCACGAACAGCTCTGGGTGGCGCTCATCACGAGACTGGCGACGAGAGGCTTTGCGGATCCGGAGGCTGAGAGCCATGGCAATGGCCAACACTCGGATGATGCGCAATTGTCGGACGCGGCGTCTAGTCTCGATATTGCGAACCGGTCATCGCTTGCAGGGCATGCGGACCAGTTGCGGAGCATCATGCTGGAGTTTGTCAAGGAAGACTTTGACAGCAGGCTAGGCTTCGCGGCGCATTGGATGGCGGAAGAGTGGACGTCTGCGCGTGCGGCGGCCAAGAAGAGGTCGAGCGGGAGCCTGCCGGAAGGTCAAGCCGACGATTCGACGAGCGCTAGACGGCGATCAAAGGTCAAGGTGGAGGCGAGAGACATGGCGACGTACGACCAGTGGCTTTGTGCCATTGTGCAAGGCGTGATGCCTGCCATCGAGGCAAAGGACAAGACGCTCCATCGTTTCTTGAACGAGGTGCCTCACCTCTCGCTGTCCGTCTTGGGGCAACTCAAAACGCTCTGCACGGACGCTGATAAGGGCAGAAGAGCCGTGGGATTTACGATTCTGAGGGATGTGGCGATGAATAGACCACCGGCAAGAGCACAAGCGGCTCAGTACCTGCTCGAACTGACGAGGGATGCGGAGGGAGGCGTCAGAGGAGCTGCGATCGTCACTGTTCGGGGATGGGTTGGCAGCAAAGGCGCGCTGGAAGAGATTGCGCTGGACCACGCGAGAAGAGGTCTCGAGGCCGTGTGCGATGTGCCTCCTGCTTCCGCACTTGCCAGCGACAGCGACAAAGGCGCAGACGCAGACGCAGCGACCGATGCGGACCCTAGCATCAGCGGGCAGTCTTCCTTGGAATGGACGGACGCGGACGTGCTGAGGCACGTCGAGCTAGCCTTTGTTCTGTGTCTCAAGGTGCCGAACCTCTTGGACGAAATCTTTGCCATCTTTCCTCGCATGTCCAGCGCAGCTCAAAAGGGTGTTCAGCTGCACATTACCAACCTCGTCAAGTCTCTGGGCAGCGGTAATGCCAAGCTGATGGATAGGATACGCAACTTTCCGCAAGGAGCGCAGGACCTGGCGTTGGCTGCTATCGCTACGCTCATGGAAAAGGGCAGCAGACCGGCCAAATTGGTCGCGCTGGTCAAGAAGTTGGTAGAGGAGCGGGAAGATGTTAGTCCGAGGTTCCTCGTGCCCATCATGCCGGATCTGAGCAAGGTGAGTTGACATGCTGGCTTCAGCAGTCTGGTTCGCCGTCGCATTACTCAAAGGCCTACCTTTTGCCTCGCATCTTGTTTTTTTTTTTTGTTTTTTTTTTTGGCGCAGGACGAGATCAAAAAATTTTTGCCGCGCGTAGTGACGCTGCTGAACACGGGCCAGGCATCGGACCGAGCGCTGCTCAAATCCGTCTTTACATCCGTCGTCGTAGCTCCAGCAGCAGGCTTTGGCAGCGTATCTTCCAACCTGCCACGCGTCAAGGCCGGCTCCTTGCTGAATCCTGTAGAGTTGATGGGGTTGCTGTCCAGATCGGAACAGGAGATAGGCATCAAGGCCACGGTGGAGGCTGTTGGGATATGTTTTGGCCTCACCGACATCTTTACGGCCCAGGTGATTGGCGCTGTGCTCAATCAGATCGTCGACGAAGCTAATTTGCCCATCGTATTTATGAGGATCGTGAGTGCGCACCGCCGCGAATTCCCTCAACAGGGGTTGTACCCGCTTGCATAGAGCTGATGGAGTTCCCCCCCCCCCCCCCACCCCCCCCTCTCCCCCTCGGACAATAGGCAATCATGGCCGTATCGACGTACAAATCGCTATCTACATACGTCTCTTCCAACCTCCTCACCCGCCTGATCACCAAGAAGATTTGGACAAACGAACGTCTTTGGGAAGGTTTCATCATTTGCGCCAGGCAGACCGCACCCGCTTCTTTTGGAGCGCTGATCCAGCTGCCCAAGGAGCAGCTGCACGATGTGCTGGATAAGCAGTCGGTGCTCAGGGATGGACTGAGAGATTACCTCGAGAAAAAGGCGGGAGGAAATAGAGCGAGGTTGAATGGCTTTTTGGAGCTCATCAACGAGACTGGCGGTGGCGGTGGCGGTGGCGGTGCTGCTGCTGCTGCTGCTGCTGCTGCTGCTGCACATACGACTACGGCTGCGCCTCCTCGAGAAGAGGCGCGCGCGACTGCGGGTATGCCACTCGCGGACGTCGAGATGCATGATTCCGACACAGCTGCGAAAGCTCCGCAAGAAGGGCGGGAAGAAGGGCGAGAAGGAGTTTCAACAGCATCGGAACATGTTCTCGCTGCTGCTGATTCCTGAAAAGTTGCGCTGGTGCTGGCTGGCTGGCTGGCTAGATACGCCCTCCCACACTCTTCCTTGTAGCTTTAGCCCCCCCCAAACGGGACCGACCCCATCGATGGCGAGGGAAATGAATCACGGCAAGCTTGCGTTCGCGCAAACGCTTCTCAGCAGATGGGAACTTGTTTTGAACGGCGCGCGCGCGCGCGCAAGTGTGGATTTGGGTGGGCGATGTCGCGTCTGGATCGGTGCGAGGTGCTACGCTTCGCTGGACTTTTTTTTTTTTTTTCTCTCTTGGACGATGCGGGGGGGTGGGTCGGACGCTGCAGGAGGGAGTACGCGGCTCGAAGAGGAGGAGGAGGAAAGGGAGAGCGTTCGATCGTATTTTGGCAAATGTCGCAAATGTCGCAATGACGAGTGAAAATGAGTGTTTGGCGCGCGGTTGCGACTTGTTGCGAATGTAATTGTTGAGAAGCTTTTTGCGTGTTTTTTATTTTTTTTTTTTTGCTTTTTCTTTTTTCTTGGTTTTTGTGCCGCCGGAGATGGACCCTGCACCCTTGAGCACCTGCTTCTAGAGCGCCCGATGTTGATGAGTGTTTGTGAGGCCACACTAGCATGGGTCTGCCAGGCGATGCATGCTGATCATGCCGCCGCTCGCGAGTCGAGTGGGGGGCGGTCATGCGCTCGTTTGAGCGTCCTCGGAAGACACGAGTGTCTGGTTCGAGGAGGAGCCACTACCACTAGCTCCTCATCCAACCCCTTGTGCCTCTCACGCTTTCTGTGTACTGCGAAATTTGCAGACACGAGCGTCGCCGTATCAGCGCATCGTGCGTTGCCCTCCATCACTTTTTGACTTGGCCATCTCTTTGACCTTGACGTCGCGTTTGCCCTGCCACGTGAGCGCCTTCCATCGTCTCGCCTCGAGCCAACGCATCTGTACGCGACAGGTGGGGTAAGCCCCGTTGGCCGTGAAGGTTTGCGTATCTCCCGTGAGGTTTTGCGCCAGCAGGTGCGAAGCTGCATCTACCGCCGTCGTTGCGAGTCCTCGACTAGGTGGCAAGTGTGCCGAGTTTGTGAAGAATGAAGAGGCAGAAACCAGTCACTTGACGCCGATTCGTCTTGGGCCCCTTCATACTCTGACTGCTCTGGCATCTTTCAAATTATCGATGCGGCACATGACATTTTGTGAGGCATTCATCCACCTGCCAGGGTTGAAGGGGGTCCCCCTCCTACGCGCACGGGAACGGTACGCGTCTATGAACATCCGGCCGGGCCTCCCACAACACCTTGACGTACATTCGAGAGAGAGAGGGGGGCGCATCGTGACGCGCGCCAAAGTACAAGTCTTGAAGCAATCGTACGGACATTCAAGACCTTTTTGCTCTTTTCGATCGATGCCCTCGTCGCTTGATTATGCATGCAAGGAGCAAATGGATCATCCTCGGTCGATGCTCCGGACGTGCGCGCAGCACGTACCGCTGCAAGTGCGCAACGTGATGCGGCATCTCATCTCGTCCCGCACGCACCCGCTTCTCGACGGAAGCAAGTGAAGCAGCACAACAGGCACAACTCTTTTTGTATGCGCTTCGAGACCAGCGCAGTAGTAGTAGTAGTCAGTGCAGCCACATGTGCTTGCCTTCGTGACGATCTGGCTCGGCTTTTCGCCATCGATCGGTGCAGGGTTCTTCATGTAGTGCGCAGCAGCGGGGCGCGCGTCGACCGCAATCGCGAGATTTCATCGTTGCAACCCATGGGCAACAGACAGCGTACCCTTTATATTGGGGCAAATTCACGGCGCCATAGGCTCTCCTTTATATCTGGACAAAGCCACGAGGGCGTCCTCAGACCGACGCCCCAATAGCTCCAATGGTAGAGCGCGTCACTCGTAATTAGCGCATGCGATCGAGAGGTCACGTGATTAATGCGAAATAAACCATGATGAGGTTAGTCGTTCGAATCGGCTTTGGGGCAAAACATTTTGCTCGGCTCACAGTTGATTTCCGTTTGGCCACCCGGACGCATTGCCGCGCTGACTCTTGCCTCTGTCTGGCTCTTGTCAAGATTGGACCTTTCTTTGGTCCGATTTTGGGGACCAGTCAATCGGAGGACCGATCGATGATCAAATAGGATCGATACGCGGCTCTGGCATGAAAATGGGCTGCATTGATCTGGTGAGAGTCTTTTGCGCGTTCGGCGTATTCATCGACAACATCATCCGTTGAGTGGAAGATTTGCATGGCTGGGAGGCGTTGCTCTTTAAAGCCGATTCGTGGGAAGGAGGACAATTCTTTCGAGGTCGATGGCAGGTGCTCAGTATATTCGACAAGCGCACTAGTATCCTAGGGCAGGGTATGGGCGCGCTTTTCAAGAAGCTGTCGGATCTTCGTCGAAGGCCAAGTTGCGGCGGAACGCGGCTCGATGCTTGTCTCCGAACCCCGAGCTTGTCAGCATCGACACAATTTAACACAACTATCTTCCTGGCTACCGACCGAATCTCCTGAGCGACCAGTGAGGGGTGGAAGAGATCAAAGAGTTGAAGATCAGTGGCGTCGCCGCGCCGACCTCTACAGAAGGTTCTCAGGGGACAGTCAAGATGTTGGAGTGAAGAAAGCACAAGGTTCGCGCGAGGTGCAGCACTCGTTTGATAGTGTCTATTTCGGCTCGCCGCAACGGAACAAAGCAAGGCAAAGGCGATAGGGATGTTACAAAGACGCAAAGAAAGCGTCCAATTTCGAAGCCAAATCGGCCGCTACTCGCGAATGTTTGAGTGTATTCGGGGAGCCAAATTGAGCGTAGTGTGAGCCTCCTTGCGTCACGACTTGAGCGCTCGGAATTACTGCTCGTAGTCCGAGATCATCCTCGCGCCACTCATACTTGCCGCTGGTCGCGTCTCCCGCGCGCGAAGTCGCAGTCGTGCAGATGCCCGCCGCCTGCTTGACCAAAAGGATTGGCAGATACCCGCCGTCGGGCGCCGCAAAAACCGAGCGCACATTCTGGACGAAGCGGTCCGTGTCAAATCGATTCGAGTCCGATGGAAGTGCTCCCATCTTTTGCATGGCAATCGTGCTCTGGCGAGAGTGTCGGCGGAATGTTTCCACAAATTTGGGCACCCAATTTGCGATTTCTCCAGTCGACACGACGGGCTTCTGTTGTCCAGAGCTGGCTTCTTTGGCCCAGAACAGGTCCAGCTGGGCGGCGATGGCTGCATCGAAAATAGGCTCCCGGTCTGCAATTGCAGCGCGCATGGTCCGACGAAGAATGTCGTCCAATGGATTTGCATCGCCGCCAAGAATCGTGGCGAGATTGTCCGCCCACGAAGATAAAAACATCGAGGGAGAATGATCCAGGAAAACGAGTCCCAGAACGCCATCCTCAACGGGCGTCATCTTCATGCTCTGCACAATCTTCAGACTGGTGATGACTCCGCCAGAGAATGCACCTAGTCGGAGTCTCCCTTGTGGCTGTACTTTGCGAATTTCTCTCAAGTATACCTCCGCCACCTCGTCCAAGTCGTCTAATCGCGCTGACTCGGTAGTCTCCCGAACACCGTAGACAGGGCAAGGCAGTAAAGCCGCAACATTTGCAAAGTAGGCAATGCTACCTCCCGCGCCATGTATCAGGAACAGCGGATCACCGTTCGTCACGTCATTAAGATGCACGACGCATGTGTCAGCGGCGGAGTCCAAGCTAGCTGAGCCTTTTGCGGTCCCGTTCGAAGCGGAATTGCCATTGGGCTGCGCGACTTCCGACGAGGCTTGAATGTCTCGCAACGTAGTTGCTCCTAACAGCTGCATTTGCGTAAAGCTCAGACCAAATTGGCGCTTGAGCAGGCCAGATAGCTTGACCGCTGTGAGCGAGTCTAGACCGAGAGAGCTCAAGGGTGCTCTTTCGTCCAGCGAGTCAGACTGAGCACCAAGAGCTTCTTCCACCAAGCCTTTAGGGCTTTTGATCACCTTTGCTGAATCAGCGGCCTGACTTGCGCGTGTATCGTGCATCAAATGCCGCCAGCATGACGCTTGAAGAGGCGAAAGCAATTGCAGCGATTGGATGTCAACATCCGGAACGTAGTAGCCATTGATGACCACGCCGTCCTCGATGAGATGCAGAGCATCTTCGAAAATCCAAAAGAGCTGCTCAAAGGTGATGCCCAAAGTTTGCCCGAGCGAGATGAGCGATGCGTGAGCTCGCCCTTGTGTTCCCGACAAGGTGCGAATGTACGAGCCTCCATCGAGAAGTGGCGGAAGAGCCACTGCAAGAGTCTTTTGGCTGATCGCGGCAATCGCTTCGAGGCCGCTTCCAGCAGCTGCATAGCTGCTCTGGCCCGAGTTACCGACCAAAGAAGCAAGCGATGAAGTTGCGATCACAAAGTCAAGATCGGACGTGGCATGTCCAGCGGTTGAAAGCATGTTGGTCAAAGCAACACCCTTGGCGCCGTAGGATGCTTCGAAGCGGGCTTGTGTTTGTGCCGAAAAAGGCGCGTCGCGAATATCGGCAGCAACGAGGAAGATGCCACCAATTTGGATATTCAGCTGTTGCCAGAATGCGTTGACGGACGTCGTGCTTGATGCGTCAAGCGTCTCGATACGAAGATCGAAACCTGCGGCCGTTTGCAGGTACCGAAGAAGCTCGTGCGTGTCAACAGACATGGCCGATGCTGCCAGTGCAAATGTACCGAGGTCAGCGATCGGCATGATGTGATCATTGCGCGTTCGAAAATGTCACACTCACCTTTCTTCGCAAATGCATTGCGGCCGGATCGCGACGCAAGAATGACCGTACGAGCACCTCTTTGCCTCATCCAAGCAGCCATCCTCAGACCGAGGTCGTTGCAGCCTCCGACACAGAGGTACGCTTTGCGAGGATTGAACAAAAGGGTCTGTCGTCCGAGTCCCTTCTTCACGAGTGGAGCGGAGTCCGCCAAGGGAAGCAGCTTTTCGACTTGTGTCTGGCTGATCGAGATTGAGCTGTGGCGGCGAAAGATGTGCCGCAAATGGTCTTCAAGAACAATCCTGTGGCCTTTCGGCGACAGCGTGCGCCAAAGTTCTTGCACGTCTTTGCTGTCGTTGGTGACCAGCAACAGCTCCGAGCGACAAGACCGGAGCTCCCACGACCAGTCCTCTCCGAAGTCCGAGAGCTGCTTGACGTTCATGCCCATCGTCTTCAGCGCTCGAGACAACGCTTGATCAAGTGAGGCGCTTCCGCTGCTGATTAGGGCCAATCCAGCCTCGCTACGAGTGCAGCCGTCGCTGACAACAGCATCCAGCAAAGCAGGTAGGATGGCCGCAAGCGATGGGCGTGATGCGCCGCAAACTTCGATGGTCTCCACCTCTGACGCCACCACAAAGCTCGCTACCGGAGCGCTCGTCAGAATGACGAACGCAGCAGATGGAGAGTCTTCTGCTGCCGGGCTCACACGTCGACAGCATGCAAGAGCAGCATTCGCGCTGATGTCAAGCCTCTCGTCCACGTGATAAGCTTGCTCTCCTTCGTCTACGAAGGGAGGGTAGGTCACTTGACGTTGACCTTCCGCATTGCGGACCCAGAAAGGTTCTGCCGCAGAGCTTGCAAATATCTCGGGGTCGGCAAGACGTATCAAGCGTGGCACAAACACGCTAGAAGAGCGATCGATCCAAAATTCGAGGTCGTCTCCCTCGACCAAATCGTCGAAGCCGCAGCCGAGTCTGGACTGAAGCAGCTCAAGTCGATCCTTTGAAGCTTTTGCTTGGACCGAAAAGGATGCATCCAGCACGAGGATGATGTCAGTCGCGCTGACCTCGTTTCGAATTGTTCTTGATAGACCAATGATCACTTGAGAGGAGGGGTTGTCCGAAGCGTGAATCAGGGCCAGGGTACGTGCTTCCCTACGATCGAGGGCATCAATGAGCTGCACCAGCTCCTCTTCGCTCCCAGCATGAAAGGGGATGTACTCGATCACGCGTCGAGGGACATCAATCGGCGTAGACGCTCCTGGGCAAAGTTGCGCTGTCAGACAAAAGTGGCTGATGGTCTTGCAAGCAGGAGCGAGAGAGTGCAAGACGTCTAACTTGAAGGCGGCTAGCAGCTTCGTCCACTCCGCAGGGCTCATGGTAATGTGGCGTCTGTCGTCCGTATATCCATGCCACTCTTGAAAAGTGCCCATGACGTAGTCCATCCACAGACTTCCATGCCGGTCCTGCCATTCGAGACCGTTGAGGTCTATCAGGACAAAGAAGCCGCAAGGTGCCAGCAAGCGAGCGACGGACTCGACGGCGGCAGCAGCTTTTGGAAGAACATGCAGCACATCGACTAGTCGTGATCATGAAGCAGCACACGCAGAGCGAGTATCAGCAAGAGGGGGGATTGCAGCGTCGCGAAAGTATGTCAAACTCACAGCAAGTTACGACGTCAAAGACGCCTCCCACGTCTTGTTCCTGTCGCCTCTTGTTCAGGTCAAGTTTTTTGGCAACCGACTTGTGCGGAGCCCTGACAAGCGCCGCGGCTTGCTGTGCAAGAGCGGCCGACGCGTCTGTTACGACAAACTCGACGGTAAGGTCTTTGGCAGACTGGCACACTTGCTCGATGGCGTCCATGCACATATTTGTCCAGAGTCCAGTCCCGGCGCCGACTTCGAGAACTCGAACGACCTTCTTGCCAGATGTGTAACAAGACTCGAGCGCATCTGCGAATGCTTGCGCTGCCTGGGAGAACACTGGATCTAAGCTGACCCACTGTCTGTAGAATTCTGTCATCAAGTCGTCAGAAAAGAGGGCAGCAATCGAGGCCTATGCGAGGCTGCATTGTCAGTCTGCGACGAAGATGGAGTCCGAGACGATACACACTCACTTGACCATCCACAGCGACCCTGGGCAGAATCTTGGCAATTCGAAGCGGAGCTTCGAACAATGCGGTGGCCGTATCTGCAAGCGCAACTGAGAAGTTGGTGCAGTCACACCGAGAGGAGAGTACTTGCGCTCTTGCCCAAGTGGAGTACCGAAATCGATCTAGCGGCAAGTCTGGGCGAGAGGCGAAAGCGTCCGGAGCTCGCTTCAAAAGGCGATGGCAGTGCGCGTCAAGTGCTTCGAAAATGTCTTCCCTGAAAGTCCAAGATTGGTCGTTGGGCAGCCGGAACGACGACTTGCTTGCAGGCTGGTTGGCCACAGGTTGCCATAGTATCGTGTGTCTGTTGCTAGGAGGTCCAGCAGCAGTAGATTGGTGTCGTTGCATCTTGACGCCTTGCAGAGAAGCAACGCATCGCTGACTAGCCGAATCGCACAGCTGCACGTCGAACATGCAAGCTTCTGGGGTCCAACTCACTCTTCGACAGACGCCTACATAGTCAGCATTGGGCGAGGCGTCCTCGAAGAGGATACTGCGCTCGATTCCGGCTGGCAAGAAGAAATTTCCGTGCAGCGCAGAGCCGCATCCGCGCAGTGCTAGGCAGCCTGTAGCCTGCAGGGCAGCATCTAAGAGCGCCGGATGCAGCAAATAGTCCTTGGGTCTGAACGAAGCGAGGGACAAGATCAACTCGTGTGGCACGCTGTATTCGCGAATCGAGAGTGCGACGCACCTTTGCAGCTTGGCTTTATCCTCAGTCTCGAGGCCCCGGACACTGACCACCGCTACGTCCACCCCAAACTCGATGGTAGTCATGCGCCGAAAAACGGATTCAAAGTCGTCCAGGTTATAAAGCTTGAGTGCTTCTTCTCCGTCCAACACTTGAGAGCACATTTTTCGAGCTGAGCTCACATCGATCCTCGGTTGCCTCGCCTTGGAAGAACGTATCAATTGAGCGGTAGCATGATCTCTCTGTGATGCAGGAGGCGAGGGACACTAAGTAGAATGCGGTGTGTTCACCGCAGAAGCGGGTGATACGTACCGTCCTCGTTCCAGCATGGTCAACGACGGAGAAGGACCAGCTCGCACCGGCTGTGGCAGCAGAACGTATTTTCCAAGGCAGGCCCTCAGTCTTGAGAGGCAGGGCCAAGGGAAAGACGAGGTCGCGCACTTCCAAGGGGAAGCCGCCTGTCTCAAACCGCTCTACAGCTTCCCACGCCGCCTCGAGAAAACCTGAGGGCAACAGTAAAACGGAGCAGGTGATTAGCGATGCGTCAAAAGTCGCTGGATTTTTCGCTTTCGCTGCTCACCTGTGGCAGGTAAAATAGGGCTGCCTCGAATGACGTGATCGGCCAAGTCTGGGTGCGTGTCCGCGCTGAGCAAAAGGTTCCCGCCAGGTTGGGCGTGCAATGGGCGACTCGCAGATCGATGAGCGTCGCGTGTGGCGGTGTGATCGAGCAGCAGAGGACGCTCTTCCCGCACAAGGGGATGACGCGGATGTTTGACGAGATCTGTGGCTTGACCTCCAAATATCTGCCCAAGGTCGAGGTCGTGGCCGTCGACCAGGAGCTGCCCAGTGGTGCGATACAGCGCTTGTAGCTCCTCGACAAAGACCGCCTCGGAATCTGTGTGAGCCTTGGCTCGATGCAGCGGACACAGCGCGGCAGGATGGTCCAAAACGCACGCGCCTATGTAGGCGGAGAGTACAGGATGCGGCGCCATCTCGAGGATTCTCGGGGCTTTCGGAGACTCTGGGCCATGCTCCCGCCGCCAAGAAGCCAGAGCTGGCCAAAATTGGACCGCATGACGTGCATTACGCCAAACGTGGGCAGGCGTAAAAGGCCCGCAGTCAAATTGGCCGCTCACTGTGCTCACAAACGGAATTCGAGGTGCGAATGCTGCGGCAGCCTTGCCATGCTGTGCGTGGCGATCAAAAATCGCGGTCACCTCTCGGAGGTATTCGGACTTGCAAGCCTCCATGAGGGAAGAATGAACGGGAACTTCGGTGGGCAGTACCCTTGCAAAGAAGCCTCTGCCTTTTGCGTCCGAGCAGAGTTCTTCGAGAGCTGCTCGATGCCCGGATACCAAAAGAGCCTCCGGGCTGTTGAAGGCCGCAAGATCGATTGTGAAATGCGCAGAGCCCTTCGAAGCACGCCATTGCGCTAGTAAGCGCTGACCTGTAGGAGCCGAGCAGTGGACCACCGCCATTCCATGTTCGCGCGACTGCACAGAGCTCATAGCCGTGGACCTTGCAATGGCAAGCTCCATGGCCATTGTGCGAGAGATTGCTCCGCAGGCATACATGGCAGCTGTTTCTCCAGCCGAGTGACCCATCACTGCGCTTGCCTTTGCGCCAGAAGTGTGCCGACGTGAGTCTGGTTGCACGAGAGAGGCAGTATTCTCATCCCTGCGTCTACTCACTCGAAGGTTCCAGCTACTGAACAAATCAAAGAGCGCCATTTGAAGCGCGGCTAGAGCTGGTAACATGATCTGCACTGGCCACACACCGCCTTCCGTGAGGGCAACGGTAGCCTTTGAATCGCCAAAAAGACCGTAATCATGAATCAGGCTTCGTTTCGTCTTGTCCTTGTAAATCTCGTCGAGCTCATCGATGGACCTTTTGAAGACCGAGTAAGTGGAGTACAATGATTTACCCATGTGCTGATGTTGCGGACCTTGGCCTGCAAACACGAGCAGCGGCCCTTCTACAGATTCATGAGAAACCATCGAGCTCGTCAGCGATTTGGGACTGTTGCTGATCACATTTGACACGTAGTAGCACCTCCATGGCATCTGTCTAGCTCTGCGAGCGACACTGAGAGCCAGCTGCGTCTGCGAGACGTCTGGCTGCTGCACATTGGAGTACTCTTGCACCAACTGCGCAGAGAAGTATGACATGGTGTGAGCCGAGTCTCTGCTCCCGCGGGTGCACCAGGCTCCTCACCTTTTGCAAGGCTTGTCCAGTCATTGCGCCCACAAACCACAGCTGAGGAGTCGAGGACTTGACTTGATCGCGGGCACTACTCGCGCTATCACGATGCTGCAGAGCATCGTTGCGATACTCTTGGAGCACCACGTGCCCATTTGCGCCCCCAAATCCCGAACTCGTCAGCGCGGCCACTCCGAGGTGCTTGTCTGCTCGTGTAAGTCCTGCAGCAGATGAGGGTACATGTGCATTGAAAGCTGACCAGCTGAAAGGCGTGCGCATCAACGGTCAGTTCAGCACGGTCTCACAAGCGGGAGGCCCACTCACTTGATTCGCGAGGATGGAGTTTTGAAGTTGATTTGAGGCGGAACTACTCCTTGACGCAGGATCATGACGCATTTCATGAGCGAGACGAGTGAAGCAGCGTATTCTGTATGCCCAAAGTTTGGCTTCAGAGAGCCAATCGTCAGAGGTCGCGATGCGCGGCCATTGCAGAAATAGGGGCCAGCGGCATTGAGCTCGATCGAATCCCCAACGCGAGTGCCGGTCGCGTGCAGCTCCAAATAGTCGACGACAGACGGGCTCAAGCCGGCCTGCCGCCACGCAGCCTCGATGCACTCCAGTTGCGAAGGGCCAGATGGGCTGGCGAGCGAGAGAGCAGAGCGACCGTTCGAGTTTATGCTCGTGCCGAGAATGGTGGCGTAGACAAAGTCGCCGTCTGCCACAGCTGTGCTGAGCGGCTTGATGACCACTGCGGCTAGACCTTCACCACGAACGTAGCCGTCGGCCTCCTGGCTGAAGCTGCTGCACTTGCCCGTCGGGCTGAGCACGCCGAGCTGACTGAAGCCGATCATGTCCTCGATGCGCAGCATCAGATTTGCGCTAGCAACCAAGGCTGCGCTACATTCCTTGTTGCGCAGAGAATTGATGGCGAGATGCAGCGCTGTGAGGCTGGCAGAGCAGGCAGTGTCTGTATTGCAGCTTGGGCCTCGAAGGTCGAACGCGTGGCTGATGCGATTGGCGAGCATACACGCGGTGCGCCCTGTCTGATAGTACTCGTCTGCCTGGTAAGCTTCATCTTGCAGCAACGGCTCTGGCGTCGGCGAGCCGCCGATAAACACGCCGACAGGAGCGCCGCGCGTCTTGATGCCGCTGTCTTGCAAAGCTTCCAGTGCGATCTCGAGGGAGAGCAGAGTGGCCAGGTTGACGCGGCGCCCTTCTCGTTTGGTCATTCCAAAAGAGCTCCAGTCCACCATGTGCTTGTCTCGCAGAGTGGCCGCTTGTGGTGTGCAGATGGTACCTGGGCCGCGGCCCACCCAGCTGAGACGGGGAGGGGGGCAAAAGTAGTGAGAGAGGAGGCCTAGACGGAAGCTCAAGAGACGTGCAACATCGCTCCACTCGCCCGACTCACGCTTCAGCATGGAAGGAGCTAGGATCGATGTGCCGAACAGCAGACTTGCCATCAAGAAGAAGCTGCCAGAAGCCAGCTTTGTCCAAATCAGCGTCTGCTTCGCTTGGCGCGGCTAGCCTGCAAGCCATGCCAACGACGGCCATCATCGGCTCAGACTCGGACTGCATGTCTCCATCCTGCTGGCTGAGGGAAGGCATCGGTGCTGACGAGTCATGAAAGAGGGGCTGAAACAGATCTTGGGCCAAAGGAGCGCCACCGGAGGCCTTGGGGTTCGCGAGAATGCGGCCGGCCTTTGAGCTGCTTGCTATTTGAGGTCATTTGCGAGCTTTTTACGCAGCTCTGATCGTGGTTTGTAGCTCCGCACTCGCCCCTCTCGAACTGCAATCAAAAGAGTCAGAGTCGCAGTCGCAGTCGCAGTCGCAGTCGCGATCTTGACATTCGCCGAATCGCGCAAGGCGCCGACACCGACTGATCTAGCCGACGTGGTGTAGTCCACATTCACAGTCAAGAGTTGCAGTCACGAGTCACGAGTTGAGTCACACTCGATCGAGACGCAAGATTGCACGTGCGAGCATTGTGATTTGCGGAACATGCGGAGATCACAAACTTGTTGAAAGGTGTGGGTGCGTGACCCTCATCGCTCATCCTTTCATGCCCCCCCCCCCCCCCCCTCTGTGCTTCCTCACCGCTTCCGAGGAGGCCATGCATGCAGGGCCGCTGCTCCAGACCGTCTGCATCTTCGTCGTCGAATGGCATGGCCCGAGCGCTGGATGATAGGACACGAGGATCGTGAATGTCGAAGAGGATCACGAACCACGAATGATGCGGAGAGGTGTTTCACACCCGTGACTCACTGATCGTGAATTGTGTGCGGCAGGCGAGTCGCGAGTCACTTGATTGGCAGCAGGAGTGTGCACTTTATCGACGCGGAAGTCCGATCAGCTAAAGCTTGCTGCTGCTCGCGCGTTGGCGCTTCTCGCTTAGCTTAGCGCAGTTTGAATGTTGCAGTCATGCAGCATGCACGAGTCGAGATAGTCGCGTCGCGAGTGTATCCGCGTCTTCAAGCACCTCGACAGTTCATCAAAAGCGTGAATCGGCGGTGCGCCTGAATGCGCTAGATCGCTCGGCGTCTCCGCAGAGACATGCTGTGTGCTCACCTTGCATGCATGCATGAAACATGGATGAAAAGACGACAGCAAGAAGACAGCATCCGATTTTGTTCCAGATGATGTGATTGTCAGTCAAAGAGTGTGATGTCAGTGTCTAGTTTCGCGTGCAATGAACAGCGGATCGGATCGTGAATGCAATCAGACTTGTGCACTCGTGCACTCATCAGATTCAGAATGTTTGATTCTTGATTTCCTCCCGCGAAACCCGATCGTGATTGACGCTGCGCGCGGTAAAATCATTTGCTGCTCTTCTCGGTGACCCATCGAGGGGCTCGCCTTGCTTACAGAGCTCAGCAGCCGAGGAGAAGGACGACTGCAACGCTGAGCTAGCTAGCTGCACACCCTTGATCGATTGAGCCTTTCCAGTCTCGAACGAAGGAATAGACGCGCGCTTCCAGTCTTGAGTCCTGCTGCATCATGCACGATTCACACGATTGGCGCTCGCGTATTTCGTAACTCCATAAGGACTCCGAAGGCAGCTTTCATGCGTCTGCTGCGAGTCTAGTGCGTGCGTGAGGAGGGCGCATTAGACTTGATGCATGCAGAGGTCAACTTTGAATGTTTCAATTAACGTGCCTGCAGCATTCGAGACTTGGCGACTGCCGAGTTTGCATCCAGCAGCGCCCGCCATTCGTGATTCCATTGGGGCCTGCGCGCGTGGCCGCTTGCATGGTCAGCACCCATGCAAGCGCTGCTGTGTGCTGCTTCACACGTCGGGGGTGTCGGCGCTCCGACAATGACCGCGCGCCAGGCCTTTGCTGTCAAAACTCCGCTCCTCTTGTTTGATGCAGGATGGCGTTGCATGGCGGGCGAGGTGTGCTCGAGTGTTGCTGCAGTTTGAGCTCTGTTGGTCAGCCCGCTTCCGCAAGCAGCGCTCCGACTTTGAGCGTCGCCCCAAGCGGGTCGACGACTCGAATGAACGCATATCAAGTCTGAGTTGCATTGTGATTGTGATTATCCTCTCCATTGTTATCATTCTGGCACTTCCGCAGCCTCGCTGCCAGCCCAGAAGGCACGGTGGCCGACGGCGCGCTGCGCTAAAGTCGGCACTTTTGGCCCGAAGACTTGTGGGCGCAGGTTTCGCTCGCGCACAGCGTTTGGCGCACGCGTGAATGTGAATGATTGATTCCACAAACGTCGACAGAAACGGAATGTGAACGCCTTGAGAACTGACCCTTTAGCTCCTGACGGTTGTCAACGCACATCGCAAAAACTCGATTGCCATCCGCGCACCGCATCGCATCGCAGCAGCTTGATACCTTCCACTTGTGCAGGGCATCCATCGTCTGATCATCCATCCACTCTCTTTCTCGTAATAACCAGCGCGAGCACCATACATACACCTCTGCCTCATTCCTTCGTACCCTAGCCTTCGCGTGCTACAGCAGCCATGAACGCCTCCCCGACCGATCTCGATGCGCAAAAGCTGCAGTACAAGATTGCAGTGTATAGTCAACTATGCTTCTTCTTCTACGGCATGGTACTGTGGGACGTGGTCAGCTGCTTGCCTCGCGAAACGAAGCACATTTTTTGGCCCGAGCTCCGGACCGCTTTTCAGCGACGTCAGAGGCTATCCTTGGCAACTTCGCTGTGGGTATGGGGATTTTCCGCTGGAAAGAAACGGTATTCGCGCCGCTTACGTTCGCATTGTTTTTTTTTTTTTTCATGGCCGCCTCGCAGTCTGCTAGCGAGCCGAATCGTTGCGCCAATCCTGGTAGCCATCTCGCTGGACTTTTTGGGGCAACCGATTAGCTGTTCGCGTTCGTACTATGCCTTCTGCGTAGGACTTGCGATCCAAACAGGCATTTGCGCCTCCATCTTTGCAGTGAGTTGACCTCAGCCGTGAGGCGTGATCGCGAGGCCAGGCTGATGAGGATGACTGCATGGTGAATCAGCTACGCACTAGCGCCCTTCGCGGAGCCGGAAGACTGTTGACCGCCTTCTTATGGCTCAACGTTGCCGGCATCACCGGCTTCTGGGTGGCGTGGGCAGCCACATGGCGCGTCAGCCAGTGAGTACGCTGCTCACTCCATGCGCCTTGCAGGCCAAATTTGACGAGCGCTGCCATGCTGGGGGGACAGGCTGCCAATCACGGACGCCAATCGCTACTCTCCCATTTGCTACGATGTCCGAGGACCTCATGGCTGGACAAAAGCGATGTTTATCTGGAGTCTTTCCTTTGATGTCATTGTCTTCCTCTTGACGATCGACAAGGCTTTCGGCGGAGCCTACAAATCGGCAAAGTCGGGCGGCAGATGGATGCTCTCCTTTCGGCAGATGTCCGAAGTGACGCGACAATTCTACACCGACGCGCTCTGGTACTTTTTCATCACAGTCACCGTCGAGATCGTTCTGCTCGTCTGGTATATCACGCACCTCAACGACAACATCGTTGCCGGCCTCGTCATGGTTCAACTCTGGCTGACGTCCGTCATTGGCCCGAGGGTCATCTCGAATCTCAAGTTGGTGGACAAGATCCAGGGATCTTCGCATAATGCCGGACCAGGACACGCACTTCCGATGAGCTCTTATCCAGGCTCAAACGCCGCTCCGATCAAGACCACTACCAACTCTACCGCGCCGGACTCGCAGCCGCGGTTTGTCGGTGTCCATTCCATTGGCACGCCTCAAGTCACTGGAAAGGGAGGCGACACTGCCGGCTCCAGTTACTCCTTCGATGCTAGCCCTGTGGACGCAAAGCAGTGGTCACGTCAAAATCAAAACGGCAGCCCCAACCACCAGCCCAGCTCGGTCTCGCCGCCGCGCGAATCAAGTTTCCGTGAGGTGGCCATGCCGCCCATTGCGCACGCCCATGGCTGGTCCCGTCAGCGATCCGACGATATTAGCTACACGGTCGAGACGATCTACAAGGTTTCGTGATTCATAGCTTTAGCTCCTCGCCTCTACCCCGTCTGCAGCTTGCAATTCCTTCGATTTGATCCATGTCGCGCTTAATACTTGCACATCACTCTCACTCTTTCACAAGGAATAGCACGACTTTTGGCACATGGCCAGATTTCTGTGTGTTCGTGCAACTCCCTTTTCATCGCGCCATCTGAATGCTGTCATCTCTACCCGCTTCCATGCGAAAGCTGAGCCCGCTTGAAGTACAACGTGCACGGCGGGCCGCCAGTGGGCACGAGCCGCATGAAGTCGCCAGCAATGCAGCAAGGCGTGGCTTGCGAAGTTTCAAAGGTCGCTCGGCGGCTCACCAGACGCCCGTGCCATGCAGGTTGCGTGCTTTGAGTGATGTGATGATGGATCGTGACCTCTCTGATCGCCGTGGCCAAGCTGCTCGAGCCCATGTCGATGCTGTATCTGGCAGTGTACGCCAACGAAGACCGCGCGACGTCGGCCCAGGCTTCGGTGTGCGTATCATGCAAAAAGCTGGCGGGAGGGTACGGCGTCTTTTCTGAAGCATCCTCGAGATGTCTTCTGCCACCCTCTGGCCCTTCGAGCATGATGGCTGACATTTGTCGAGCACCCGAATGGTAGATGAGGTTTCCAGAGCCGTAGAAGTCGTTCAGACCACCTGGCACGTGCATGTTCGGATCGTCGAAGCGAGCCCATTGCAGGTCCCAGCAACCGTCGAGGTGCCGCTCGAGGGAGGCTACGTCGGAAAACGTGACCGCTTGGGGCCGATCCTTTGTGGCGGCAGCCATTGTCAGAGGGCTTCTTTGACTGTGAGACCCAAAGGCGGCTGGACTTGGCCGGCAGAAGAGGAGTCGGGAGTGGAGAGATTCTGCAACCACGACGCAGTCGAGCGGACAGATCGCGTGGCGGACTCGTGACTGTGGTCTGAAGGAAGCGAAGCGCGGTTCATCAATCACAATGGCTGATGTCGGCGCAGAGCGTAGCTCGCAAAAAGAGCGACTTTGCGCCTGCTTTGCAATCGCAATCACGAATACGTGCACGTTGTTGGCCGCGGGATGCGCCTCATCCGACCAATGCGATCTCCGCGCTTCTCTCCAAAAGGCAACGCAGCTGCCGCGCCAAGTCAGCGCTGCTGAACTTTGAGGCGCGTTGCGTTGCGTTGCAGTCGTGGGCGCATGAGGGCTGTGAATGTCTTGGGTTCAGTAGTAGTCCTGAGTACCAAACAGCAGCTAGCAGGCCATATCTCTGGTCCTCGCACCATTCACGATTGCTTTCATGCAATTCACGGTTTGTACACGCGGTATGCGCATGTCTGCAAGCGATTCCATGCTGCACTCACGACTCACTTTGATACTCGACGGATGAGCGACCTGACCGCGACGAGGGCGGAGAGCGATGGTGCGACTCGTCGTCTCACAGCCCACGCGCAGCCGAGCGAGCAGTCAAGAGTCGCGATGCTGCAGAACTCTCTTGCACCGCTAGCGCCCTTCAACCGCACGATGCATGGCGTGCCTGCTGCATGCATGCATGCCTGTCTCATTTGGTCCGCGTCTGCATGATAGCGCGCCGCCGAACGAACGTGCAGAAGGTTGCTGCATGGTGATGCAGCATACCGCGGGGGGTCTCAGCCGGCTTATCCTAGCGCGCGCGAATCACGAATGAGGCGGGCGTGCGACCTGAGTTCACGATTCCACGATTCAGATTGCATTGCACTCATTGAACACGAGTGAGTGAGTCAGAGTGGCATATATGCACAACGTTGTGGACAAGATTCGTGATTCACATGTGCGCTTCGGTTCACGAGCGTGCTGGGATATATGCGACTCACTTCGCGTGCGATTGTCTTAAACTTTGCTCTTGCTCTCACACTCTTGACTCTGACTTCATCCGCCCACTCGATCGATACTTTTGCACAAGACGTCCACCTGATTCCAAAGGGGAGAAGCCAATCACCCGCGCGTTCGCAGCCCCGATCTTGAAAGTGAGGTGAATGTGAATGTGCATGAAGCTATCTCGGTCAAATGGTCGTCGATGGGTCATCAATGGTCAATCTTGGCGTTCGCTGTAGCGAGGTGTCCCGTGGGCCACTCAGACTCTGCAGCCGCGGTTCATGTCAGCTCATGCATGCATGCATGCATGCATGCATGCTCCTGCATGCACCTTGTGTTGAGATACAAGCGGCGCGGCGCTATACTCGTGACTACTTACGGTCGCCCGTGCAGTGCAGTGCAGCGCACGCGCACAAGAGTTGTTGTGAGGTTAGGGTGGCATGGCATACGTGCACAGCCTTGCAGCCGAGCTCTCAAGCAGCTCACGTATATTCGTGATTCTTGCATCTCGATCGTATGGAATCTCGATTGTAATCGACGTGCAGGCCTCCCTGACGCCTACGCCTTGCTCTTCTTCTTCATCTCCTCATCCAGCATAGCACAGCACAGCGACCCGCTTTCAAAATTCGCAACATGTCCTCTCCTTCGAGCAACATCAAAGTGGCTTGCGTCGGCGCTGGCTATGCCGGTCTTGCGCTTGCGAGGTCTATCCTGGACAGCGCGCCTGGGGCCCAGCTGACCATCTACGAGGCGGACGAAGGTGTGGGAGGCGTTTGGCGCAAAGTGAGCGATCGAGAGAGAGAGCGAGCGCATAGGAGATCGTCTGCTAGCCTGCCCGCCCGTCCGCCTGTCTGCCTCTGACCGCGTGCGTGCTTTGCCCGCGTGTAGACCTCTTATCCAGGCGCAGGCAGCGACTTTCCCTCTCATTGTGAGCGCACCTGTGGGGCGCGGGCAGACATTGGCCAGCTGACTCTGTGCTGTGCTGTACCCTCACCATCGCAGTGTACGCTTTGCCATGGGCTCTCAATCCCGACTGGGCTCGCTTCTACAGCACTCGTCCAGAGATTCTGGCTTACCTCGAGCGCGTGGCAGAACAAAGCGGCTTCTTGCCTTATATCCAATTCAAGCACAGGGTCCAGAGTGCGGTCTGGCAAGAGCAAGAGGGGCTTTGGGACATTTCTGGTACAAGAGCGTCTGCTCAGGGCGAGGAAGCGTGGCACGCAAAGGCTCACGTGTGCGTTCGCATCCTGCAAGGGACGGGATTTGGAGCTGATCATGCGCGCTGACTTGAACACCCTCCGCAGACTTGTGAACGCTGGAGGCATACTTTCCAAATCAAATGGTGCGCGCACAGACATTTGCATTGCAAGTATAAGCGATGGCTCACGTGGACCCTTCGCGCCGACCTCTGCAGTCCCATCTCTGCCTGGCGCTGAAAGCTTCAAAGGGCAAATCGTGCACACTTCTCAATGGAATGACGATATTTTGGTGGCCAACAAACGCGTTGCGGTGATAGGGTGCGCACAAATATTCAAGCTGCCATCTCGCTGCTATGCGTGCTGATCGTTGGCTCGCTGCTCGATTGCTTCTGTATAGTGCGGGGGCCTCGGCGATTCAGATTATACCTGCCCTGCAACGCCTGGGCGTCGGCCACACTGATCTCTATGTTCGCTCTCAAGCCTGGATCGGCACGCCGTTCAATTTCGCCGAGCGAGACGCAAACTTTAAACAGGAAGCGGAAAATTTCGGCACGCTATTCACAAACGATGTCGACATCATCAATCCTGCCTACTCGGAAGAGCAACGCAACGCCCTCCGGCACACCAAGGGCGATGTTGAACAGCATCGAAAGTGGCTCGAGGAAGGCTTCCATGGAAGCGCAAGGGATCTCTACACGCGTGACAGCCCCATGTCTCTTTTTGTTCGAGGTCAGCCAGAGAAGGACCCAGCGCTATGCCGCGTCAGCCTCAAAGCCTGCTCAAGCTTTTGTTTTCCCTCGTCTCGCAGATGCTTTGACAGGTCTCGCGCGTGCCAAGCTGGCAGCTAAGCCCGAGCTCGAGTCGTCCTTCATCCCAGAGTTCAGCTTTGGTTGCCGACGACCGACTCCTGGCCCGGGCTTCTTCGAGACGATCACTGGATCGAATGTGGACGTCATTCAAGGCGCTGTCGATCACCTTACCAACACAGGAATTGTCGCTGCTGGAGACGATAAAGAACGTGCCGTCGACTTGGTCATTCTGGCGGTAAGTGTCTGCTCAAAGTAGTCCAAATGTTCCTCTTCGCTGATGAACCGAAAGGGTCTTACAGACTGGATACAAGGTCGACCACGTGCCACCCTTCGAACTTGTCGGTCGCAGCGGATCATCTCTTCGTGGCGAATGGTCTCAGAACCCGAGAGGCTATCTCTCGTTGGCCACTCCAGGCATGCCCAATTACTTTACGATTGCAGGTCCTCAACACCCGTCAGCAAATGGAAGCCGTGAGTACAAAAGAAACTCCGCCGCGGCTCTGGCTGACGATCGGATCTGCGTGCGAAATGTCCTTAGTCATCTCCAGCTTCTCCCTTCTGAGCGATTATATTGCAAAGGCAGTCGTAAAATTGCAAGGCCTTCCCACTGGAGCATCGCTCGCCCCGAAGAGCTCAGTGATCGACGAATTTTGTGACTACAGTGACAACTTCATGAAGACCCAGGTCTGGACCCAGGGCTGCAACTGTGAGTGTCGGTAATCATCTTCGCGTGTCGGCTCTATCAAAGAGTGCATCGGCTGATGAGATTTGGTTATGCTGCAATGCGCGTAGCTTGGTATAAGAATTCTGAAGGCAGGATCACCACAAATTGGCCTGGTGAGCCTGTCTGATCCGTCTGCGGAGACCGAGCCTTGGCAAGTATTCTGATTACTCCCACGTCCTCGCTCGGCTGCAGGCACGTTCCTTCACTTTGCAGACACTATTAGCAACCCTCGATGGGGAGATTATGATTGGCAAAAGGGCCTCGCACCTCTCAAAGTCTCAGATGCCGAAGCCGAGGGAAGCCTGAAAGCGATCCTTGCCGATGGGCGAGGCGCAAACGAACCAGCTTTGGGCGTTATGGGCCCTTCGCCTGCGCCCTACCTCGATGGCAAGCTGGCTAGCATGTACGACATCAAGCCCGCCGCTCGGCCGACGGCAGCAGCAGCGACAGCCTAGCGGATGCTTGCCAAGCAAATGCCCGATCCGTCGCCATCCGTGACGCGAAGCTCGGAATTGACATGCCTGTAGAATTCTTTTGGGAACTTTGAGTGATTTGAAGCGAAGTTCCGAGACGAGAAAGGGCGCATGATGATCCGCACAGAATGTCGTGATAGGGCACGATTGAGCTTCGTCAATATTTGTGTGCCTGCCCTCGCTGCGGCTGATGCGAGGATGAGGCGCTGAGCCAGTGCGCCGATAATTGGGCACCCTGAGCTCTGCACTCGTGCCTCAGCCGCAATGTGGTACGAGTGTGAGAGTGCGATGCGAGCGTCTAGACGCTGGCTTTGCGCTTCGCAACCCCCCACAGCAGGGTGCAGCGTGCAGCCAAATTTAAAGACTGATCACGATTTTGAGAGGCGTCAGGTCTTAAGCATTGCTCAGCAGACCTGCAGCACGCTAGGCTCCGATTGGCGGTTTGAAGGGGGCGCGGGTGGTAGTGGGCATACGCGCACCGCTCATAGCCCTAGTGCACCAACATGAACGATCGACATTCAGCAAGCGAGAGTGTGAGACCGATACTCGAGTCAATGATGAAGCTGGAGTGCAGCCAAGAGTCTTGTACAATCCAGGCAGGATGGCGTACGGCTGTGCACACGCTTGCATTGCTGTATTCCTTCAGCGTGGCCAACAACCCCGTGTGATCCTTGTAGTCAAGCCATCCCTTTGGGAATCTCCAGACTGCATGTCAAGGAGGCAATGCCCAAAGACCAAGGATCCACATGCGGAAGGAGTCTAGAGCTGAGAGAGCTTGACAGGTAAACAACCAGAGGTCGGAAGCAAGCAATAAATAATTGGCAAAATGTTAACGAGGAAGCATGACAGGCAAGCAATTGCAACGTGAGAGAGCTACGAGGTGTACACCAAGCAGGAAGCAAGAGAGTGCTTGCTTGGCTTGGAAGCAATTGGTGCACAAATTGAGAGTGCTTCATGCAGCAAAGGATGCTAAACAGCGAGCATAACAGGCAGGATGCTAGAGTAAGCTATTGTGGGAGCATAGATGGCAGGCATTGCACAGGTCATGTGGTATCAGTGCATCTTAATGAGAGTGTGTGACAGAGTAGGGTTAGGGTTACAAGGGTGTCCTGTTTTAGGGTCGGAGATGTTTCATAGCCAGTTTGTAGAGCACATTGAGGAGTGTCTTGTGGCAGAAAAGTTTTGGATTTGCGATAGC